GTTTCCGTTATCCATGACAACCCGACAGAAGGAAGCAGTGTGCTGAAAGCCGAGCGTGAGTACTCTTTATTTATTACCTTTTTTCTTTCTTTCTTCTCTGCATATGTATAGAAAAGAGTGAGAGAGATGAGAGGAGAAAAAAAAGAGAGAGATCCCTTTCAGAAGCATGTCGAGCAATGACAATAATTCTCTTGTAATTTCTTCGCCCCTCTCTGGGCCTAAATATAGACGAGAACATTTGATCACGAAATGGTGGAGATTGATTTCTCGGTCCGTGGAAAAAAAAAGTGTCTGAAAAAAATACTATTGACTGCTTCTATGCATCGTCTGATTTTAGATCCTAAATTAAAATCTTTGAAAACATATTTTTCACCAAAAATACTGTCCATGCGGTTTTAGAATTCCTGGTAAATCAAGGAAAAAAAAATTACTCAAAGCTCCGTTTCAAACTAAATATTCTACCGCTTTCAAAAGTGCAATTGCGTCAAAATAGTTATTTTTCACAGCTTTCCATGTTCCGATTTTCGGACCGGAATTATATATTTTTTTGATATTCCACTGAAAATGATACAGTCCAAGCAGTTTCAAAATTCCTGATAAATAAAATTTAAAAAAAAACATAATCAAAGCTCCATTCAAACCCAAGTGTTGAAAAAATTGTAAAAATTAAAATCTTTCTCTCGGTCCGTTATATTTAAATTATTTCTGGTTTAATAATTTAAAATCTCCCATTACAGTATTTGTTATGAAACTGATACGCCAAAAAATTTTTAAATACCACTTCCTGAAAATAATTGACAAATTCTGTTTAAAGTTTTTCCATCGTCTGATTTATTTAGACCCTCAATTGAAATCTTAGAAAATATATATTTCCACTAAAACACTGCCCAAGCAGTTACAGAATTCCAGATAAATCAGGGGAAAAAGTTATTATAGAATTAAAAAATAATTATTTTACTCATTGAAAATTCAACACTTTTTCATAAAACCAACTATTTTTAAAATGTTTTCATTGTCTGGCTGTAGATCCCCGATGCCAATACGAATATTTGAAAACATATTCCTCTGAAAATACAGTCCCAGCAATTCCACGATCCAATCGATCGCAAAAATTCAAGAAAAAAAAGTTTGATCCTCTCTATTTAAAATATATCCGTGCAAACGCCGAAAATCTCAACTTATTTGATTTAAAATGTATATACGCAGAGAAATTTCAAATGCCACTTGCTGGAAATTAATTTGTCCTGGTGCATTTGCCTGCATAGTCAATAATTGAAAGAATTTTTTAAAAAAATAATCACAAAATACTAGCACAAAAAGCATGACGAGAGAAGAAGAATAAGAAACTGGGATCTCCTTCGGGTGCGATTAAAGATCCCCCCCCGCACCGACAGCAGTCGTCAGTCGCGGTATTTAAAAAAAATAATCACAAAATACTAGCACAAAAAGCATGACGAGAGAAGAAGAATAAGAAACTGGGATCTCCCTTGGGTGCGATTAAAGATCCCCCCCGCACCGACAGCAGTCGTCAGTCGCGGTATTTATTGCGATCAGAGTTGATGAGGCTGACACGTCCTCCGAGAGCACAACCGGAAATCCGCCAGGAAGGAAGGAAGTGAGGAAAAGACACACATCTTACACATATATGTACAGTATACTGTATATATAGAGGCTTGAAGCACAAGCATATGTGATGGGAGAAAGTGACGCGTGACGAAGGTAATTTCCGCCTCTTGCCCACGCCGTCGTCGTCTTTAGTTACACATATGCATATACTGTATATACGACGGTTGGCTCACAAGTTTCGAGACATTTTGAAACACAATTTCGTTACAACAGACTTATTGTGGGGACTCCAGAAAAAGTTTTCTATGAAAAATAATCTCTTATATACCAAGACATTTTTGACAAGATTTTCTAGAAATTAAACCTAATGCATAAATTTAACATCATCCTTTTGTTATACCTTTTCACCTGTTGTTTTTGGCATTTAAAAAACTGCAGTCTTCTAAAAAAAAGTTTAAATGTTAAGCAGAAAAATGTATTCTGAATAACTGGTCAACACCATCACTTTCTGTTGATTAAGTTTATTTCTAAGCAATTTATAAGGGTGGATGTTACAAAAAAAAAGCTTACTGCAATTTCTAAGCATCAGCACAGGGTTTCTCAAGCATTTAAACCCTTTTTGACATGAGTTTTCTTGCGTTCATTTTTTTTTTGCCTCACCATCTTGTGTAGCCTAGGAAAAAATTGAGAAGAAAAATTGTGAATAATTTTTATCCTTGATTCCACCTTATGTCCCATATGAACCAGTCACAGTCCCATTTTGAATGGGAAGTTTGAGACAGTGCCTGAATTCATTGGGGATTTTTCATTAAGAAATCACAACATGTTCCCAAAAAAAAAGCTTTTTACACTGGCATTGGTGAGTTTGTTATAACAAGATTTTTATAACATGTACCCTATAGGATTTCTCCTGGGACTTTGTAAAAAGTTTGTTTTACTGAAATATTTGTTGTAACGGTATTTGTTGTAATGAGATTTTACTGTATAGATCCAAAAAAATGTATATTTGCATTGGCAGACAATATTTTTTTCATGGAATTCTGATGAATATTTCTTGCATAAAATGCCAATTAACAATTATATAATCTAAGTCTAAGGGAAAATGAGACTTGACTCATTAGTAACATTTTGACTTTTGGACACTCTTGATGCACCAATTACATCTGCATCTCAGAAACTCATTTTTATGTCTAAAAACAAACTGTCCTCAAAATCAATGTCTTTCAGGTTGTTCTTTGCTGTTATTGACAACAGCCAGAATAAGTCAGTGTGCCTAATCATCTAACAGAAGTACAGAACTCAATTTTTGGCAATGTTTTGATCATTTGATTTATATTGCATTGAAATCAGCAGAGAGTACATTGAGCAGCACTGAAGTGTTGCCAAATGATGGTGGGCTGTGCAAGTAAAGAATAATAATAATAATTTTGATTTGTTTTTAAACTCTGCAGTTGGGTCTATTTGAAAAAAAAAAGTCTCAAAACTTATGAGACAACCCTGGAATAAATTCTCTTCTCTAGTTGCTGCTAAACGGGAATGGGTTAGACAGGATCCCTCAAGGATCCCTCGCGTCCAAACTTCTCGGAATATCTCTCTCCTCTATAGTAACCCTGCATGCAGAGGGATGAGCTTCTCGAAAATTCTACGGGGTTTCTATCCAGCAGTAGAAAACCTTTTATGCTGGAGATAAATGCCTTATTTAGACAAGGTTCTCTCTCTCTCTCTCTCTCTCTCTCTCTCTCTCTCTCTCTCTCTGTTGTGTTGTCAAGTTTTGCTGCATGATGACTCCTTGCTTGTAAACAGTCAGGAGCAGCAGGGACATTTGTTTTTGCCTGCACGCTGCTTTTGTGGACACACAAACACACACACACACACACACACACTAGCTGTGTGTATATATATACATTATATGGAGGATGAAATGCGTTGTCTTGCTTAGTTGGGACATCAGCATCAGGATAAGGAATTGCGTCTGAGCGTGAGTAAGTAAGTACTGCTGCATGTCCTTGAACTGTTTTGCAAGGCATCATCATGAGAATGCTGAGAGCAAAATGACATGGACTTGCAGCATCACTTATTGGTACTGTACTCATCATTGATCATTTCCCAAAAGCTTGACTCTCATGTGAAAGAAGAGAGGATAAAACTATTGCTCAGATTGTGTCCATATTTCAGAAATCTGCCTATAATATTGAATCACATTTCCCCATCAATTACACTCATCTTCCAATTATAATTTAAAAGATAAGTCCTCCCAAATAGCCCATGAATATTTTTCTCAACTTGAAATAAATATGCATATATTCAGGAAAAATACATTTGATGGGAAAATAAACCAAATAGAGAATAAGAATGCATCAAATTGCCTTGTTTTAGAAAGTACATTCAAGTGAAGTTACAATCTGTTGTTTTTACAGTTAGTTTATCCCAAAAAAGAACAGCTCAATTTTTAAAGATACATCAGAATTTTAAATTCTTGAGAGAAAAGTAACCAGTTTAATTTTTCTCTCTGGAGAATTGTAACATATTCAGAGAAGAAAAAAACAATATAGGATCTCATTTTTTGTATTAAAAGGAGTCCAAGAGGCCAAAAAAGAAGCAAAAAGTTGCTTCACAAATTCCTCTGAAGCACCACAGTTGATGGGAAACCCCAAGCTTGGTTTGGACAATAAATTGAAGTTCCTTTTCAATCAAATATTTTTTTAAATTATAGCTCAATTTTATCAACAGATATGAAAACATTAAATCCTGAAGTAAGAGAAATTTTTTGGGTTGAGAAAAATTAGAATCATGATCGCTCTATTATAACCCCCAAACCAATCCCCTCTTTTAACCCTTAAAAAAAAAACTTTCAGACAACCCCTTGTTAGAGGATCAGTTGTGGAGTGATCCTTCAACTTGACCCTGTCTGGAGTAGTTTTTGCAAGCTCACCTTCCGCTTCTGCAGAGTAAAGCAACTTGCTAATCACCCCACAGCACCCTTCTCTGAAGTCTGAACCCCCTTCAAGATGGATGTCTCATCCTCTAATAGCAATTATTTCCGCATTCTTCAGATCACATCCTGAAAATGCTGCAGCATCCCGCTTATTCAAGCAGGGATAACGTCTGAATATATGGTATATATGCACCCCAAAACATGCCATTTCCCCTAGAAAATTCATGGGAAATTCAGCTATATAGTGGTACTTGTTGAAAGCAATAAGTCAGGATGCTTGAAAGCTTTTGTGCATGTTTACATTTTTTAAATTGCACTTTATACTTCTACAACTCGTGGATGATATGCTTCCATTTCCTGTGCCATTTCAACAATAAGGAGAGTAGTTCTGAGGCTGAAAGAAAAAAATAAAACCATTTTTCAATTCATCAACTTTTTTTTCAACTCAATCTGTTGGACTCTGACATAAAATTGCATGCATAAAATAATATATTTTCCAAGCTTCCAACCTTTTTTCTTCAAGCAAAAATCCAAGAAATTTGAAATTTTGCTAAAAAAAATCAACAATCCAAAAAATATCTCTGTTCAAATATGGCCTATACTTTTTCTTTTTTCAGCCAGATTTAATTTTTAATCAATGACACAACTTTGGAAAAAGCGTGTCTTCTGAAAGAAAACATAAATATTCCTTTTATTTATAGACATGAATTCAGACTTTGCAATATTAAATAAAAATTTCATGCAAGCAAACCGAGCGGAAAATACTGTACCCAAATTATTCGCCAGTAGTGCCTCTGAATGTGTTTTTTTTTTTAAGGCAAATATTTCCATAGATGGTTTTTAAATTTATATTCCAGTAATTTTGAGACTGAATTTTCCCTCCAACAAGCATTTTGATGAATAAAAACTTCTGAACATGAGCTCCATATAATATAACAGCACCCAGCAAATGCAAGAATAAGTCACTTTGAAACAATTAGTACTTTACCCCCCACAAAAAAAATTTCACCATCACATTCATAAATGATATCAAAAATAAACATTCAGCGCATATTTTTCGACGCAACGCCGCAAATATTCGCGCTTTGCAAAAACCAGACAAAAAATTTGGTCGCCGCGGACATGTGAGCATGCGGATAAATGTAAAAATGCCTGAGGCTAAGGTCCTGAAACAAGTGCCTTCGGGACTCAAACTCGATCGCAGTTTTCTTGATCAAATGGGCCCCATCTGCACATCGGGTCACGATCGGCTCCAAGAACCACTGAGATGCTCTCAACAGGGACCTAACAACAATAACAAAAAAGGGGATTTATATTCAAATTTGCATTCCCATCACGTGTATATATGTATAAAACCTGGGCCTCACACTTGAAATGAACCTCATATGTGTATAGAGACCCCAACTCAAAAATAAAAATAAAAAAAGGATAGGATAGGAAGCTCATTTAAGGTTGGACAGTTTTAAATAAGCAGGCCTCAATGAGCAAAACTGTCCTCAAAACAAGATGCTCAAATGGGGATACAGACAATTTGAGACTGGACAAATTTGAGACAGGAACAATTATTGACATACACAATTTGAGACAAAAAAAAACTATCTTGAGGAGGAGAGGAATCTCCTTGGGTTGGTTCAAAGATTCTAGTTTTTCCTTGATGAGGAAAACTCAATTGACAGAGATGATGGACAAAAAGGAGAAACACCGTGTGATCATAGACTTTTCACCAAACAGTGCACTTTTTGTCCATGTTCATACCTAAAACATAACATAATAGTGAGAAATGCAGTCAAGTCATTTTGTCTCAAAATGCATCTGTCTTAAAATATCAAAATGTACTTGTGTCAATTTGTCCACATGTGCCAAAAATTTTAAGTCTTGAATTGTCCCTGTCTCAGAAATTATCTTCTCAAATTGTCCTTGTTTCAAAAAGTTTCTGTCTCAAATTGTCCTTGTTTCAAAAAGTTTCTGTCTCAAATTGTCCCTGTCTCCAAAAGCATCTGTCTCAACTTGACCCTGTCTCAAATTGTTGGTCTCATTTTGTCCTGAATCCGCTCACATGTTTGCTCATTTGTGAACCAATGACTAACCTGGGATTGGGGTCCAAAACATGCTCCCAAAAGTAATATTTGCCTCCAGGTGCCAAAACCCTGAGCACTTCAGCAAAAAACAAGTCATAGTCCTCCAGGTAGTTGAGAAGCATGCATGTAGACACCACATCCACAGAACCACTTTCAATGTCCTTCAGGTCCAAGGCAGAGGTCACTAAAAACCTTTCTAGTTGGGGTTCCATTTCAAGCCGCTTCAACCTGGCCCTTAATTTATATCATGATGTGCAAGACAGACAAAAAAATAGGTTCTATCAAGAAAAATGAATAACCCCATCTGTTGGATTGATTTCATTAGAAAACCCCCAAATCAGCAACAAAAGTCATTGATTTCCTTTGCATTCACATGGATGTCGCTTGAATTTTCTCAACTCCTAGTTTGTATTTCATCATATTATGGAGTATTTAGGAGTAAGCTTGAATAAGATTGTAGTTAGTTTTACAGTATTTGTCCTTTGTGAAACATTCCCAAGAAACTCTTTTAACAAGACCTCAGCACAAAATACATTTGAATTCAAGTTCCTTTGGCATAAATAAAAATGCAAGTACAATAATGCATACCTTCATTTGAGTTGAAACCTTCATAATGGGAATACAGTGAAATCTTGTTACAATAAACTTGTGGGGACTGCAGAAAAAGTCTTTTATAATGAATAATTTTTAATAACAAGATTTTAAAAAATTTTTACGGATTGAAAGATTTGAAACAATGGAACCTGCACATATTCAACATCTTCCTTTTGTGGCCTTTTCAGATGCTTTTCAGTGTTGAAAAAACTGTAAAACTGTGATCTTCAAAAAGACATGTGAATGTTGATGAAAATTTAATCTGAATAACAGGTATAAACACTAGCACTGTTTGTTGACTCTAAGCTTTTCTAAGCAATTTGTCCCGCAAAGATTTGAAAGGGTGAATATGTTTTTTTTTAATTAAGCTTGCAATTTTTAAGCAGCATCAATATATATAGGGTTTCTCAAACATACAACACGAGTTTTGCTGGGCTCATTCTGTCTCATCTCAAATATGACATAAGCAGTTCAGGGTTTCGGCCTGAATGACACCCTCTCATTTCATGTACAGCATATAATTTTATAATTTGGAAAAGGAGTTGCAAATAAATCCGATTCAAGCGACACCTATGCGCGGCTAACGTTCCCAAAAGCACGTCCTCAAATATCGAGCGGAGCGGAATATACGGTATATCTTCGGCTTTTACCTGAAAAATGTCTCCATAGACGGATTGTAATCCACCGCAATCACGACGGCATTATCGGGATAATACATCAAATTCGCACCAGCCCCACAACCAAGGTCCAACAAGCGAAACTTGCCCATCTTCTTCAGACCCTCGTCTGAAGATTCCACTCCGGCGAGCGACTTGAAATGCTCCACCTTGTCCTCGTGACACACTTCATTGTATTCCGGAGTGAAATCCTCAGTGATTCGCGCAAAACACTGCTTTCTCAAGACACTAGTGCACACGACGAGAACGGAAATCACGAGAATCCCAGCGTATAACGGATACGGACCCAAAAGGACAAACGAAAGCACTGCCAAAATGATCCAATGTGGGAACCGGAAGTAAAACGGGGCTTTCGGGCGTCCCTCGTCGGCTGCTGTTTTCATCGCGATGAGCTATATTTTAAATTCATGGGGAAAATTAAGTCACAAATCCAAAAACCTGTTATTGTTGGAAGAATATACTGTACAAGGTTATTGGTTCATAAGTCTTGACAATTTTTGAAAAACATTCAAGAGTGTTTCAACGCCTATACAAACTATCCTTTACTCACAATAGGCCCAACATTCAGTTGCTTTTCAACATACTGTACTCTCTGCCTATTTTCAAAGCATTTTTTCATGCAATAAATCCAAAAACAAAAAAAGAGCTTAAAATCAATAGTTTTTTGTCAATTAAGCCAATTGTCAATGGAAAAAATGATGAGGCAGTCCCTGTCCTCAAAGTCAATCCATTTCAGTATAGGTTGTTCTTATTCACTTTTGGCAATAAACAGAATCACAGGGTGTATAAATGCATAATCCCAAGTTCAGCTTCATTACCCAGATGCTTTATCATTCTCAAGGAATAGGTACTTCATACTGCACTCAGAAATTCCTATAGGGCATGCAAGTACTGTATACTGTGCTCACATCCCAATTTGGGCACACTTGGGAGATATACCTGCTGTAATTCTATACACAGTGACCCTTGCTGTGCACCTCAAGTGTACCAAAGTTTTTATTTTGCACATGTATATCCATAATGTGCACCACTTGTGTATTCATGCCAGGGTTACTCAATTAGGGTCACATTTGTAAACAAAGAAGTCACACGAAGGTTACAGTCGGTATGTGCACTTGTGTGTTCTCCTGTTATACCACATGTGTACCAAATATAGCCTTGGTATATATGGTAGCACAATTGCATCTACAGCAGGAGGTGCATGCTTGTATATAACCCCAGAATGTAGCCCATGTGCACCAGTTAATTGTGGGGTCACACTGCCAAGAATAGCTCCCCACTTCTTGGGGCAGGTGCTCTTGATCAAACTTCACTTCAGTGGAGATCATTCACTATAATATGAGGTATTTTTCAAGCTTACATTTGCAGCTATAGGCGGGCCAAAAATAAATTAGAAACTGCTGGAGGATTTATTGAAGAGCAAAAGCGACAAAAAAAAACTGCGTCCACCTCCGATGACGGCAAGTGACCGTTTATCAAGACTTATGAACCAACCCTCGTATAAAACACTGACTTTTTGACTTCAAATAACAAGCATCATCCCTCGCTCCCAAAAATTATTCAAACGTCATCATCGCATCTCTTTTACATCAATAATTTCTCTTTCCCCCCCCCAAAAAAAAAATGATACCGTCACAAAACAAACAGAATCTCACAAGAAACACTTGTGACTACAACACAAACAACGATCTTCAGCGTCAGAATCCGTGACAAAGTCGTTACACAACAAATTGAGCAGGATCTGTGACTCGGCTGTCATGACGGCGTGGCTCATGTGGATGGGATCTGGGTACGAGTAGCTGCTGTGGCCCAGTTCCTGGTACTTGATGCTGTAATCCCGTCCACTGTACCAAACTTGGATCCTCGGGTAGTCCTTCAACACTGCAATGGCTGCTCTATTGTACAAGTCGATCTTCCTGTTGTTGATGAAGTAGTAATGAGGTGCTGTCTCATCCACTGGTTCTTGGATCATCCACAGGACCTTTGAAAAATAAGAAGTCAATTATCAACAGTAAAATTTTCCAGTATACCTTTTCTCAAGTTCCACAGCAGTAGAAAGCCCACATGTTGAAACAATATTTTTATACAACCTTTTTGAGATATTCTATAAGTATACATTTCTTAAAGCAGGCAAAGTCTGAAATTTTTGATCCCTATAATAATGTGACTGATAACTGATGGTTCTTTATTGAGGCATGAATGCAATCTTCAATCAATGGCAAATATGTTTACAAATGGTTCAACACATCATCTGCCCAAAATGTAACAATTGCTATATGCAATATTGAAGATACAGTACTTTTTTTTAAAAAGATCACTATGTTTTTCAAACAATCATCAAAAATTTGAGAACACCAGATGATTCATTATAGGCAGGTCTGATGTGGAAATTGTTTACAGTCATTAATTTTGTGAATATAATTATAAAAATTATTCAGTACAGTACAGTACAGTATAACAAATTTTTTCCCAAAATCCCCAGAATTCTTTTGTAAGGATGAGATTTTATTGTACTGTACTGTGGTAGGGTTTCTTGAAAAATCCTCCACACCGAAAATTGATATCACAGGAACTTCGAGCATGTTATGACATTTTCATCAATGGTTGTTTTCAATTAAAGCCAGGCATGAAAAATAAAATAAATCCATACATGCTGCTGAAGTTTGGCAAAAATACACAGATTTAGTCCTATAATTCGTTTTATATAAATCCAGGCAAAGAAAGATAGAAGGGCCAGTTCCGTTTTTGATCCATGATACATACATATACAGTACTGTAGTCTATTTCTGTAATACAGTACTTGACCAACTTTGGATTCCGGATGTTGTTCCAAGAAAGCCGTCGCGTTGACGGCCCACTTCCGCACTTTTCCCCTGTAAATTTTGACTCTCTGCTGCTGAGACATGTTCCAGAAAAGCAGGTCCGAGTTGAACATGTCCTCTGCAATGTACCAGGCCGCACTTCCGGCGACGATCAAAGCCGGTGTTGTTTGGCTCAGGGTGATGTTAGTGGGCATCACGGCAGGTTCATGCATAAAAACGTCTCCGTAGTAACTGCACAAAAGGCCCGGGGAATTCCAGAAATTCAAATCATCATCATCCTTCCGGTGTGCAGCAAGTACTGACTATATATATATATACGGTACAAACTCAGTACTGCTTTACAGTACAGTACATTATAGAAGAGGGCTGGTTCAGAAATATTGAGACTTTTTTGAAATTGATGGATCCAACAGCGTTTCAACAATATTCCAATTCGCACAGCCCCATTATTTGGCAACACTTCCATTGCTGATCAATGCACTCTCAGCCAATTAATTTCAAAGCTTTTTTTCAGGCGAAAATCCATTAATCAAAACATTAGCGAAATTATCACAATTTTGGCAGAGTTTTGAGCATTGCATTTATCATAAAGGAAGTGTTGCCAAATCATGGGGCAACAGTATTTGAAAAATAAAATTTTGGCATTGTTGAAATCTCTATTGGATCTACAAAAGTCTCAAGACTTATGAACCAAACCCTCGCAAATGCGCAAGGGTTGGTCAGAAAGTTTTGTGCGATGGATGCATGGGGATCTTGGAATATATTTCCAGACATCTTTCTCTGAATACAGGTAAACAGCTTTTTTAGGATTGAAATGAGGTTGAATTATGATCTTGCAGCACAGTAACTAAAATAGACAATAGGCATAAATCAGAAAAAATTTGAAGAACATGTAACACAGTTTATCCACATACTTGAACCTCTTAAAGTCAAATTATGTTCCAAGTCCCTGTCTGAATTCTATGTACTGTAGAAGCAATGCACAAAATTCCTGCAAAAATTAAATTTTACTGAGGCCTTCTGGCTATTATTTTATCAACACACAAGAAAGAAAAGTAACAAAATTGTAACCAGATGCATTACAAAAGGAAATGAAAAGACTAATTGAGCAAAATGAACCCTTGCCCGCATAAGTTCAGGATCAGAAGCAATTCAAGGCCCAGAATATCACCAAATACAATTTCTTGCAATTCTTCTTGCTTTCCCTCAACAAAAAATACAGTACTGTACGTGTACTTGTTTTCCTAGCTTGATTTTTTTTTTTTGCTTGCTCCATTCACAGTTTGATGCAGAAAATTTTAAAAGATTAGTTGCAGAACTTTCAAACAAGTCCCTGCGCACATAAATCAGAAATTCACCTGACAAAACTGTTGGATTTGTACAAATGAGGATACGTGACGTGGACTCCCTTCCTCATTTTCTCCATGGCTTCCGAAAGATTGTATCCGGAATTCCGCATGAAACACTGGCTCAGGTACCTGATCCTCGAGTCCCCAGTGAACACAAATACATTAGAAAATCCCCGTTCTTCTCTGCGCATACCAAACATGCGAATATAACGAGTTTCAAAAATAATACCTTCTGCGTTGTTTTTCTTTTTCTTCATTCAATACTATTTTTACCCGACCTATTTTCCAGACACTCGAGGAAATTCTCCTTGGAATACACCAAAAATTCGCAGCCGTCATCCGATGGACTCCAAGTCAGGTTCTTTGATAAATTTCCAGAGGTCAACAGGGATGAACACGTGTCATGGAATTTCAAGGGATTCAAAAACTTGGCAATGTGGCGAAGCACCAGCTTCTTATTGTTCAAGGCGATGAAGAGCAGAGTTATCCAAAGCAGAAGGAAAACTGAAGTTGACCCCCTGATGAATGCCATCTTTTCCTCAACTGTCTTCCTGTTATTCACGTTCCACTACATATTTTCTTATTCCCCGTCAAGGAAAATGCTTCAAAATAGCATCTATATGTATTTACTCGTTATTCAAAAACAAGGAGTCGAACGAAGAAGAAGCAAAAAACATCATCATCATAGAAGAGCTATACGCTAAATACTGAAGCGTGAGAGCAACACAATACGTTATTGGACTCGTCGTGATCGGATCGAGTCAGGAAATCATTGCACAAGTAGTTGAGCAATATTTGCACCTGGGCCTCCTTGACCTCGTCCCTGACATGCACGGGGTCGTCGCGGGTTCCTTCGATAATCATGTCATTCCCGGCAGCCCTGTAGAGAATATTGAACTGCCGCAAAGACCGCCACAACTTGATGCCCTCGTGTTTGGATAATACTCGAGCCGCAGCCGCATTGAATGCATCCAGCCTTTCGTTAGTTATTCCGTGATAAGCCGGTACTGAATTGTCCACGGGTTCTTGAAAGCCCCACAAAACCTGAAGGGAATACATTTGCATGACAAACTAACCCAGATCCCAGCTTGGTTCAGGTCAATAAATACCATGGGGCCACGAATCCAATTTTGCATCGTCATCATTCAAATTATGTCAAAAAAAATCAAAAACAACGCCAAGGTAGACATTGAAAAACGACGGATTCATCTTTCTCGCATATTCCTAGTCAACCGTTTCGCAGTTTTTTTTTTTTTTAATATCATCACCTTGGTTTCAGGGAATTCCTTCAGATATTCCGAAACGTTCCCAGCCCAGGCTTCCAACCGACGTTCATACACACGAACCCTTTCCGGGATGCTCAAGTTTCGGAGGTGAAGATCTGCCCTGAAAAAGGTTTCATCAGGAGAGTACCACAGGGCACAACTGATGACCAAGCTGGCGGGTTCCGGAGGCATGAGATTCCTCGGTTGGGACGAATTCTTGACCAGGAACGGATCAGAAATGTACCTGAAAGTATAGCCAACGACCGGCTTAATCCGAAGAAAATTTAGAAAAAGAAGCACCCAACGACATTTTTAAATCATATTTTTGAATATAGTGATGCTTTCAATATTTACAGTACAGTACCTGGAAAACACCCCGGAGACAGTCGAGTGTGAATAAAGCGCCGAGTAAGTCAGTGTACTCGAGTCTTTGACAACCACCGCATTGTTCGTGTTGAAGCCAGTCATCTTGACGAACATGTCACTTAGGTAATTGATTCTTGAATCTCCGATGAAAACGAAATAGTTGGAGAGATTCCTGCTTTTCCTAAAGTATTAAATAAAAACACATCTTCATAGCACTCAAGGTTTCTTTTAGCGGTCCAGAGAAAGCATCATCATCAGCACTTGCCTTTCCAGAAAACACTGTTCAGAGTCCAGAGGGCTATAAACGCGCAAATCGCAAGCATCAGGTTTCCAGACATTGCTTTTATTCGGAATTGACCCTGACGATGACAAAATGGCTTCACACGATTCTTCAAAAGTTGACAATTTCTTCAAAGCTTCTTCCTTGTGCTTCCCATCACTGATGGATTGTCTTTGATGGGATTTCAATGACAACCACAGCAGGAAAAGTAAAGGTCCTAAAATACCAGCTTTTTTGAGACGTCTAAAAAAGCTTCTACAAGAAATATCCATCGCTTATACGGAACTGCCAACGGTTTCCACAGTCACATCACACAAAAAATCTCTCCATGAGTCTTTCAAACACTTCGCGGAATCTTCACCTTTCATTACTGCTACAACAGGCTAATGGATCATCAAACAGAGGATTGCAAATAAAGTTTATCAGCATTTGGATTTCCCACTTGGTGGTACAGAGATTGACGTGGATTGGGTCCCCTTCAAAGTCAAGGGACACTTTCTTTCCAGCTGATCTCTGCTGCAAATTGAATTCCCTCAAGCTGGACCATTGAATGATTTTCGGATAATATGCCAACACTTGGCTCATCGCTGCATTCAACACGTCAACTTTGTAATTGGTTATTTTGTGAAGAACCTGATAACTTGGTTCCACAGGCTCTTGGATGATCCATATTATCTGACAAGAAATTCACATCACACAAAATACACTGAAAATTTAAAAAAAAAAGTTTTCCTAAATACTCTACTGTTGTGTTTGGATTCCTGTTCATAAAGTCATAAGCATCATCAGCCCAAGCCTGAATAGTGTTTTTCAGCATAGTGACCCTTTCCTCAAGAGACTTGTTGAAAATTGCCACATCTTGATGAACTTCACTGGATTCAGCTATGAACCAGAATGCCACACCAGCCACAATCACTGCAGGTGTGGGCCCTGGCAAACCACTGGCCTTTCCTGACTCAGTCTCCAGCATAACATCCCCAGTGTAACTAAAATGGTGGATAGGAATTGCAAAACACAATGAGTTTATCTCTGACAACACTTCTTGAAAATCAACTCAGGCCTTTTGAAATGTGCTCTGTGTGAAAGCAAAGAAGAGCTCCAGTTTACATAATCAAAGAGATCCACTGAAAAACACCTCAAAATAGTTCCAGGAACAGAGCTATGTGGGTAAATTATGTAAGTTCCATCTCTCAGCTTCCCAATTTCCTTGGTGATGGGGAAATCTGCCACTTTCATGAAAGCTCCTCCAAGATTCCTGGTCCTGCTGTCACCAACAAATGCGAAGTGGTTTGAAAGATTTCTCGCAGCCCTATTTTTGTAAAAAAAAAGAGCACCAAACAATCACGCGTCAACAGGATTTCTTCTTTTTTTTTCAAAAAGTGTCATTCCTTACCTCCTCTGAAAACATTCCCGACACATACTCTCATCATAGTGTCGCATTAGGCAGCCATCTGGTAGCCAAATGTCATCAGTGACCAGCTCACCAGTTTGAAACAAAGCCAAGCAACTTTCATTCATGGGTAAATCCACATTTTTCAACTCACTGATGTCCAAGATCCAAAGTGAAACTTGAAAAATTCCAATGCCCAGTAATAACAAGAATGTATTCCTACATTTCAAAGCTAACTTCTTCATGTCAGTCATTCATACATTCTGAACCAAAGGATCAATCATACAGAATAAATCAATCAACTGCAAAACATTGAAAAATTACACATTGAACTAAATTCTACACGGTGTTTACAATCTAGATTTTGAATAGCAGCAAGCATGTGGGTCCACAAAATCAACAAATTCGTTGCACAAGTAGTTCAATAGGATTTGCACTTGGACAGCAATTACTCTAACATGCACGTGAACCGTGTCCAACGAATGCCCACTTGATCCCGTGAAACCTGCATGTCTGAAACCCCAATTCACTTCTCTGAAAGACCTCAGATTTGTAATTTCAGAAAATGAATTCAAAATCAAGTCGTCAGCAACAGAGTTCAACAAGTCCATCTTGGGATTGGTTATTTGATAATTTGGCTTGTCTGTGTCATCCACTGGATCCTGTCTCACCCAAAGCACCTATGCAAAAGGAAAATACTGTATCTCATACTACAATACACAGTAAAAATGCTCCATATAATTACCAAGGCTTCAATTGCAATTCAAGAACAGAAACCCAACTAAACTGAGGCGACATCTATGCAAAAGCACATCACCATGGCTTCATGAGGACAAAAAAATAACAACTCGCCTCTGTAGATTCTGGAAAATTCTTCAAAGCTGAGGTGAACCAAACTTGAAGATTCCTTTTGAAGATGTCAACACGCTCCGGCAAAGTGTACCTGAAGAAGGGCACCTCAGCATGCATGTAAGAATCATTTGCCAAATACCACAAAGCAGCACCACACAACACAATACTTGGTGGTCCCACGTTGGTCAAATTTTGAAAAAACGTTTTCGTCTTTGTCAAAAAGACGTCCCTAGAAACACTGCTCAAGATATAAAATATCAAAATCACAAAAAAAACAACAGAAGAAAAACTTCATCACCTGACCACGACATCGGAAAGTTGATCATGCTTGGCATGCAAAAAAGTACCCAGCCCTAGCTGAAAGAATTCCTCCTTTTCTCGGTAACCCAGCTCAGTCATGAAAAGTCCAGCAAATGAAATGATCCTCGAGTCTCCAATGAACACAAAATGATTCGAAATGCCCCTCGATTTCCTAAAGGGGGTTTTCCCACATCAACGTCATCCTCGCTGTTCCTGCTCTTGCCAATGATGAAAAAAAATAAACCAACCGTGCCAATAAACAAGTCTTAATCTGCGGAGTAGAATACTTGTGGAGGGAACAGCCAGAAGGTTGCCAAATCTTCCCTTGCAGAGTTCCATCTTCCAGAAGCCCCTGGCACGGATTTCCTTCGAAGCTCCCTCCTTTCCTTCTACCAAATCTAAACACAGTTGTTAGCAGCACACACAGAATCACTACAAGAAGAAAAAATGATTTGCGCAAAAACTTGGGATTCATGCATGCAGCCGTTATTCGCTCGGTCCCAATCAAACGCGTCAAAATAAGATGACACAAAAGAGACTCGACGTACACAGGAAATAAATGACATTTAAACAGACTACTGAAAAATAACTTACTTCAAAACAGTTCCCACAATCGTCAACCACTAGTTTCTTCTTGAGTACCCAGAAAGAAAAATTGCACTTGAGAATAAAAACTGAGCCTAAATTCAAAAATAACTCTTTCGAGCTCCATTTATATATTCTCCAGTAAAGTTATAAGCAATGAGGAGAAGGACAAACAATCCTTCACATGCACAAAAAACACCCTGATTCCTTTTCTCCTCTTTTATCCCGTCAAGATGTCTTTCATTCAACTTATTGTCAATCACAAGTTTAAAAGCAGTCCCTTCTTCCACCAACCCATATAACTGAGCATTAAGTCATGTGAACTGAGGAAACGCGCTTCTCTTCACTGAGAAGCACATCGTAACACTTATTTGCATCTGAGAATCAAAACGTATTTCAGCGTCGGCAGATTAAAAGGGTGTCTAAGGAGTCCCCAGGCACCACGGAAAACCCCCATTTTCAAATCTGTAAAGAAACTCGCTCCAGTGCATCAAAACTTCTGGTGAAACAGCCATGAGAGCTGGATAAATATATTTTTGAACCTGATCAAATACACTCTACACGCCCAAAAACGATCTGGGAACAGCTGGAGATTGGAATGACTACGCGTACTACTACGAATTCTGGTAACACCCACTAAAAGTTTAGGAAATGTTTCTTTCTAGAAGGATACCTTTGCGGAGTAATGTATATAACATGACTTCCTCAGACACCCTTTTAACTTTACTCGCACATTCTGCAAAGGAAAAAAAAAATCATAATAACAGAACCTAAGTCATAAAATTCCCTCCTTAATACTTCAGCAACAAACAGAAACCCGCTCATGCCATGTCAACAACATTCTTTGAAAAAATCTTTTTGAAGGTCAAGAATATGGGCATTTCCTCGTGTTCGCAATACAGAGATTTTTCGTGTGATGAAAAATAAAACAAACAAACCTGGGCAGCGAAGTCGATATGAAATGACGAAAATAAATAAAAAAAATTGCTTCCCCAGCCATCAGGAATCATCCTAAATGCAATTGCGGCAATCCTAGCCCCCTTCTTCCTACCATCTAAACCCACCCTGTTTCTTTTCCTAAAATCCCCCTGTTCACAACACTTAGATACAAACACACAAAGCTTCCTTATCACAGTCCTTTACACATACACCCCTTATGCACCTCCAACACCCAACAAACCACCAACTTTTCTCTCCTTCCTCACAGACTCTTTCAATCCTGGGCCACAATGGCCTTGTGTAGGATGTCAAACTCCTCATGCAGCATGGTGTCCAACTTCTTCAGGTCTTCTAGCTCAGGAAACGCATACTTGCGTCCAGTCACAGACACAGCTAGCTTGTCCCCATAGCTCAGCAGAATAAATCCAAGACCTGATGGGGAGAGAAAAATTAACATGATATTCCTCCATTTTCCACAGCTAATCACAGAACATGCATTTTCTGATCATCACACAATGCAGAACTCATCCTATACGGACAATTGCCTAAAAAAATGTTTCAATGACAAAGCAATAACTCACAGGTAGTGGGTGGAAGAGGCATGATCCCAGTCAAACTGTAGACTTCATTTCCATTGACAGTGAAGAAGTTGGAAGGGCCCATAGCAGAGCTCACAAACATTGTCACTCCTCCCAGCAACCAAGGAATGATAAATTTCTCAGGAATCACATGTGGCACTGTATTTGTTGTAAGGTTGCTGCAAAAAAATCGCAATACTATACTGCATTCAAACCCATCTCACAAATGAATTTCTCAAGAGCATACATTTTTTTTATACAAACAGAAGCTCACCTAAAAGTGTAACTGCCCCAAAGAAACTCTTGCCTGAGCCAGTGTTCCTGGTTCTCATTTGCCTCCAAGAGCTGTTCCAGAGCATTTTTGCTGGGATTCGGTGTGATTCCTGACGCGATCCCAGTAATCTTGTTCTCCATCCTTGGAACATCTTCCCGAGTCCACATGGATACTGCCTGGTAAGCCGAGATCATCGGATTTCCCTTGTGGGTCTTGGCCACCTCGGGTAGCTTCAGATACCTGGTCACAGCCCTTCCAATGCACGTGATGAGCACTGCACTGAATCTCACATTTGTCTTCTTCCTCACTTCTGTCACTTTGGCCAGTGGGATCGGATCACTCCAGTAACACCACTTGCCACATGGTGGTTCCTCAGCATTTGCTGCAGATCTCAGCGGATTGTCGTCGCTCAAACACAACTGTCTGCATGCCAGAAACGCAACACAAACCATCAGCTCAAGGAAACAGGTTACTGATCACAGGGCCATGACAGCTTGTCTTCAAGTAAAGAACTACTTGACCCTCATTTCAAATCTGATCAATCTCGTTCAGAACGGAACTCAGTGCATCTCCAATGATGAAAATATATGACAATAACATATACATAAACTCAAACTTCTTATGACTATCTTTCTCCACACGCACACACAAACAAACCTGGACATGATGTGGGGCACACAGAGCATGCCAAGCATTTCATTCCTCATCCTCACAACCTTGGGCAAAGGCTTGATGTTGCCAAAACCATCAGATCCTTTGATCTGGTCAGCAACAGCAGGCAACACAACCATGAACGCAGCCCCACCATCCAACATACTATGATGACACCGCAATATCAGGATACAATCACTACCATCTTCTTTGTTCACTAGCAGAACACGCCATGGAGACGTCTTGGAATCAAACATTGGGGCATTTATAATCTTCTGAATAACATCCAACTGGTCTTCACGGTTCTTGTACGTCACCTTCCATTCACGCACGCATCATGAAAAAAAAAAAAAGTTAACTTTGAATTTCACGCTCTAGATTAAAAAGAGAACTTACTTTGGTCCCAGCTTCGTCCCGGAAGTAGTCCACATGCCAGTGGAGGTCAAAGGTTTCAGCCTGAGTCCACACATACAGCCCATACTTGGACTGCACACTTCGCATGAGCCGTGGATGAAGACTCCTTCCATCCACGGTTTGGGCACAAACAAGATTCTCAGAGACTCGTCTCCGGATCTCCTTTAAAGGAATCGAGCCACGTATATGAAATAGAGCGTTGATGAGCCCTTCTTTGCTTGGAGCTGGCTTGTGGGCACTGACTGCATCACAAGCTGCCATGAGCTCCGCGTTGGAGCCGTATTCCAGGTAAAGCAGCACACGAACAATCAATTTCCACAGCATTGAGAACAAGAGAGAAGGGATGAAGGTGACAAAGAACACCAAAAAGCACAAGGTGTGCGTGACTACATCAGTGAATGTGCGGAACATGTTGTTGGCACCTGATTCCGCGTCCACTTTGCTCTACAAGCGAAACAACCAACATCAGATATTTTCAAAAATTGTTGATTCACTCTATCACTCACACGCCGGCCGGCGGAACACTGACAGAGAACAATCCTACGGGGAATCCCTTTATTTCTGTCCAAGGCAGAGGCAGGAGACGTCTGTTACAACGGCAAGCGACTCTCCCAATTGAAAAGCACCCCGCACAAAAAGCACACCGACTTTAAAATCAAGCGACTACTGGTCTCATGATTAATTCTATCTGCCTTCCAAGGCTGATTTTTTGCAATGCATGCCTCCATTCCTAAAGCGGACTGCAAATTTATTTTTTATCATGATTGCTCTGTATGTAATGAATACGCAACCAACTACAAGTTCCACAAGCACCTCGTATAAACGGAACTGATGTAAAATTATTTCAGTACTGTACATTATAATTAAATAGTGTCCAGAACATTTTATGCAAATGAAAGAATTAAGCATCAATCCACTTCCACAGAGATGCTCTAAAAGGAAAAAAAACAACCTCAGATGGAACAAAAAGTCGATTCTATACCAAGAATTTGAGGATGAATGCATTTTTCCAATAGGTGTATATTCGTTTGGGATTGTTTTCTATCTTCGCTTCATTCACTATCCCATGTAAATTCACGCATCGAGACGCTGATCCGAGCTTCACGATGTCACGGTGTTGTTTACGACTGTTGCCGGGGCAATGAAGATCGCTACAGCAGAAAGAACCTCGGGTTGCCACGCGGGTTCACAATGTGCATCACGCATTCAATTCGTGACTCCTCTCGAAAGGCTAGGACATAGCTCTGGGGTTCTGAGGGCCCCCGATTCCCCCCAGCAGGAGCTTATCAACTACAGTACAGTAGTGACTCCAGTGAGGGGATGGGGAGGCACAGTGGCGAAGAGTTTAGCAGCGAAGAGTTCGGCTCTCGCGAGATTGGGTCTCATGTAACTTGAGAATACCTACCAGACGCCTGACTACCGTTTCACTGCGCGCGACCATGTTTTAACCCCTGCTGCCCTCTATTCTAAAAATATTATTATGCTCTCTCGTCTCTTCAATGAAGGCATCTCCCAGTGATGCCTTATTTGCTACCCTTTCGCCATGCATGGGCAACCCTCGAAAAATCGGGACAAATCTAGAAGAGAAGCTGAAGATCACGGATGAGTCGCTCAAAAATAATTGCAAGTGACTCCCAGTGAGCTAGCTCTGGCTCAAAGTGAGATTATTTTATGCGGGTTTCGAAAAGAATTAGTTTCAGCCATTTCATGAAGAACAAATTTCGTCAATCACAATAAATTGTAACAAGCAGGAATTAAATTATTGACACACTCGGAATCGTGATGAAGCCATAATAAATAATTTCAAGGGGATGGAGTCGCTCAAATTACACAGCGAATAACTTTTTTTTTTTTGTCCACTTTGTTTAATGCGAATCCCAGCAATTTCGAGCCATTTGCCAAATAAAGCCTTGATGATCATTTTACCTGGATGTTTGACTATATTTTCAGACACTCATACCATGAGTCAGCAATATTTATATTTTGTTTAAATTTTGCGTTAAAAATTACCGAGAAACAAAAATTTTCTCCTGATTTTATAGACCCTCATACAAGTGTTCCCCCTTTTTTAAATCTGGAGAAATCTGACTTTTAATAATAAGTACTTTTAACATTTAATTTACGCATCAGAATACAAAAAGAAAATATAATCCCAGATGAATTTTTGGAAACCCTTTCCTGATGGTATAAAATATCAAGGAATTGGTTTCTTTGGGTTAGTGGAAAACAGATACCTTTTCCAGTAGGGTTCTTTTCTTCAACAACCAGTTTGTTGAATAAAATCTAAATAGAAATAGGATATATATAAACACTCACCTTTTCTCAATTCTCTGATGTAGATTTGTTCCATTTGATGTGAATATTTGGTCAAAAGCATTATTGTATGTTCGGTTTCTTCCACCATGAGTCATTCACAGTATTTTTGGCACACACGCGTTCCGCATTTTTTGCACATTCTGCTGTATAATTCGAGTTTGCCAACTACTTTAATTTTTCGCTTTTGTCTTTCGCGACATTTTGCAATAGTTTTTAGCTCACGGTTCATTTTCTTCTCTCTCCTGAAAGGAATATAATAGCAGTATATTGTCTCAAAATTCACAACAATGCACTTTACTAAAGAGACACAATAAATGAAAATAAATGTTGATGTATTGAAATACAGTTTTTAGACCTTGACATTGGCACCTTGGCCTCACTGGGTGACTTTAATACATCATTGATGAACTGTATACATGATACAAATGATTTGCATATAATTAATGATGAAAGGATGACATGCTGAAAAAAAGAGGGAAACCCTTTTGTGTTTCCAGTTATCATGAATGATCATTACTGCCTTACATACTTGCTGTAATCCATGTTTTGTTGATCAGCAACCAAAACCTTCCTCTAATTCCTTAATTTTGTTCAATTTCCGCACGCGTCATCATCATTATCATACACGAACCGAAGGTCATCATTCGAGATCAGGGTGATAATTTCGACAGGAGCCTCGAAATTAGCACTTCAACAAGACTAGTCCTAGTTTTCTTAACCGTCTCGATCGAAACAGCTTCAATCGTTAGAATTCGAAGGAATTCCAAGGATTATCACGGGCAACTGCTGATGCTGTTCCTGTCAAAATCTGCTGGCAATGCGTGTGACGACTCGATTGAGCGACATCTAGGAAAGAAGCGTCGTTTTCCAAACGCGGTAAGTCTGCGGACAGTTCTCCAGAGCGAGCAGTTCGAACGCAGTTGCGAAGGGAGATGAAATCGCAGAACTGAAGTATTTCCGGGTATGAGTGGTGTAATAGTGGACCAGCCACGACTGCGAGTCCTCCAACATTTCCATCGTCGTCTTGGTCCACTTGGGACTGAAGTATTTCCAGCAATTGGCAGGGTGATATGGATACAAGAGGCTTTTGTTCAGCAATGTGACGTTCATGGCGGCGAGGCAGTCGGAGAGATGACCGCGGTACGCAGCTGCGGGATTTCGTGGTTTATCGTGCGACATCTGGCATAACGTTTCTAAGACTTTTGCTTGGTGATTATTCCCAGTTCCCAAGGTGCCGGATGTCCATTGCCTCAAATCTATGGCTTCATAGGCTTCCAGCAACTTGGACAGGAACCAATGGTTCTTGCTAAAGCTCAGGATCCCATGGTTGACCCTTGAGCATGTTGGCAGGAAGTCCTTGGAAAGCCATTTCATAAGCGATTTGAGGGGATCAATTGGAGGCCATTCCACTTGACAACCGACAGCATTCTCAAATTTTTCTAGTGACTTGAGCGTGATGATGTCTGTATCCAAATAGATCCCTCCATAATGCCACAAGATGGCAGTCCTAAGCAAGTTTGTCACTTTTAGTGCGTCCCTGTATGAAAAAAAATGCTTTTATTCAAGTATAATCGGTAGGTAAATCGGTTAATACAAAGCAGAAAAGAGAATTTGTGTAGGAGGACTGAAAATTGGGATAGGGTACAACATGAAACCAAAATTGGATACGTTTTGGAATACAGCAGTGCTGCTGTATCAAAATTGTTTTTCATCCGCTGAGAATATAAATTTTTAATATATTCAAGTCAAGATTATAATTTTCATAAAATAAAATGATCAAACTAAAATAACTAAGAAAGTTGTTCAAAGATTAATAACTTGATAGCTAAATTATTCAAAAAATGACTGCATAAGCTCTTCAAATATTTTTACTTCAATTTCCAGTACCTTATTCATTGATGTCATATTCTGCTGATTCTATGAGAATATTATAAGAATACAGAATTTTATCATCAAAAAAGCAAGTTATGCATAAATTTGGTCCAAACTGCTCTTCCAAATATTTAGTATGAAAAATAATAAATTCATGATATATGGTTGAATTTGGTGTAAAAGTAATTCAACATGATACAGTATAACACAAGAACTACTTTTGGATGGGCCAAATTGTTGAAAGTTGTTCATTATTCCTTCATAAAACAAGTTTCCAAAACATTTACTGTCATTTGAGCTGATGAATTAATTCTTTGCATAAACTTTGTACATTTGAAAAAAACGGCTGAAACAATAATAATTAGGTTTTCTGTCCATCACTTTATTATATATAAACAGGTTTGTATACATCCATTTTCTGGATGAAAAGGATCATCCAATAATGACTCACCAGTAGATATCTGCTCTTCTCTCAAATGTAATCTTTTTCACCAATTCTGTTTTCTCCAGCAACCAGGGTTCCAAAAAGAAACTTGTGACCTGGACATTCTTCAAAGTGGTCACAAGTGACCCAAGCTCATCCAACCATAGGTAAGGCTTGTCTTTCCCTACAACAAGATAATGAATGATTCTTTCAGGATTGTGGATGGATGTTGACTCCAATGCACATGCAGAGGGGATGTTGAAAGTTAGAGGTGACTCTGGAGACTTGACAATATCCAGGAAGAAGATGATGTTGTCAGTCAACTTCATGGACTCCAGGGATTTGCAGTAAGAGTTCCTACAAATAAAACAAACAACACCATTGAGTTTTCATTAAAGTTAATGCCTTTTTGAAAAACACAGCAGTGCCCTCTACTTACTCTCCTTGGCATTTGACATGTGATTGTGGCATGAAAATGAATGGGGTTTCATACATAGATCCATCTAGAAACATGTATGCCAACCCATACATTAATGTACCTAGACAGAAAAGACACAGCAGAGCAAAGAATTTCCACCAGCTTCTCCTAATCTTGGCAATCATTCCATACAAATACTTTAACTCATCATCCTGTATCAATCAGAGGAATGTATTATTTATAGTGTACAACACCCTTACCCTGCAAAAATGTACAGTACAATATTTCCACCGCATTGAATTGCAATAAGTTCCAAAAAATTGTTGCTGGAATTGAAAGAAAAGTATTTCAAATCCATATTTGACACATGTATACTGCTTATCACTCCTACAGTTTTTTGGGACAATATTCCAAAAGATATAAATTTTGCATTCCGATTGCATAATACAATAACATTTATTATACTGTAACTCGAAAGCAGTCATTAAATCTTAACAATACATCCAGTAATGCAAGTGGAATAAGTAATCACTTATTCCAATCATGCCAAAATTCCCTCAACTGTCATCCAGCATAAAGTGAGCATTAGTAAAGTATTCTTCAAAGAATCGTGTTGAAAATGTCGCGACACAGTACTGTACAACACTACACAAGTGAAGACAACGTTCATCTTTCTGGCATGAGAATGACGGCAGAATACTTACTTCACGCGGACTTTCACGCCATGTGAAGAGGAAACCTCACCCCTGTTTTATTTTTTATTTTTAAGTTCTCTCCAACCTTTAGTCACCGAGAAATAGGATGAGATAACCGCCTAAATTGTTTGTTTGAAATGACTGAGATTTTCACTTGCGGATGAGATAACAATTTAGGCGGTTATCTCATCCGCAAGTGAAAATCTCAGTCATTTCAAACAAACAAACAAAAAAAGATAACATTAGTAAACGGAATCACAAATTCCTTTTCTCGCTCATCATTCAGACAATTTTAATTCGCTCAAATCAAACAGCGCTTTCGAAAAAAAAAAACACAAAAAAAACAAACAACCCGCCACAAAGTCTCTCTGCGAAAGAAACAAAAACATTCTTCCCCCTTTCCTCATTTTTTTTTTACAAGCAAAGCCTCGGAAGTATCTTCCCCCGAGGCTTCTGCCTTAGTTGGAAACTTTAAAAAATTGAAACTCTGTTTGTACCCTCGGCAAAAGAAAAAAAAAAGAAAAAAGGCAGGTTGAGTATCGGTTCCCTCCCAAGCAGTCCGACGACGCGAGGCGACGCCAAAGTCTAAAAAAAAAAAAAAAAAAACGCACACTAATAATTGAAAACGACGTTTTCTTTGGACAACTCATCCAGGCAGTCTGTGTGTGAGTGTGTGCATGACTCTCATGACACATCACCACCACCTTCTTCAAGCCTCGGCAATATTTAATAATTAAAAACAAACAAAAAACCTTGAAGAATCTTGCCGACTGCTCGGAACAACAACAAAAATAACGACCCGCGCTTCGTGATGATGATGACGACTATGTGGGAGGAGGAGGGGGTCATCTCCATTCAGGAAATCGACAGCCCAAAAAAAAAAGAAAGACGGAAATATTCACATCCCGTCACTTGCAAGGATTTCCCTTCATCATTGTCAATCCAGAGTGCCGCCATCTTCGATCGATGGCCGTGACACTGGGTGGCCCGGCGCCGAGAACGGACTTGACAAACTGGCCGAACTCGAGCTTGACGGAGAATTGAGGTTCTGGAAAATGTTAATTGAAAATAAAACACAGTCCACTTTAAATCGGGACATTTGATAGTTTCTCCTCATTCAGCAAAAAGAAAACCAAAAAAAGGTGATCTAGCCAGTTCAACGGAATTTACAATGCTCTCTATCGTTACACAAATGTCGGTCGCCTTCACTTTCCAATCATTCACGTATCAGTCAGGTTACTTTTTGGTCTGAACATGCCAAAGATTTTGAGCAACCGGAATAAAAAGTCAAGCACTACATACGAAACATTTTATCGAAAGAATTTTGTTTACCACGGAGTTTTTCCGCCGCCGCGGATCCTTCGACTCTGACGACGAACGGCGACCAATTCCCGCGAGATCCACCACTTTGGCGAACTTCTCCACAATCGGATCCGACACCGAACTCCCGTCATCAGACTCTGTCAACCAAACCAAAAACAACATTTCCTTCGTCAAAAAACGCGAAACCAAATATTATAAATAATGTCGATCCACGCCGAGTCAAACTACAAGGAACGTCAAAAAAGAAATTACACTTTTAATGATCTTCTTTTTCCTGTGTCCATGAAATGAAATAATCCCGCGTAGACCAGATTTAAAAATTCGGGGGAGGGGTGATAAAAATTGGAGCATTTAGGATTTTGCAGGATTGTTTCTTCCTGACAAACACACTATTAAAAATTCTTTTTTAATGATTGCGAAATTAAATTAAACACACCACTCGACCGTTTAAAATTCAAGAACTAGAGAAATTTGAATCTCCTCCATTTCTAAACATAAGCTATAAACCTCAACACTAGCCTACGCACGCTGACACAGTCTCCTGAGTACACATTTATACCTATTTGTTCAAACAGAAGGCTAAAATGGCAACTGAAGCATTCGTCGAATCAACATACTCCTCATTTTTCGACCGAAACGAAATGTGCGCATTAGCCAATTGTGCAAAAAATTTTTGTAACAACTCTCCATCTACCATATAACTGAATTTTATGGGCAAAAAAGAAGACAAATCATAATGCAGGTGAACTCGCTCTACAACTAAACTCAAGGGACCAGAATAAATTCGTGGTAAAGGACTGTAGTACTGTATAATTTGGGGTGAGAACCCTACAGGACCAAATACAAATTCGTTATACAGCGAAATTCGTCGTAGACAAGACCATTGTAGAGAGAAAGATAGTCCACCTGCACCTCCAAACTTTGGCAACAACCATAAAAATTACCCACTTCACTCATTTCAATAATCACTGCGCAGAAAATACAGTCCGTAAAAAAATAAAACCCCCAAAACTGCTATCAAAAAAGGAAAATCCGTCAATTTTTTTTTTCGATCATAACTAGCCAGCATGAAAAAAAAAATCTATGAAGCAACGAAATTCCGTCCCGTACCTTCCAAAAGGATGTCCTCGGGATCATACGGTTCATCGGCTCCTCCTTCAACGGGTTCATCTCGCGAATGATGACGCTGTTGTTGTTGATGATGATGTTGTTGCGGATGGTGGTGGTGGTGGGGTTGATGATGATGTTGATGATGATGATGTGTTTCCAACGGTGGCGGGGTGTAACTCCTGCCGGAACTCAGCACGGCGTCAATAGCAATCGGACTCATGGAACCACGGCACCGACTCGTGCGCAACCACCGCCGCGCCATCTTCTCGTTCCGGTCCCGTTTCCGGCGCCACAAGATGCCCAGCAACACGTCCTGGCGGTTCTTCTCCATGCCTGGGCCCTGGAAGGGCAACAGCACTTCCGGCACCGGCCTGTCCCCGCGCACAGGCACCAAGTAGAAGTCCTTCACGGTCGTCGAGTGTTCCTTCAACACGCCCACGCGGTCCTTTTCGTACAGCGACTGGAAAAACTTCTTGTACATGATGCCGTTCCGCTCGCGGTCCACTCCGCTCTTCGGATGGAACCTCACAATCACCATTTCCTGAATAAGAACAAAAGAAAATGATTTAAAAAAAAGGGTTCCACCATGTCTCAGTTGATCTCATAGGAATGCGACAATTTGCATACCTATACACGCATCATTAGCTCGTGTGGCCGATTAAACGTTGAACTTGACGGCACTTTTCATCAAATGACGTGAACAAATTATTTATCCAAGAGAAATGAAATTAAAATGCTCAAGCACTTGACAGAATCATTCATTTCCCTTTCTTCTGCTTCATCTATAATGCCAGACATCCTCAACTCCACCGTTTTGCGTTCCCATCAAACAAAAGATTTGCAATTTTCTCGAAATTCTTAAAATTTTAACCCGCTTCCACCTTTGCAACATTAACAAACGAGTCTACGATCTAAATTATTGCTCGTATTACAGTACTTGTAGAATACGACAGTCACATTAGGAACAGTGTTGAACGAATGCATTTTGAATTACATGATTTAAATAATTTATCAGTTATTCGTCTGAAATTTAATTCAAGCATTGCAGATAAATCAAATTCCGTAAAAAGTAGGGATGCTCATTAATTACTTTGCTTTCTCTTCATTTCAATCTAGATGCGAAAAAATTGGAACACGCACCAGGAATTCAATCGAAAACAATATCAACTCATATGTTCATTTTCATCGAAATCCAAAAAAGAAAGCATATAGAAGACCGATAAAATGCATAAACCAGCACTTGCAGCTGCATATACTTATGCGCATTTGATTCGAGTTTGGTGAACAATATTTTCGATCAGGTTTTTCAATTCAGACGAGACCTGCCCCAAATACCGTCAACGACGTAATTCATTTCTCATCAACAAACTGGTGATCTACATTCGATGCACAACGCACAGAAATTTGTCTCACCGACAGACAAAACATCATTCTTTCATTAAAAATGATCATCATCGTCATTTAGTGATAAAAATCAAGTCTCATGAGAAATAATTGCAGGAATGTTGAACGCACCTTGTTGGTCGACTTTCGCATTTCCTCAACATAGGTAAAGGCGCAGTCGGCAGATAACCGACCAACCACTTGTAGGTTGATGTGAACGTCGTCGAGTAAATGGTCGCAATAGCCAGACACCGGAAACGCATCCAGCACCACGTGGTCGTGGAATTCCGGCATGCGGATGTGACCAGACCAACAATCTCGCAACCGGATCCTCTCATCCTCTTCCTTATCAGAGTAGTCAGACTCGTCAAATCCCAAAGCTCTGAAAAATAAACAAAAGAAAAGATTTGTACTCAATCACCCGAACTGACAAAATTCAGCGCGGAATACGAAACGGGGAAGATAAACACGACTGCGCTGTTTATCTCATCATCCGCAAACAACGAGTCAAAATCTGAAAGCTACCTATCCTTTACTAGATTACGCGTTCACTTCACGCTCGAAACCATCCTTTTTCGCAGATGAGCTAGTTGTCACCCGAATCGATGAAAAGACCTTACCCGACTGGATTCAATTCTGAGAGGTGCATTTCTCATCAAAATTCAGAGTAGCAAGGGCTTCACCACAGTATACTCTCAAATTGAATCTCCAAAGGCAGTTTTCCTGCGTAAAAGTTTAATCGAGTTGCGCACATAAAACAATGAGAATGCGATTTTCAACTTGAGCCATGAGCACAGTAGCCCCAAAATTCCCCATAATACAAGTCGGACCTCTTCAATTCGAATTGACCAACAGAAAAGTTTGACAGAGAGGTTTCAAGTTTGGGAGGTTAAAATTTTGGAAGTGGTATTGAGGGCAGACATTCTTCCTGCAACTGTGTGTGGCGTGTCCAAAAACTTTTTTTTTTGTACATAAAAATTTGGAGTCGGGAAATTTCACAGTGCAAAAAAAAACAAAAAAAGATAAAAAAAAGTTTAAAAAAAGAGGTTTAGGTTATATTACAATATTTTGAAGGGACTGAAAAAAAAATCGAGTTCGGCAAGTTTTCGACTCCGACTTGGTATCAATATTTATCTCGCGTATCAAGGATTTGACAAATTGGTTCAACCAAGTCGAGTAGAATGAATCCTGAAGAAAATTTTCACCTGTGGAGCTCGGTGTCGTCAACCGGGTCGACGTCGAGCTCGTTGAGAACGTCATCGCCCGGCTCGTAGGGATCCTGCAAGTCGACAACCGGACTCAACACGGTCTGCTGCACCTTTTGCGCCTCAGCCATCGTCTCCTGCAAACGCTGGTCCATCTGCTGTCGCTGCAGTTCCATCTCTCTCCGCTTCTTCGTCAACTGCTCCAATTGTCGCTCCAACTCCTGCTTCTTCTTGTCCGTCTCCTCGGCTTCTTCCTCCGACCGACGGCGTTTCTTGTCGCTGTCTCGTTGCGGGGACGAGTGCCGCCGTTTCTTCTTGTCCTTTTTGTGCTTGTGCTTGTCTCGCTCCTTGTCCTTGTGCTTCTTGCTCTTGGACTTGGACGACTTGGCCAACTCGGCCTGGCAGATCTTGCAGTTGTCGTCAAATGCGTGTTTCCCGTGCGACGCTGACGTGTCGACGGGGGTCGGGGGGTGCGAGTGGGGCGCAGAAGTGTCCATCACACTGTTTTCCTCTTCCACTGTTGAAAAACAAAGGTGCGGGAAATATATATACACATACAGTATATATATTGAACAACAAAAAAGCCGAACGAACGTTGATCGATTTGAAAAGTCTGTCTTTCAGAAAACCTCTCCCTGTCACTTACATTGCTTCTCAACTTTCCGCGACTTTTCAGCAGACACACCGTCTTCCCCTTCGATGATGACTTCGCCTTTGTGAGTTTTCACCAGAAAAACGTCTCCTCGCCTCAGGTTCTCCAGCTCTTGCTTTTTAATCATTTCGAGATCCTAAAAAAAAAAAAAATGAAAAAGAGAGAGAGATTAAAAAAATAATAATAACTTGCGGTATTTTTTCTATGAAGAAAAACTCACGTGTTTCAAGGATTTTTCTCGTTCTTCGGCGACTCGTTTCGGAGCCAGTTCATTGACACTCAAGGAAATGAGTCGTTCCGGAGAGATTTTCCCAGAGATGATGCGAGTGTGCAGATCGTTTTCGGGCTGACGAATGTTCTGAATGAAACTGCGACACTTTGCCCGGTATTTGAACATGTCGGAGCCGAGTTTCTCAAACATCTCCTTCTCAATCGCCGTCGCAAGCGTGCCGCACATTTCCGCATTGTCTTCGCCAGTCTTCAATGATCTGCCAAAATAATTTTTATTTTGAAAAGTATATTTTCATCAGCTCATTCATCCACACTATTTTATTCTCACCTGCTGGCGAGGGCATCGGCCAGCCCTTTTTTGGCGATTTCTCGCTGCTTCTGCAATGCATCAGAAGACGTGTCAGGCGTAGTAGGTGTTGACGGCGGAGTCGTCCTCTGTTTAGAGCCTGCCAACGACAAAAAATGATCATTAATTGCTTCATGAATCAAGGAACCGAAAGCACGAAGGTACTTTGGATTATGATCCATTCCAGTGCGAAGCAAATTATCCGAAATTTTCATCCAATACTGTACGTTAATGTGATCTTCCGTGTCTCGCTCGGCTCATAGGTTCTTTAGATCTCAAAAAAGGTCGTTGAATGTCAGATCGATCCCTAACTTCTAGGTCAAAATTCTATCATACATTTTGCACAATAATAAATTACGCTCAACATAAGTTCACATTAAATTTCAGCTAAAACGATGAGAAAAACGCTCAACATTTTCAAAAATATCAAAAATCTTCATAAAAAAAAATTTTAATTCGTCAGGCAACCACATTTTTCACAGCATCCTTCTTTCCTCTGTTACCATTCGAATCAAAAATTGTGAACAACGCAAGTCATTTGTGTGGAAAAACATCCATTCTCAGAAACGTCATTATCCGGGGCTTTAAAGATTCATGATAAGTAACTAACCTGAATCCTTGTTTCGGACGTGATTGCTGTTGGTGCTGCTGGAAGAAGAATCGTGTCTCGTCTTCTCAACACTATGATGACGTTTTTTAGACTCCAAAACGAGTTTCGGAGGAACAACTACTGGCTTTTCCTTGTCTTTCAACTTCCTACTGGCAATCGGACTTTCTGCTTCCGTCATCTTCCCGTTCCTCACGGTTTTCCCCTTTGGCGTCTCTGCCTTCTTCACTACTTGGGTGATGAAAACAAAAGAACTCGCAAGTTTTATTCAAGAAGAAACTCGAGACATCGATTTAAAAATTCGTCTCAAGAACTGGGACAAGATGAAAATAAAACAATCCACACACTTCTGAAAGAGTAAAAAAAAAATACAAATTTTGTTTCGCACATTATACCTGGTGCTTTAAGGTCAATAGTGGCCACATGCGGCTGTCTGCTCTCGACCCGAACAAGCTTTTTATCAACAATCGACTGGAGATTGGCAATTGGCACTGGCGCAGAATTGGATCCCGGCAAAGGCGGCAATTCCGTGAGCATCATCACTCCTCTCTGCTGATGTTTATTACTCGTACGCGGTTTCCGCTTCGCATCTTCGTCTCCAACAACGCTCGTGTCCTTCGGTGACCAGGATGGATCGTATTCGTAGGAGCCCTTTGAATCCTTGCCCTTGTTGTGCTTCTCTTTCGTTTCACTTCGAGGGTAGAAACAAAAAAAGGCATAGTTTCAACAAGCAGATAAAACTTCAGCAGGAATAAAAGATTTACGTCGTCGTCGTCGTCGTAGTCGGTGGCGACGTCGCTGCTGTGGCGGCGGTTGTCGGAAGACTCGGGGCACGAATTTCTTCAACAACTGGTTTCTTGGGCGACGGCGGGAAATAAATCTCGTACTTTTGGTGCGTCCGCAGAAAAGACGACAACTGAGCCAAAATCGGCGCCTCAAAGCCCTTCAAAATCTTCCCAGTTCTTTTGTCAATCACATTTATCTTCGTCGTCGGCGGTTTCTTCACAAGATGAAGAAAAGAGTTGATCGACTTTCGTACGTAGGACGTCAAACAGAGAAACTCACCGAACTCGACATCATGAAATCGTCGACGGCTTTCATGCAGCATCTCATGGAACAATAGGCCGTCGTCAGTGTCTTGTTTCTGCAGGATCGCAAAGCACATGGACGGGCAGTTTTCACGTTCGACTTGCTTCTGTCTTTATTAATAACGGTCTTCGAAGACTCCGAACCCACGGCAACGGGTTTTTTCTTCTCTGTCTCCACAAGCTGCTGCTGCTGTTGTTTTTTCGGCACTTCTTCCTTGACAGGCTTCGGATTCTTCTTGCAGTTGGGGCAGATCCATTGCTTGGACTCCTGCTCCATTTTCTTTCCTGTAGAATGAACAACATTTTTAAAATTCATCATCTTGTTATTTAATGAACTTCGTGTTAAGATAACAATCAAAATTAACCTCTCCTTAATATTCGAAAAAAAAGCGGATGGTGTTCATGCACAAATAGATGCTTCCAAGGGCGCAAGCGGATAACTCCAATGCCAATTCATTCCTCCATCCGTAAAATAAAAAGATCCAGTTAACGTGGTGTTACTTCTTGAGTGGGTTCTTCAGGGGATTGAACTTTTCCTTAGATGCCAGAGGGTCCGAGTCTTAATTCTTTCATAGAAACATTTTTCAAAAATGATTTGTTTAGCGGAACTGAAAATTAGATTTAACAGATTCATAAAAAAGTAAACAATCACCAGAAGATAACATTACCATTGATTCACACTTTTTCAGGGCAATCACCAAAATAATTGTCCCAGGTAATCCCAGAGTCAAAGGAAACATTTCCATCAATTTTCTTCATTCTTTGAAATAAATCAAAATTTTGGAACAGTTTATCATCATAGTTTTTCATTTGCTACCAAGTCCTTCTCCCGGATGAAATTTGACAAGAGAACCATTTTGTTGACATCTAGATTATTTTATCAAACCATGCAACAGGAAGATACAAAATTCGTTGGCATCCACGAAGAAAAACCGTAAAAAATCCTTTTCGAACCCAATCAACCCTCTGTCGAGCAGGCAGAAATCAAGTGCGCTTCGTGGTACTGTACTGTGAAACGTCACTTTATTTTAATTTTTTTTTTAGCAACGACAAGGGCGTGAAAAATCAAAAAACAAGTAGCGTATCTGATACTTTCTTCCAATAACTTGCCTTGAGCTCTCGTGATGTTGACGCAGGTGCCATGGAACCAATCTTCACAAACGTCGCAACTGATCATGAACCGATTATTGTGCGGCTTCTGGCAAATGCACCACAGCTTGTTCGGGTCATTCTCGTCCACCTCTTCCGCCTCATCATCCACATCCTCGTCTTCTCCTTCTTCTTCTTCTGCTTCGCCAACTGCACCTTCCCCTTGTCGCCCTTCTTTTCCTTCACCTGCTTCCTTTGCTCCCGGCGACTCGGTTTTCCGCCCGAGCAGAAGATTCTCGTCTTCGTCGTCGACTTCCGTTCTCAGCTTCTTGGCCATTTCCTCTCTCCGGTCCAGGACAGCGTTGGCCACAATGTTGAGATACTCTTCACTCTGTTGCATCTTCTTCGTGGGTCGACGGTCTCGGGTTGACGCGCGGCGACGGTCAGAGTCAGAGTCGGAACCCAAAAGCATCCGGGGGTCGTCGAGGTCCAGGGATTTCGACTCGGGCTCGACGTCGTCTTCCCCGGAAAGGAGGGTTTTCGTGAGCTTCCCGAGACGGGTTTTCTCGCGTTCCAATTGCTCCTGGTTCTCGGCTCGGATCCTTTCCACTTCCTCCTTCTCCCATTTTTCTCGTTGACGCTCAGAACGCCTGCATTTTTTGAAAATTTAAAAATTCGCATCATTTAGAAGATTTCATCGAACAGGAAAATGAAGAAAAAGTCGTCGAAAAAGAAGAAAAAAACAAACGTATGACAGTCAATCAGGACCAAATTCAATTTCGATAAATGTCGTATGGGGAAGATCTACACAAAATGCGAGAAAAAAAGGCCACGACTCATCAGATTTGAAACTATCCATGACTTCCTTCTTCCAGTGGAAGTAGACACTGATGCTTTTCCATAAATTGTAGAAAATTTCAACAGTAAATAAATTCCAGATAAACAGTCCGAACATTTTTTCAAAACCCGGAAGTAAGGACTTCCCAAATTATACTTTTCCGTCTACATTCTACACAGATCAGGTAAACCGAGTTGTTTCAGTGCGTGTAGATGTCACTGCCAGCCACGAAAACATTTCTATTCGAGGCAGAGTCATTGAAATTTTCGAACTTCTTCATCATACTCATCACCAAGCTCTGATTCGTTTCTGCACGAGATTTAAATGATGTTCTGACGACTCAGCGTTTTTTCCCTCTTCTGATAATAAATAGCATTTACTGTACAGTACTTTTTCGAAGAATTATTGCTTTATTCTCGACAGATCACTGACCTGGAAATTTCCCGTCGGGCTGCCTCTTCCGCGGAAACAAGGCGATCCTCGACATCATCGTCTTCTTCTTCGTCGTCAGCTTCATTCTGCTCCTGGTATTCCACCAAAGGCTTCCCATCGGCATTCGATCCCACACGACTCGTCCCGTAGCAATGGTCATGCCAAATTGCTTTCCTCGCTTCTTCTCCTGGGGGAAAAAAACCGAAGACGGATCATTTCAATGATTACACAAACATAAATAAACAAGAATAGGGACGACACTCACGAGTAATTTTTCTTGGACGGTAGGTGGGATTCCCGGGATTCGCCCCTGAAAAGTCAAAATATGGAGGTTGTCATCATGTGTTATTTGAAGAGAAAAAAAAAAGAAAGAAAAGGACTCGTGAAATATTGGCGAATTTCTCAGAATTAGCATGCCAGTCTAACCTCTATCTCAAGCCTAATCAAATTTAAACTTCAAGAGTACACGAGAAATCTAAGTAATAGGAAAATAAATCATTGATTCCAGACACACGATAGTTTGAAGTGGGATGAAAAATGGAAGGGAAAGCACGCTAAAAAAATCAAAATTTGAAAACATGTCCTTCAGAAAACCCACATCAATTTGGACTCCGATAAAATTCAGGGACGTCATACTATTTTCGACTTCACCTCAAAAACGATCCAATTAAAACCTTCAAAACGAGGACACACACACGTAATCGTGAGGAAAAACTCGAAGATTCAATTTGAAAATATCCACTTGTTTCTGTTGAGAGATTCTATAAAGGTAACGAAATCCCTCACCAAGCACAACGGCGGGCAGTTCCTCTCCAAGCACAGCCTTGGCTTGATCCGAACTCAAAATCGATTGCAACTTTCCGAAATCATCTTCGGTAAACTGAGAAACTAGACTGTCTGCGTCATTAGTCGTCACTTGCCAACCATCCTCCAGATTCGACACGTGATGCTCTATTTCAAAACAACGACAACAAAAACTTGACACTCTTTCGTCACGCACACTCAGTTTTTTATCGATGCAGTTGAGGTTTCATGTCATTATTTTCATGGTATTATGAAAACTCATTGCTCACGAGATGCGCACTTGTCACGGAATACTGACGCTTTCAGTTTGATTTTAATGCCAAAAATGGTTTGAATCGTGTTTAGAAACCCAACACACTGATCACAGCTAAGTTTCTCAGTGAGCGAAAACTCTCCAATCAAATTACTGTACCTCAAAAAAGGCAACAAATTTTCAGACATATACTACCTGAATCCCCTTAGGAACTGTAAATTAAAACCTCCAAAACTCAAGGCTTTCCTCCTCAAACCCCACTATCTTAAATTTCCGGAGCCTTTTTGGCCATTATTTTATTTGCACACGAAGGAGAAAAGCAATAAATACTGCAACTTCATGCGCTTTGAAAGGAAGTGAAAGACAAATTGGGCAAAAATAAATCCCTTGCCGCCAACTTCAGCATGCTGTCAACTAATTCAGAAGGCAATTCGAAGCCCAGAATATCACCAGTCACAATTTCCTGCAATTCTGTCCCCTCCGCACAAATAATGCTTTCCCGAATTCTGATTTTTCAGCTAGTCCCTTGAAGTTAGACTTGAAGAGGTTCGACTGTATAAGTAAAGAAAAAAAATTACGGGCGGGGTATGACCTTTGACGACGACGTCGTCCTCTGGAATAGTGTATCCCGACGGATATCGCTCCATCACGACATCAACAACCGGCAAGCCCTCCTCGTCGTAGTCGTCAGAATCCACGTCACTCAAGTCTGACCCACTCCGCGCCAAGTTTCCCACGTGCACGACCGTATAATCCCCGCTCACCGTCCTTCCAACGCTCAATTCTCCGTCAATGTCTATACTCGTCAAATAGAAGAAGAGAAAAATCAGATGCTTGCTTTTTTTCTCTGGCTTTTTTTTTTTTTTTACTCCACTTCACTTCCACAAATACTCGCGAATTTAGAACTCCAGTTCGCGCGGCACACGTGAATGAATCCGCGCGCCACCTTTTTTTTCTGTCTTTCTTCCCGTCAGGTAGCGAATGTTCTAATAGATTCTAAAACGCCGTTTATCCCTTGCTAAGACAACCAAATTTAGTTTCACAGAATGCTCACGCAGACAAACAGTATCGACTTTTCATCAACAATTTTTGGACAAGCTTCACGTCATTGGATTCGCGGGCTTCAGGTTAGACTTCAGATTATGCTCCTCAGGTTTTCATTGAGGTCACTCAGGAATTAAATCACGTTAGTCCTCAGTTTTGGCAAATTATTAATAAGGGCTAATTTAGTTAGTTCTTTTCTGACAGAAATTACGTCTTCATCACGCGGTAGCCTCATTCTGATAGGGGCTAGTACATTTAGTTGGATCCAGTGACGGGTTAGTTCAAAGTTATACGACATACAGTAGTTTTTAATTCGAGTCGAAGGAAAACCCGTTTCCAAAAAATTTTAGAGGAGGCGCGTGAAAAAATGAGAATTGAACAGATCGTCTGTAAGAGGATAAGATGCGGGAATTTGATTCGAAAGACGAAGCAAATACCAACCACAATTGGCGACATCCCTGATCACATCCTTGAGACGAAAAGTGACCCCACCGGCGCCTCGGTTGCAGTAAACGACGACGTTTCCCGACCCCTCTGTCGCCGCCGCCATCTCCTCTTCAAGCGCATGCCAACATTACTTTCTCTCTCCCTCTTTCTCGTGACCGCAAAATTATTCAAGACAAATCCCCACAGGTATTGACCCTTTGTTTGCCTGCGGGAAACGATCAGAGGAGACACACATGATGACTAGTCATCGCCAACCTTCACCAGAAACGTCAAATAAATGCATTCTGACGCTCCCAGAAAGAAAAACCAGAGTACAGGATGCACTGAAGCGTTCATCCATAAAGATATACAAGCTTTTCTGTTTTTCTTTTTTCTCCAATTTTCTCCCAAAAAATTTAAAATAAATCGACAGAAACCGGGCTTATAACAGAATGACCGCGCGAACATAAAATGCGTTTAAACAAGCGTACAGATGGCTGAAAATGATACAACAACGGCAGAAATATCAGCAGAATTCCCACCAGGGTTTCCCACAATCCTCTTCCTGATCTCCTGACTCTGGTGCCTGCTCACGTTTCACTGACTTGCACTTGGGCATCGGAGGACACCTGGAAAAAATTTCCCGTCAAACTTACTCAACTTGATCGTGAACAAATATATCCGAGCACCACTTTCGTGTTTGTACACGAGATACGGATGTAAACAACTATTTCACAGACTCTTCACCCACTTGAAAAAAATCGACATTTCTGGCAACAAAATTCCGTGTACGAAGTCACTTAAAATTCTGCCCTTCGCGGTATGCCACACACAGCACAATAAATCATCTTGAATTACACCAATACACAAAGAATACAATTTTGAAATCCAACAATTGGAACAAATTCCTAGTGCAGTGAAAATTAAAAATAATCCCGAAGAAAAATCATAACTCGGTTTTTCAGGAACACACAATTCTACTAGAAATCATACATTTCATTAAACATTGCCCCCTTTTAATTTAATTTAATAAATTACTCCTAAATACATCAAAAGTTTCGAGTGAGAAAATGATTTACTCGTCTCCGCTTGAGTCAAGGTCCAGCAGTCCGTAGTGGTTGATGAGACATCCTGCACCGCTCACCATTGTCAAAAAGGTGCCAAGGACAAGGAACAAAACATAGTACGGGTTATGGTCTTGTCTGGGTCTCGGAGTCTTCACTTCCCGATCGTCTCCACCAAGTTGATGCATTCGTCTAATCTTCCGATCAACTGATGAAAAAAAATTATAATTCCAATTCAACGCCCTCAAAAACCACGATTTTTCGTTGCACTTGAACACATGTCGGCTGGACTTCCAGAAATTTTCACAATTGAGAATTAACACTAGAATCAGAGGGTCGAATGAAGGAGAATTGCTTCAGGCGACACCTACTCAACATTCAAACAAGCATTTCGCCTCTTATTTCCCGAAAAAAGGTGTTGTGGCACTCACTGTCTGCCTTGACCGTCGAATGGTAAGCATGCAACCTTTTCGGATTATTAGGCATCATTTCAAATCGACCGTCCGTGTTTCTCACTGCAACGTGATCTGCACGAAGAAAATACATTAAAAATCCCATCTCGATCATAAATTGCTTCAATAAAACTCACAGCCAGGTTTTGGGCCATCGCCTTCAATATCTGCCCACTGGGAATCAGTGTAATCAACTTTGTGCTCCTCCATCTTGCGGACCGTCGCTTTTTTCGACTTGGGTTTCGCTACGTGGATTCAAGCGAATCTTTTTTTCAAATTTGTTTACTCAATCCGGGTAAAATTTCGACGTACTTTTTCGTTTCTTGTCCGAGCCACGTCGCTTTTTTCGCTCCGGATGCAGAACTTCGTCCTGTTTCTTCAGCAACGCCAACAAAGTTCGTTCTTCCCGTCTCAGCTTTTCCTTGTCTTCCATTAATGGTTGCTGCACCTTCAATTTTATTCAAATAAAAGCTGTAAACAAATTTTACGCGCCATGAAACGAAGGTCAAGTTTGGACCAGAATCCAAGATTTTTATTTTCACTACACAGATCTTACACTTACACTTGGACAGGTTTCATTCCGAACATATTGGATAAAAACTTCAATATAGCACTGTACTTGAAATTTGAAAAACAGAACTCACGTCAGGTCCACCAGGTGCCATAGCAACGAATTCAGCGTCCGCGGGAAAATCGTTCTCGATGTCCCCACCATCAATCGCAGCAGCTGGCCCATGATGAACCAGCCTGTGCAGTTCTTCATTGTGCGGTAAACCTTTGGCATTGGTCAAGTGCACAAATCGGTCAATGATCGCATCGTGTTCAAATCGTTCGGCATCAGTTTCCGCTTCTGCTCCCGCGGGATCATCGGCATGAAAGAATCTCGCATGTTTCTCTTTCTCAGTCTTTGCCATTTCTTCCTTCTAGAATAATAGGTAAAAATTGCTAACATTGTCACGCACGTGGATAATTTAATTCAAGTAAAATTGTTAATTTCGCACGCCGGCAGGAAATTGAATGATACAAAATAGAAAAGCTAGTGAAATCTTACGTCAAACTCATGTTTGGAACTTCGGCAAAAAATAACAGGCAGATTATTAATTTAGTTTCGGACAGTATGAAAAATGGAAAATAAATTTCCGCACAGGCGCTGATCTTTTCCATAGAAAAAATGACGACAACCACGAAAGCCAAAATAAGACTACTTTTTTGCGACTTGAAATGTCGCGTCAGTTCGCATATCGTTTACAAAGGATGTAATAAGTTTCATGACGTCTTTAGTGCATGAATGTTTTGAAGAAGGTTTCTTCGGCGTTCAACAATACGTGGCGGCGCCTTAAGATAACAAAAATACAAACGAAGTAACATTTTCATCAAACTGATGAAAATAAGCCTCCTTCAACAATGAAGAAAAAAAAAACCTTGGCAGCCTCATCAAGCTGGATCCGTTGAGCAAGAACGCACTCGTGCTGAACAGGCGACCAAGAGCCGTCGCGCAGACATTCAGAATACGGAGGCGTCACTCCGTCTCCCGCCGACGTCGAAAACTTGTCCACACAGTCGAAGTAAACCTTTGCACCGGATACAAATTTCAACAAGCCACCCAAGGAATCCATTTCCGGCAACTGGGCATTCGCTGGAGCAACTGGAACTGTGTCGCACTTCGCTTCATCTATTCAAGTAAAAACACACGCTTTACAAAAATAGTGTCAATCAAAAAAAAAAAAGATTCACAAACCTTGTTGAGGAACACATGCCCCATTCGCGTTCCAAACATAACTCGCTGAAACGGGATCGAATTGGCAAGAAACTTTTACAGTCCATTTGTCCCCTTGATCATTTTGAAATCCTGCCAAGCACTGATACGAAAGCTCTCCAGAAGAAGCCCTAAAAAATTAATCAATTACCTTTCAACAACCATACAACTCGTTCTTAATACTCACAAAGCTCGGTCAGCAGCCTGTAATATCCCATTATCGACCACTGGAATATCATTCTCTGAACACCCGCCATAATTCACTCCATCATTGCTTTCCACAGCTGCCCCAGCTGACTCGAGTCTCGCAGGAAGTAAACCAGGAGGTATTTGTACACTTTCTAATCCAACTTAATAAAATACAAAATACTGCATATATAATACAAAAATCCAAACTTCAACGCTCAAAACCGACCATTATCCTGCGCAAATGCCAAGCTCGGAATCATCAACAGAAATAAAGAAACAAAAAAGATCCCCATCATGCCATCAGATTTCAGAATAACTGTGTGTAACGGAAGGGATTATAAACTTGCATAATCCCTTGACAAGGTTTTGCGGCACTGTCACAGGATTCTCTATTTTTTTTTTAGCTTTCAAGGGGTTTCTTCGAACAAAACACAAGTAAGACTTCATAGCTAACCTCAGCTGAAAAGAACATAGTCCACTCCTTCCTGCAATTCCATCTGGCTCAGGATAGCTTCAAACTGGCCTCCAGTCAAGTCAAGTTTGACACAAATGACGAATGGCCTCAATTGTGCTGAAACTGGCAAGATTTGGACTTTAGGCTTCCCAGTTTTCTTCGCTATCTCATCCTCACAGATGTAAACGGCTTGGGAAATTTTCTTTGGATCCACGTCGCAAAATGCGTTGACCTTACTTCGAAGATCTGCTCCCAAACTCCTGAATTTCAGAGATATTAGAAGTCCAAATAGTCATTCCACACTAGATTTCGGTTGAAGGACATGAAGGTTTGTTGATACGTTCATGAAATGAAAGTTTGTTGATAAATTTCAGGAAATAAATTTAAAAAATTAACGTCGTGTCTTTTCTCAAGATCAGAATTCTATCAAAGAAGTTTATGAAATTTTGAAAAAATAGAGCTTTACTGCTGAAGGCTGCACACAGGAATTCTCAATTCAAAAAACTGTAGAAATGCCGCCTTGACTAACACTGACATCTAACCGAAATGGAACACATTTGCATCGCAGTGGACAAAGTAGAATTCTTCACACAGTTCAAAATACGTTAGAAGTACACATTTCGGCCTGAATTAACTAGCAAAACTTGGAAAAACATCAAAAACTTCCACGAACATGGACATACTCTGTGATTCTTTATTCGCTGGACTTTTCCTCAACAGAACTCGAATTCATCAAAAATTATGAATAACGTACCTGTAGAATCTTCTTCCTTGTTTCCCAGCATTCCAGATGGTAAACTTGTCCCATTTGCACAAAACTAGCTCAAGAAGCCTTCGCATTCTGATATTCCAGATTACTTCCTCGCTAACACTAAATGTTGCGGACCCCGGAACGTGTCGATACTCAACTAATGCGTCACTGCACCGAAACAGCGATTCCCCGGGTTCAACGTTCAAATTTTCACAAATATCCAAGTGTCGGTAGAAGAACGCAAGGTCCTCTGGGAACCCGTGACCTTCTTCAAACCCTCCGACACGTTCAAACACACGTCGATCGCAAAACCACGTCGGCATCAATAATGTTGGACCGTGAGAAGTGAAAATTTGAGTTGCAAGTTTGACTCGGTCCAGGTTGTTGGCCCAGCGAGTGAAACGTTGCGTCGAGTCTGGAGGATTCCTGGTGACCCTGCTTCCAATAATGGCGTTCGGATGTAATTTCTAAGAATAATATAAAACGAATAATCAGACGACGCAATTACGAACGTTCCTCAGAAGTTTTTCAGCGACGAAGGAAACCAGCTACTGAATTTGATTATTGAAAGGAATCCTTCGCAATTTTTGGGTTAGCATCCACACAGCAAAAAAAAATCCAGAACTTCTTTCCAGTCGTAACTCACAGCTGCTCGAAGCTGGATGTCGATCCTTTCCGGCCGCATAACGTCATCTGCGTCGAGAAAACAGAGAAATTCCGCTCGACACTGTTCCACGGCCTTGTTTCTCGCAAATCCCACGCCACCACGACTCGTTCCCTTAATCGCCAACACCTTCACATTCCTGGCTTCCAATTTCGACACGAATGAGTACACCACTTCCAACGATCTGCAAAAAATCAAATAATATACAGTATGAAGAAGAAATGAAGAAGAAAATACCAGCAGAGGAGAATCCAGAAGAGAAGAAATCCTCCTCACCCATCGGTCGAGCAGTCATCATAAACAGAGAGAGTCAAGTCCCCCTGGAAAGTCTGGTCACAGACACTTGTCAGCGTCTCCGGGAGCCACTTTTCCGCGTTGTACACGGGTAACACAATACACACAGACATTCCTCGAAATGAAAAATGAATCCCATTCAACATTGAGCAATTGAAATAAAAGTCGTGGAACGCAGAAACTTCGAACATGGTTCCAACAAACGGAGGACACGGTAACAACTTTTTGCAGGCTTCAACTTTCCCAAGTAAACATTCAGATTAACATGAAACTATTTCTTCCTTTCCTCAAGGCGTGAGAAAATTCACTCGCTCCCGCAAAACACTCGCAACAACCGGTTTCACCACGTATTTCTCCCCGTCGAAATAATAGAAGACTTCTTTTTCCACCAAACCGCCGCCGTCTTCCGCCTCAACCAACTCCACGCTCGGATGAACAATCACTTTCCCTGCCTTGAACATTTCCAGGTTATTTCGCCGATCGTCTTCGCTCGCTGTGCCGTAGGAAAAGAAATCCCAGGCGGAAGTGCACCCACGAAACACTTTCACGTCTAAGGAACCGTCATCTGAGAGTTGAACACTGAGATCGGCAATATCCAGTTCCAGGGTGTGCCATGGCAGGTCGCAGTCGGTGTCAAAAGCGTCAACGTCGACTTCATTGTCGTTGGAGGCTTTCACAACCACAGGGGATCTCCATCTTTCCCACCAAGAACCACTGAAGATAAAAAATAATATGCATTCAATTTTCACAACAAAAGAAACACATTTAATTGCTTTCTTGCTCCAGTTATCCTCCGTCTATTCAAGCACAAAATCGGCTTCTACAGTATAAACTTCCAAGAAAATCGTCTATCGAGCCAAAATCCTGACAAAAAAAGAAAAAAAAACTGAAAAAATGCAACAATTCCAACTCAAATTCAGCCAATCGAATTCAATCGAGTACGATAGTATATAAACTGACATGGCCTATTGAAACGAGAAAATTAAAGCGACATCTACAATGAACTGATGAAAATCACGAAGTTGCGGACGTTGAAAATATGCCAGCTATTTATAGCTCAGAAAAAGGAATCACTTATCTATTATTTTCTATGAAGTGCGATCTTTCGATTGAAAAATCACGGCTTTCAGAATTTTTCCAATTTTCGTTACAAGCAAATCTCCAAGAAGCAACTTGAAAAATAAATGGCGAAAATTAAAATTCACCTTCGCATAACAGAAAGATTTTCTTGTCTCCGTTTCTTCCCTATATTCAAACAGGCTTGACACCCAGCACACGGTTCCCGAAATTCAATCTTGACCCGTACTGGATCAAATCTTCCTCTCAACGCTGTCTGCGAAAAGACAAAGAACATGGCATTCAAATTTTATGACCTCCTTTTCAGGCGGAGATGATGTAAGATATATTTTTTTCATACACAGTGAAATGCTGACATCATCTCGTAAAATTGAATTTTTCGATCGTCAACGTCACAGAAATAAACTTGCGCTATTCGAACCTTGAAGAACGTCCAATGCCTCCTCAACGATCCCCACCACCAGTGCCTCCGGGCATCCACTTCTGCGTCAACCACTGGTCCAAGTCTTAGTCCATTCATCACATACACCGGCTGTCTTGATTCTGCACCCCATAAATCTTCGACCTGAAACATATTTTCAAGTTTTTCAAAGCAAAGCCCGAGCAAGTGAACAACATTAAAAAAAATAGAGGGCGTTGGAGACGTTAGTGCGAAAATTTAAAATGAACTTTCAACGTATTATCAATTTGAAGTTTTAAACACCACCGAGGTGACGATTTGTGAATCACAAGAATGTTTTCCCCCCAATCCAAATGAAACTTGAATTTTATTCAAACGCTTTATTCAAAAGACGGTTGAATTTTTTTTTCACTGCACGTTTTGGAACACAAATCCTATTGAAGCATTATTCGATTGATTTCATACTGATTTTGGCTTGATATTTTCGAGCAGAAATTTAAAAACACTCGCCTTCACGACATCGAGAGCCTTTTGTTTCCCGTTCACAGCAGCAAAGGCTGCTTTCGCAATATCCTCCACCCCAATTTTTTCCCGTTTCGCGAACTCATTCGTCGCTCCCAAGGGAAGAAAAACTATGGGTGCTGGAGGGGTTTCGTCTGGTCTCGTGAGAAAGCCTGTCACAGCTTCACTCAGACTTCCATCACCACCCGCAATCACGACAGCGTCCAAGCCACCAAAGTCACTCGCTTCCAAAACTCGCGCTAGAGCCTTAATAAAAATAAAAAAATACATAAAAATAAATATACATTACACTGAATCCTCAATTTAGAGCCAAAAGCCTCTCCTTGAACGAATTTCCCTACATGTCTTTTCAAGGATAATCCCGATTTATTGGCATAAAAATTTTGCTATCCTGGGTGAGAAGTGGGTAAAATAATAAAAATCAAGGAAATTAGGGCGTTTTCAGGAATATCCTCGGTTCATCACATAGAATCACATGCCCTTGCGCACAAAAACAGTCTCGAGTAATTTTGCAAATTATATTTCTGAATTTACATCATTGAAATGCCTTTTTCGCATGACACCTTACATTATCGAAAATTTTATAAATGAAGTAAGAGCTTTCCTGGGAAAATTCGTGATTCCAGCATGAGTCATTTGATACGAAACTCAAACAAATTTTCAGGAAACATTTCTTCTCTTTCACTTGAAACAATATGCTTCAAAACATATCCTGTTCATTGAATAAGGTTTAATCTTGATAAAATGCCGAGTCAAAAACCTCTCTAAATTTAATTTGCTTCTAGTTCCGAGCATTATCAAACCTAGTTTCCCCAACCACTCAACTCACAACCTCTGTTCGTCGATTTTTTTGAAGGTCCTTTCAAATTAGACTTAGAGAGGTCTGACAGTATACTTGAATATGGGATAAAAACAAGAAACGTAAGCTTCAAATTACTTCTTGTGAAATTTTCTTTCATAAAACAGACTCAGTGGCCGAAAAATTCTGTAAACCAGCTCATTCTGCTCAATCTCATACAAATCTCTCAACGTAGTGCTAAAATATGTGCTAGGAGAAATGATGTCATTAAATCGAGATTTGACTTGGCGTAGTTTTAGCCTACAGCAGTAAGATATCTTACCCTCGTTTGCCCAGCAGTGTCACTTCGCACCACGTCCACCTTGAGCCCAGCCAGGTACAACACGGGTGCAGCCCAAGAATCAAACTTTGTCTGGCACTTGCCAACACCAGCAAAGGGATTCAGCAGCACAGCAACAGACCTCGGCTCACTGGCCACAGCCAACAGTTCGTTCCCAATCTCCGCTGCTGAACGACAAAACTCGGTCTCGATCGCTTTTTCGGCACGCCGGTCGCGCCAATAACTAGCGCCGAACGCAGCGACCGACGAGAAAAACACCGTTTTCTTCCAATGCTCGCGCAATTTCCTCACCACCTTCGCCATTCCTCCTTTTTTTTTTTGCCGGGATAAACACATTTTCCCCAAGAGTATCAACTATCAAACTTGGCATCCCCGTGCTTGCAAAGCGAAAAATATTTACATTCATACCCTGGTCGACCCGACGCATTGAACTCTCGTTTTCAGAAGGATCTTTTTCCACGCATGAATAATAAAAATTATGATAAGAAAATAAGTTGTCCCAGGAATGAATATTACACCGGAGACTTATAACTCAACCTGCTCAAAATGTACACGAGTTTCAGCGAAAAATTTCTATCTACGAGTAGAGCATAAAAGTCAGCATTCTGCAAGGGGTTCAATTTTTAAATGGAGCGCTCATGCACACACACTCGAGGATCAAAATACAGTACTCTATTCTATTGGCGGCTACATCATGAAAAATCGCATATAAATTTTTCGCAGTTAGAAACGTGATTTTTCAATTATTCTGATGTGAATGGGAAAAAATCCCTCTGAAAAACGAGGCACAAGCGATACAACCCACAAAAAAGAAAAAACACATTCCCCAGATACGAACTAAATACAGTACAGTATTTAAAAACCGTTTTTTACTGATATCGTTAAAAAAAACATCACCGAAGTTCATACGCATTGAAAACAATAAAGTTTGAACAAAATCACTTGGGCGCCACGACCGTGTCGACGGGAAGCAGCAAAACAGGGTAGCAATCGTACACGACGAACAGCCGCCCCTGAGCTTTATTCCGGTTTCGGCGCCGCTTCAAACACGTCACCGGCCGTCGTTGCAAAGACCAGGAGACGCCGGGCAGGGCGCCGAATTCCGGCGCCGCCGCCGTGATGTCATCTGCGTTCCACGACTGCAAAGGCTCCGGTAACTCGCATCGCGACCAATCGCACTTGGAATCGTCTCCACTCACATCCGCCTCGAAGTCTTCAAATGTGAACCTGGGCCGCGCATCCAGGCTTTCAACATTCACTTTCTCCTGCTGAGAGGAAAAGATGAAATAAAAAACTTACTTTCCGAACACGCAGGAGGGATTTCTCAAAAGTCTTGCGATTCACGTAACACGTTGCCATCCCGGGAAGATTAAGGCTGAAGTTTTCATCACTTTTCGTCTAAACTCGTGAAAAGAATAATACCCCATTAAGAACGAATGAAGTTGTTAAATGACTGTGAATTACGTGGGTTCACCTAGAGGTCGCATGCTTCAATTCAGACTAGCACTCTTCAAGATGTAGCTTTCTGCGGATGGGGTTCGCAACTGCCTTCTCAAATAGCTGCGGCATTCACAATGAGCACATTTTCATGAAAATTTTCAAATTTATTCAAACCATTCAATTGGAAGATCACCGACACCCAAAAGTCGTTAGACCCACATGGTAAAGCTTTGCATTTGAGGATTTTTCCCAATTTGTCAGGGGATTTTAAACTGACGAGCCTTCATGGAAAGATATAAAATTTCCAAATACATGAAGAGGGCATAAGACAAATTTTCTAGGTTCTCCTACTTTTTTTTTCGAGCGAAATGGGATGAAATTCTCTTCACAAACCAAGGGCTTGCTGAATAACGTCAGCTTCCACCCAACTGCAATGACAATACGTAGATGATTCGCAGAACTTTCAAGAAACTCGTCGTATCCTCACCGCATCCGACTCCTTCACACATCATAAAAAAAATCACTCAATCGGCCTGGTTGCTTCATAAAAAAAAAAAAATACCAAAGAGTTTTTTTATTCGAAAACCACGTGAAAAGAGAGACCCCAATTCCCTTCCTCGTCAATCCTCGAAAACTTGACTCAAAAAGGTCAAGCCGACGCGTTTCACGTTCGCTGGTTCCACAGAAGAAACTCTAGCTTGAACGTAGTCCCCGAGACGGATGCTTTCTTTCGCTCCACCCATTGCTGACTCGTGCATGAGAACATCCTTTCCGACGCCGATGTCCACAAAGGCTCCAAAACTAACTACGTTTCTCACACGACCAACGACAACGTCGCCGACCTTCAGCTTTTCCAGAGATCTCACTTCGCCATACGATGACGGGATCTTCCGCTGGCGAACGTCGAAATCCAAGGTCTTGGTTAACGCCTCTAGCATCTGCTCGAACTTCTCGAAGCTCATCCGCAAATCCGAAGCAAGATCTGAAGAAGTTTTCAATAATTAAAAATTAATAATTTTTATCATAAAATGCGCCAAAAAAGCATAGTTCACTGATTTAAATGTAAGAAATAATTTTCAAACAAATAAGTTTCAAACACTGACAAATTGAGGAGCATCTAAAATTCAAATAACATGTGCAAGAACGTAAAAGTACTGTACTGTAAAGCAGCAAAAAACCGACACGGAGGAAAAAATTAGTTTCCCTTCAATCCTCAAGGCAACCGGATATATTCAACTACAATGTAACTGCCAGAAAAGAAGCCTACAAAAGAAAAACTCAATTCAAAAATAAATCGCGAAATTTGCTTTCCCTTGAAAAAACGTATCCGAGCGATTTTCAACTTTCCAGCAAACACATCTACAAAATACTGCAATTTTAGTCCTGCAAACTCAAATGCACTCACTTTTCCGATCATTCGAGCTCATGAATCGTTCAATTTTACTGACACTGGCTGGATAGCCCACATCTGCCACTTCAACATCACAAAGTGCGAGGAATTTGCATGCTCGAGAGTAGCATTCCGGATGAACTGACGTTTGGTCCAGCGGATTGAAGTTTTGCGAGAATTCTATGTCTTCCAAGACTTTACATTTTATCCTTGCCAGGTTCACACACTTCTGAGGAATTTTCGGAGACTCAGAGCGCTTAGATGACGCAGGCATGATTCGCACAAACCCACAACATTGCTGGAAAGTCTTCGGACCCATACCTGAAAGATTATTAGATAATTAATCATTCTCGCGCTGCAGTACATTTTTTGAAAAAAAAAAGGCAAAAAGCAACCCCGACTTTAAAAAAAAGTACACAATATAAAACAAACATGAAACAGGAGCTGAAAAATACCAACCTTTCAGCATTAGTAGCTGTGTTCTGTTGGTGAATGGCCCATATTCGTTCCTGAAGTCAACCACAGCTTTCGCTCTCACGGGACCAAGTCCAGCAATGCGAGTCAAAACAGCCTCTGATGCAGTGTTCAAGTCTGCACCTATCTCCGACACACAATCCATGATTACATTGTCCAAAGCTTCACCAAGCATCGCCTTTGGAACGTCATGCTGGTACATCCCAATGCCCAAATGTCTCGGCTCCACCTTCACGAACTCCGACAGAGGATCCAACAACCTTCGCGCAATGGATATCGCAGAAATGATGTTGATATCTATGCCCGGGAACTCGGCCTTCGCCAGTGGAGACGCGGAATAAACGGAAGCTCCACATTCTGATACTGGTATGATCTGTAAGAAAATGATCTGCATCAAAAAACAAGCTTCGGCCAAATCACGTACAAAAACTCACTCTCAACGCGAAATTTCCGAAAGATTGATTTTCAATCGCCTGACGAACCCAGTCTTGGAATTCAAGTGAACCACATCCGTCACCAACGGCCAAAATCTGCGGATTATCTTCGAATTCACCGATTCCGTCCACAAGAAATATCGAACAGCACAAAAACGTTACCTCGCACAAGTGTTTCTGAACCAGCTTCTTCAAAGTGTTCAGAGCAGCATATGATGCTCCGACGCCACAGCCAAACTTGGGGTAAATCACATCGGAATCCAACAAAGATCCACCTTTATCGATCACAGCAATCTTACAGCCGTGGGTAAATCCTGGATCCACACCCAAGATGTTACAGCCACGAAGAGGCGAAGAAAACAGCAAGTTTCGCAGATTCCTCCCAAATTCCTTCACGGCACCTTCATTCGCTTTCTCGGTCATAACTCCGACAAGTTCTCGTTTCATCAAAGAGATTATTTTCGGAAATGCAGTGTACATCGCAGTTTCGAACAAAGAGCGAATCTTCGGATTGTCGGACGGTTGCCACCGACTCTTGACGACACTCGAGAATCGCTCGAATAATTCGTCTTCATTCAGATTCATCTCTGACGAGAGCATTTTTTCATGACATCCACGATTGATGGCAAGAATCCTATGCGACGGCAAAGAGTGAGCGAATCCCGAAAAATCGCACAGATCACGATATTTCCGTCGGATATCAGCCGCTGACTTGAGAAGCAATTTCGTGCTTTTCACTTTGACCAAGCAGCGGGCAACAGGACGGAGATTAGTCAAAATTTCCGGGTCTTTGGCAAATATATCCGCCAGAATCTCTTTACAACCATCCTTAACTTGATTCACAGAAAGGTCCTCGGTGACAAGGGATTTGAAAGATACATTTTCACCGGCTAGTAGTGCTCGGGCACTCGGTTCTAACCCCAGTTTACGAGCTGCGTTGCTGGGTGATACCTTCGAGGCTTTAAAGGGCTCTAGCAACGCATCCAACTCAGCAATAGACGTTACCGATTCAACAGCTGCGCTAAGTTCTTGACTGATGACTTTCTTTTTGCGAAGATTCACAATGGCGTTGATTTTACGAACTTTAAGAACTTTTATCTTGTTTAATGCCGACTCGATGTCACGCAAACGCTCTGGATCCAGATGCCCGATGGTGTCTCTTCGATATCGACACATGAATGGAATGGTGTTGTTCTCCCCGAGCAACGAGATGACATTCCTCACAACGTTTTCCGGTAGTTGCAGTTGCTGGGATATCAAGCTTGATTCCGGGGGATCGGGTAAAATCACCACGCTGTCATCTAATCCGTTTGATTCCATCGCTGAAGTCGGGCAATTCTTCTTACGCTTTTTCGACGGCCCGCCTTTCGGCGCGATTGAACTTTCTTCGTCATCTTCGTCAGATAGAATGGCACTCTCCCGCTTCACTGTCCTCGGTTTCGTGGTTCTCTTCGTAACTTTCTTGCGGGGAATGCCTGGCTTGCATTTAACTGATTTTCTTTTAACTTTACGAACATCGGTTGCACTCAAACATTCCACACTGTCATCACCATTAAACATCTTCACGCAAAATCGGATACAACCAGGCCGATTAGTGCAGAAGCCCTCCTTAAAACGGTAACACACGTCGTGACTATCGCACGACGATTGGGAGTCACCAGGAGGACTTTTTTAGTAAACCAAGCTGAAACAATCCACTTACGCTACCACAGTTGGTTCCTCCCGGGAACTCAGTCTGCTGCCAAACGTTTCTGGATATCGAGTCACTCGACATCCCATCGCTTTCCACCGATTCTTTAGCGACTTTTTCAACCGGAAAAATCGTGACTGAACTACGATACCCAGGTTTATCCATCGAAACTCCCCAATAAAACGTGCGCGCACAATATCCAGCGTAGAAATGAGAACCTTTCGCCCGTGACGCGACGTTTTGGGCACGAATCGCATGTCGCGGTAACAGTACTTGCATCATCTACAACTTTCTGTATTTACAATTGGCGTATGAACGCAGCCATCTTAACGGCGTGCGGTGGTGCTCTTGAAACGGTAGGACTAAGTAAAACGTACACGTAGCATGGACATACAGTATACAGTATATTCCTCAACATTACACCAGAACATTCCTTTCTGGTAAACAATCACACAAGCACATACTATGATGGATGGGAATCGGAAGGAGCTCTTTGGAATTACCAATACTGTACAGTATTATACAGGCTTCGGGGTATCACCCAGAAAAACGATTAGGGTCCACTTCCCTAAGGCCCGAATCAGGGCAAATAGGAAAGGAGGATGTAAATAGCAGGAGGAAATCACTTCCCCTGCAGCAATATAAAGTATATATACACAATCACCCATCACGGTATAAAAAAAAAATTGTCCCTCCTACTTCTTCTATATACAGTATGTGCATCTGCTCAGGGCACTCCGTTTGCCCACAGCTACGCTATAAAGCAACGGGGTCAGGAAATTGTTCTGGCCCTTTGGCAATGAACTTTCAGCAGAGACGGTTCCAGTTCTGAAAAAGAATGATTCTATATATATGGGCCAATGTGGGAAAAATTAGGGGACCCCTTAAATACATTCCATATGTATATGCTGCATACTGCTGTATATTATATAATCACTATATACAGTGTATTGTACTGTATTCTATAATGAGCAATACTGTACAAGTATCCTTATTTGATTCATGCAGTTACACAGCAGCCTGTTGTTCCATCAGATTTTGTGTCACTAAATTAATAGAGGTATTCAGAAATCATTCACACAACCACAATCAATAATATATCATTAATGAATAAATCTTGTAAATTATTCAGATCCAACCCGCATGCCCATACTACTTTATTGTTTTAATCATTGAAATCATCTTGTGACCAATTACAACACAGTTGAGAGAAATTATCAAAAACCATTCTTATTCCCCATTCAAATTATGTTTCCCCAATTACAGGAAATCTTGCAATAATTCAGTGAGTTATTTATTCCATATACTTGTTGGCATCAAATACATTGGCAGCTAAGACTAATAAGGTCTCTGAAATACATTGTGGGTGCTGTCGATAATGCAGAATTGGACTACAAATTATCATACAATGCAGCAACAAAAAATTTCACAGCATATCCATGCTCTTAAACTCAAGGTGAATACTTAACAACACACCCACCATGCAGGTCTATTTAATTATCATTATCTCCCCTGATGAAAATGTAAACGGAATCAATCCACCCTCTATATATGTATGTATATATATATATATATATTTTAGGCTGATATTATTGTATATAAAAGAACAGGTTTCCTGGCTGGATCCCAGATCCAAAGAAGGGGATTTTTTTTATACTTCTTCAGCACACGGGTAATCCCTCAACTGGTCTGACAACATCAGCATTGAACTCCCAGCAAATCCCTCAGCACACTAGAAACTTCTCTGGAAAGTCAGCAGAAATGCCCCGTGATTTCCGGACTCAGGAAGCATATCAGACGTAGACAGGCCTCCTTTTCCCGTTCTTTTTCAATCCGCTGCTCAGCTGGAAACGAAATAGGTATACGTACTGTAGTGATGTCTGATGCTTGCTGACATAAGGACCAAGGTTTCTCGTAACTGCAAAAGGAATTTAGTAAAAACATTTTCAAATGAGTTATATACAACACTGAGCACTATTGTGAGACATAAACAAAAGAATTTTCTCATGTAAACGAGTTTCAAAAATCAGGGAGTTTCAAAATATCAAGAAAAGCAAAGTTGTTCTGTGCAACAAGAGCAAAAATTATCCCGATAGCTTCTAAATGCTTCATTCTCAACATATCTCTATAATATAAAAATTAAAAATAGTATACACATTGAATATGCAATAGAATCTCATTACAACTAAGGCGCTGGGGACCTTAGAAAGCTTCGTCATCAGCAAAATTCGTTGAAACGAAATTAAGGCTGACGGACAGGGAATCTGAAAAAAAACAAATTCGTTGTAAGCATTCAAATCGTAACAATGATATTATCTGTAACGAGTTCCTGCGGTATATTATTACCTGCTAATTGAATCCAAAGAACCCGGCCCTGAAATTAATAAAAGTATGCTAAATTTGCATCAGTTGAATTTAAAATTTCCTTTTTTTCGGGTATCGATAATACATGGCGAATAAATCATTACAAATTATGCAAAATACTCTGCATCAAATAATATTTAAATACAATATGATATTGGCTCAAAAAATATAGTAAATATAGTCTGCACACGCTCAAACAAATGACATCCATCTTTCATTATTCATACACATTCCAGCAGCACATGCAGCATTTCCTGAACACACAGCAGAACAGCATTTAATGCCTCGGGGGGCAAACATATACAATTCAGACACGCGCACGTTCTGGCGATGATGAGCAGCAGCAGAATAAGACAATGTGTCAGAAAAATACAGCGTCTTACTTTTGCTCGCGTGAGGAGAAAGACTCATCAGCAATTCAAGCCAATTAATTTAGCCAAAGCCTTATACAGATCAGTATTCCTCGCAGAAGCCCACTTATATACACGAGATCGATTCTGTCCATAACGGCTGTAACATCCTCTCTTTCATCACCACCGGCTCACATCTGTGCTCCCATATATCTTATTATTCCTTATATTCTTCTTTTTTTTTTCTCTCTCCTATTTTTGATCGACCCTCTCATCATACCATATTACATTCAAGTGTTGGGTTCTTTATATCAAGCTTCAAAGGGGATCCATCAGGGTGTGCCACTCTGCAACTTGACGTCTTGGGGACCTCCACACCTCTTGCCAATGCTCTGACGCAGCCTCTGTGGCAGAAAATGTGCTGAGTCCCATTTCCAAGTGTCCCAAAGCCTGTGGAAATTCAACAACCATTAGCCCAGTTTCAATAAGCCGCAAGAAAAAAACAAATCTCAATAAAAAACCACCTGTTTATCAAATAAATATAGGGGGCAATTTTCACATTCCGACTTATTGGTTCCTGAAATTAAAGCCAGAAAACGCACAGAGAACTTTTGCCATTATATAATTTTGAATATATTACTGAATACCTAAATGAAATGTTACATTTGTTATGCTTTGCATCCTGGCATCAATGCATTATACTGTATTATAAAATTTCAGAAATCAACTATATATAGTTTACATGCTAAAATAGTTAATGCACCAGAGTGACAATTCTGCTCTAGTAAACTCAAAATTATACTTTGTGCTTCTCCAGAAAAGTTTGCTCATAGTCTTACAGAATGATGAATACAAACTGAATAATGTAGATACATATAAACCTTTCAGAACTCTTAAAGGATCAAGAAAATTTTTTGGCCTTAAATATGACTTCTCATCAAAAACCTCTCTAAATTGAATTTGCTTCTAGTTCCGAGCATTATCAACCCTAGTTTCCCCAACCACTCAAACTCACAACCTCTGTTCGTCGATTTTTTTGAAGGTCCTTTCAAATTAGACTTAGAATGAAAAGCGGCAAATAAAGTTTTCTGTTCATTCATTCATTCATTCATATAAACCTTTTTTCATGGAGGTATTCATTTCATTTGTTCAAATGGGCGATTTTTACATTTTTTAAGGTTCAGCCAGATATCATAGTTGAGGCGTATTATGGAAAATAAGAGGTCATAATGAAATTTTCAAGTCAAACCAACTTAGGGGAAAATGTATCACTATTACAGAAACAGAATGAAAATAAATGTCTTCCACGGGGGAGAGATAACGCACTCCTGTAATATATATACAAACCTGCTGATGGTTTTCACCAGCACAGCAACAGCTAATAGTAAGCAGGAAATGGAGTGATAAATTCTCCACGCAGTGCGCAATGAAATCCGGGTCCAAGGGATCCAGATCCCCACAGGATCCCCCAGGGCTGCCCTCAGGCACATCAAACACAAATGATTCATTAAAAACAGCTGGGTTTCCTGAAGTGCGCCGCGGCTTCCCTTTGCTGGTCTTCTTGGTATCCAATCTCTTCTCCTTGTACATCAGAAAAACCTCCACAGAAGGGCCTGCAATATAAAGAAGAAGAAAATAATAATGAAAGTGACCCTCTTTTCATACAACAACAAAAAAAAAGAATTTCATAATGCACAAAACATCTAGAAACTTGGCTTTTGAGACTCTCATCACTGCTGGAAAAGGCTCACCATATCAATAAGTCCCAGAAAAGCCCTGATGTGGTAAAATATTTCAAACATGTCTCCGAGTTTCATGCTTCAGGAAAGTTCTACTCTGCTGCTCAAGAAGCAAAGTTTCATGACAGTTGACAATGGGGTTTCACAGCTATACAATTCCAGAAATGCCATCACAACTAAAAAAAAACCTTTCCTCCCCATTTTATTCATTTACACACACAAAAAAACAGCAGTACAGTATATATATAGAACAATGCGTTCAAAAAGTCTTCATTTCTTCCCTCTGTCAACTCCAACATGGCTCTCTCTTCACCATGTCATCAGATTTTCCAAGAGGATGACAAACCTTACAGCATAAAAAAAAAGAAAAGTTCGAGGGAAGCTTGTCACCATTCTGCTCAAGGGAAATTTTGTATGCAAATATACACACAACCCCTCTTTTTCCTTGACTGGCACCCAACAGAACCCAGGTTCCCCCATCTCTCTCTCAAGACAGCCCCAAGGGACCTTGAGCAGAGTTTTGAAGTGTGTCAGCCGATTTGGACTGGAGCACAGACCTCTTCTGCTGGATGTGTGCTTGGCAGGGCTCTTGAGCCAGGGCAGAAATAACTTTGCTGGTGACACGAGTGAATTACGAAGGAGAGAAAAAGGGAGAAAGATACACGGGTGCAATAATGGAATGATTATGGCCTGCAATCCTGCTGCTGCTATAATTTGGTACTGTCATTATAATGCATCAACACATGTTTCATCATGTTTCCTGAGTTGACAATAACATTCCAAAACCATCAATTTCTTAAACTCGTCAAATAGTTTCTATCATTATTTTCCTGCTGAATTGATCATTTTTTTGCTCGTGTGGCATTGATAAAAATAGATAAATCTTCGTAATTTTCTTCGGAAGCATTGCATAAAAATTTTTACGCATGCATGGATTTTTGCATTCTACCAAATGCTTCAAAAGATAAATCCAGCCCCCATTTGTAATTTTTTACTAATTCCTTCGCATCTACTCCAGCAGAAAACATGTTTTCCTGGAATAGCACTCGAAACATTTCCTGAATCATCAAAATTTCCAAATATTTAAGCATTATTGCTGATTCATGAATTATTGTCACACATCACAAACCTTTCACACAATGTATTTCCTTCATAAATTGATTTGAACCTCCCCAATAAGAAAAATATTTAATGTCCAAAGTTTATTTATCAGTCACACTAAATGAATTGCTAATATTGTATATTAATGTCTTTTGAGGAAGGAAAATATGAATCATTTAAAAAATAATTAATTCTTGATTTTAAAAAAACTTCCTTTTTCAATTGAGCACTCTTTTGATTGCATGTGTTTTCTTAAGAGAGCAGCATGAAAACTAAAAAAAGAACTACCTCAACTGTGTCCATAAAAAATGTGTTGGTGCTGTGAATTTGAAATCAATCAAAAGTCAGCTGATGAGAAAACATACAGAAGTAACATGAAGATTAAAAATGTTTCATTAATGAGCTTCTTCAAAAATGCAGGTCAACAAAAATATGAATGTACTGTATACCTAACTTTGTCTTTGCCAACTCCACTTTAAATCGAACAAACAAGCTACAATAAAAAGTTGCACACACAACAAGAGACGCAGAAGATTATAATGATGCTCAACAGCAGAGCAATGGGTAAATATATATATATATATACCGTACATATATACTCGCTGAGATTAAAAACAAAAGTTGCTAGGATAAAAAGATCTGCGCATTTCTTCCATGTCAATATAGTCAAACTCTTTGTTGAGTGTGTATATACACAGCATACATACATGAGTGCAAGGAACGTTATACAGAAAGAAAAAAAAAGCTGGAAGAAAGTATATAATAAAGACGGAACAAGGGAAGGAAAAAAAGAGTCAGGAAAAAGTTGGTGCTTCACCTTGGAAAGTTGCAGAAGGTAGCATCAAGTGTCTGGCCTTCAAGACAACCACACTCAGTCTCCTGGCAGCTGGCTGGTAACCAAGTGAGACCAGCAACTCTGGCTTTCTCTGCAAGACAAATAAATAAATGAATGAATTACAACACTTTCAGCAAAATAAATGTATATGCTTAATTACATCATGCAGTTTGCCTCTTGAGAGCAATCAAGTACTGCATACAAGTTGCAGCCCTTTCTGAGTTATTAATGTATTTGCTAATGAAAAAAAATAATAAAAGATACCCTGCTAAAACTGGAAATGAAAGTTGTTACTTCAGGTTTTTTTTCATATCCAGGACAGGGTTTTGTTCAGAATTAAAAATCTATTCCTAAAATTACTGCAACTTCATATTTTGCACATCATTATTGCATTTTAAATCAAATAAAGTTATTGGACTCATAGGATTCAACAAAAAGACCCTTTCCAAAATAAAAGAGGACCAAGATAAACTGTCAACATTTTAACAATTTCTCGTCAAAGATTCTCTCAAAATTGTTTAATCAACTAAAACTTATCTATAGGAGCAGACTGAACACCTTGAGCTTTAATTTGGGTTCAGTAATTGCCCTATGCTGCAGTTTTTATTACTGATATTTTACTTTTTTTTCTTATCAGGGAGGGGAAGAAAGTGTATGCATTTAAATCAGTTGTGCAATTGCACATTTTGATATGTACTTTCTTTCCTTTTAATATCAGAATATTTCTTTATTTTAAATTCTGATGTGCTGGAATTAGTTTGGGTGAATGTGGGCAAGGATTGGAGTGGGTCTGAATGTGGGAATATTGCTTGAATTTTGTGAAAGCTGAAAAGCAGAAAATAAAGCTTGCTGCTGCTGATCTGCTCAAGCTGTGTATGCTTTGCAACTTTGAACATGGAACCTTCTATCCTGAATCAGCTTTTGCACTATTTGTCATTTTTCATCATTTAACTGTTGATTCTTGTCTCATATCATGCCTGACTGCATCTGAAACACACTTTCTCATCATCAATAGCTATTACAAAGAAAATTTCCTTTCCGATTTCCTCTTGTCATACACACACATTTCTCTAAAGTGAACTCATTTAAAATGTGATGCTCAAAAGCAGTGATAACACTTGAAAATTTGCACCGTCTACTTTCTGCATGTACATGTTGAAATTTTGTACAATAGGCAAAAAAGTCATCCAAATTCTTTGGAAAGCAAATGACACCCTAACTCCAAAATTTGAAAATCAGACATCTTTGGGTTCCTTTCCAGCTAAATAAGACAATTTATTTTTTTTACTCCATTGAGAAATTAGAGTGATAAAGAATGCTGAACACAAGAAATAAGATAAAACGTAGCTCATGTAAAACATAGACAAAATTCAGGCATATCTATAATTGACAACCTATGATGCATTTTTCCAACTTCAGCTTTTATCATATCTAATGGCCAATTCAGTAAATTTTGGTCCATTGAAATTTGGCCTCGGCATCATAAAATGAATACCAAAAAATTTCTCCCAGACACATTTTATGCATATACAGGTCATACTTCCTTATTGTTGGAAAACATTTTTGTAACTTGAACATACATATACCAAAACTCTGCTTCCATGCATATATACTGTATAGAGCTATAGTAATGTACAAAATTTGCACAGGGAAGCGCAAGTAATTGCAAAGCTTTCCCCGCCCTCAAGCACCATTTAGGCATATACATAGCTGATGAGAATCCCCTCAGGGAATACCCCAGACATGGTTGTCCCACATGCAAATCCACAAGCGCATGCATGCATTTAAAATGCATAGGAACATTCCTCCGCAAATAAGCGCTGCTTTCGGGGATGAAGGGAATAAAGGAGGAATGTACAGTATATATACTGCGCGTTGAAAAGGCTTTGAATAACCCCGATTTTGAATCACAGCCACATTCCACGGGAGAAATTACCATAATCATACAGGGTGTCGGAGAAAATTAGCGAGCGATTGAAAACGGATTTGAGAAAAAGTATAATAAGCCTAAAAAAAAAAGAGGTTGGAGTTTACGCTCGGAAAATTTAACATGCAAATGAGTGCCATTCAGCGTATGCACAGTTCCTCCACTAAATCATGAACCGTTCATGTCAAAACAAACTCTATAATGATAAAATTAAATTTACACAAAACACTTCAGCATATGTACAGTTCAAGCGTCTCCGGAAGAAACTTTTTAGAAGTGTCTCCCGGAATATTGAAATTCAAATTGGAAATATAATCCACGGACGACTTTTAAGCCATACACGAAACTTTCTTATCATTAAAAAGTTGCTTCAATACTGTACTTGCAAACGTGAAATTGCAAATGCACAAGATCTTACAGCTGTCAAGGTGAAATTCCATTCCAACAAACTTTTCAAGGATCATGGAAAAAATGAGGAAACTTGTTTCGTCCCTTGAGATTCTTGTTTTTTTTTCTCTCCTGAAATCAAACTTCAACCGAGCGTTTTTCTGACATATGACCGAAGTATTTTCGAAAACAAAGACAAAAAACGCCAACAGTATTAAAATGTGTTACAATATTAAAAAAAAATATTCCTCGAATAAAAATTGCATGAAATTATCCATGATTACCATCAATTACTTGGCATTTATTGAAGAATCAAACCAAAAATGCGATAGAACTCCAAAAATGTTGGGAATCCATCAGAAAAAAATATTCATTTACCAAATCATGGAAAGTGACCGTAACAAGGTTTCCATTACATTGTGCACAAAGTGTCTTTCCCAAGACCTTGAAAACATTTTCTTACACTGTAATAAAAAATCCTCTAAAATAAAATATAATTTACTAAGTTCCACAACATGAAATTATTTCATTTGTCCTACCATACACAAAAAAATGAATATGTGAACTTGATTATTTCCTGACTTATGACTGATATCCAACATGAAAAAGCTTCACCATTACCATTAAAGATGTATGTATAGCTGACCCCAGAATTTTTTTGATAAATCATAAACCCTTTCTCCAAAAATACAAGAAGTACAGTGAGACCCCCACATGCGGACACCTCAACCTGCGGACAATTCGACATAGGGACACTTATTTTATCATAAAAAATTAATAAAAATGGCCCAACACAAGGACACTGTCTCAACATAGGAACGTTTTGTTATACAATTGCAAATACATTTCAGGCCAAATTACAAGAAACATATATTTCCAACCCTAAAATTGACATAAGAAAAGTTCTTGGGCATTTCTCTCACCAATTTACCATCCATATAGCTAATTTAAAAAATTACCTCCAGCATAGAGGTACTGTACTTCCTTCTCTCTTTTTCACTTGAACGCTATTTTTTTTAGAGAATGCCAACATTTCTATGTATACTGTACAGAGGTATCAGCATTCAATTCCCCAAATGTCCAAATTGTGTTGAAATATATTGATTGAATCAGTTTAAATTGGGAGACAATTTTTATTTTTCATAGAATTATATGGTTAGTATTTTGTCCATAAAACACCAATTAAAAATGATATAATGTAAGTCTGACGAGGGAAAATGAGACTCAACATAAAGACATTTCAACATAGGGACACTCTTGATGCACCAATTACATTCGCATCTCGGGCTCTCACTGCTGTACATACACTGCTACATAGTCCACATCACATCTCATAATGATGATAAAGAGCAAGCAGCAGTCATTTCAACAATCCCTCTCGACTCCTGAGACAAGCACTAATAATGAAAGCGTCTCTCATTCTCAGAGGTAATCAGCAGCCGACCAAAACAGCAAATTACAAGCCCTTTCCGAAAACGGGGGGGGGGGGGGATTTCTCCTCTGATGCTGAGAACATAATCTTCTGCTCACGACTCGCTCAGCTACTTTGCATACAAAAAGACCATTCTCTGAATTTCCCTGCTCCTCATGATGTGTACAGCAGGGAATGTCTGTTTAATCCAGCGCGTGGTGAAGAGCTAGGAAAAGGGGATATTGCAAGAAAACTGACTGCTGCTATTGGTGAAAGAAGCTTTAAGGTCTCCTGTTTGAATTCCCTCAGGAACAAGGCATTAAAAACTTATTATTATCCTTTTTTAAAGGAGATTGCATCATACAAGTTTGTGTGTCTCCTTCTCTGAGAAGTGGATCAAGAAATAACTAACTTTTCTTCAAACTTAGAATTAGTCTTTTATTTGTAAAAAGTACAAAAACCACACAAGACAGAGACTTGGCAACACTCAGGGGTTTCCTAAACAGGGGTATTGCAAATAGATTCTGCACTGAACTGCCTGTTTTGGGGAAAATCTGCCTAGGGTTTGTGCATGCAAAATCTTGGGTATTATTATTATTATTATTGATGTACCTTGAAAAGGTACTCATTAGGGGATGGATCCAGGTCTGAAGGACACGTCCTACCAGTGGAGGTCAGGTCAGAAGAGCAACAAGAGTAATTGTTTAATAATCATATTCTCAATTCTTGGAATTTACTTCTGTGTTCTTGGAAGGAGTAATTACAATATATTAAATATCTTCTTATATTTAATTATTACCCTTTCCTTGTCCTTTCTCTCTTCATTTTGTTCCATTGGTGATGTCAGAAAAAGGGTTCAACATAAAGTTTGGAATTGGTTAATCAGAAAATACGGATAATTACCAATGATAACAAACTCATCATACTCAATGGCTTTTTCTTGTCAAACCACAACAGCCTACCTGTTCTGAAGGATTATTATTTTCTTGACAAAGCAGAAAATCAATAAAAAATGCGACTTTTTGAAAGTACAGTATGTGACAGACTAATTAATCAAATGAACCATGTAAGTTCATAATAAGTTCAGCATCCTCTCAACTCCTGCAAGAATAAATTTAATGCCCAGAATATCACCAATGACGATTTCCTGCGATTATTCTTTCCTTCTCCCACAACAAAAAACTACTTTCTCCCCATTTTCTATAATTTTTCTGCTGGTTCCTTATTGAAGTTGGACTTTTTGAAGAGGTTCGACTGCATGTACATAATTTTTAATACGAGCATCAGCAGCACCTGCAAAGATGTATTGCATTGATTCGTCAGTGGAAACGGAAATCGAATCAACACTTTTCCTTCCACTCCACTCGAGCACGCGCGTATATATATATATACCAGGAATTTTGCAATTATTTTTGGAATTTCTTGCGCGTCATCAGTTCCTCCATATTGTTTCCATTGAGAATATGAACAAAAGAAAAGCTTCTTCGAATAACTTTAATCCTTTTTTTTGGAGATAATCAACTAATGAAGTTCGACTAAAGGAGGTATACAGTACTGTACTGTAGTTCCACTCGAACAAAATCCACAATTTTCCAAAAAGTTGTGCAGCAGCACAATAAAGCAACGACTCACGCGAATTTTCACAACAAGGGGTCAATTCCTGACTTGATTAAAAGTTGACTTGACATGACGATCAATGCAAAAAAATAAGAAATGGTTTTCTAATTTCAATTCAACTTCAGCTGCAATAAACGCCAAAATTCAAGCATATCTCTCTCTCCTTTTTTCATCATTTTAAATCACAGCCATTTTTTTTTCCTTCGTTAGCACTGTGCTGTTTCCATGCTTCTATTCTTCAACCGATTTTCTTTATTTTTCCCCCCCATCACCAGCACGACATGCCAAAGATTGTTCATAGCTGCAGGTCCAAGAAATAATAATCTGGGATCTCGAAAAATGATGCAGGGGCTTGCATGTGTGGGCAAAGGAAGAGCCCTTGGCAACGGAATTGCATCCAGCACTCGGGGGATAATAATCCCACGCCACGCCCGAAGCCTCGGATATTGGAATGGAAATCGTCTCAAGGAAAATGCAAATTTCGGAAAACCGGCAAAAAGGGGGAGAAGGAGGAGAAGTGCTTGGTATATTCCTCAATCCTTCCTTTAGCGAAAAAAAAATAATAATAAAGAGTCGAAAGCTTCCCCACCACAAAAAGATCCGTTTGGTCGATATATACACAATTCACACCCTGTGCACTCGAAATATATGCGAGACCAAAGACGAAAGAAAAAAAAAGACCATAAACCAAAGAAGAAAATGATAGAAATAAAAGGCCAGGATGCAAAAAAACAAAAAACACAATGAAAAAGTTACTGACAACTATTGCAGAGGAAAATCATCTTTTGATTTTTTTAAATCACGGTTTGTCTCGTATAAAATCCATGATGAATCCTATAGATTCAAATAAAAATGTTCAGGTATCTTGAAATTCAAAATTATGAAATGTTTCAAAATTGTCCCAAATAAATACTCAGAAAACTGAAACCTCAGTGACAATTGTCAAGAAGAATTTCTGAACAAATAAAACTTTACGAGATAATATGCTTGAGTAGATTGAATTTTTGGAACACCCTATTTTAAGGTTGGTATGCTTTGATAAAATATGCAAGTTTGAAAATGCTGATTTCTCACGCAGAATCGCCAAGAAATAACACGAACAAATGCTCAAGTCGGAATGAATGAAGTCGTTGCCGATTTGGAAACAGGAAAACCGTCCTTCAAGGACAAAAAAAAACAGCAACAGGATTTTGGCATTAAAATACAGCCTTGAAGGCTCAGAAGGAACCATGAGAATCAAGGTTTTCCGAGATTCTCACAGAGATGAAATGAGAGATGATTCTCCCAAAAAATTCAAGTTCTCTAATTTTGTGTGACAAATTCATTGATGCTATTTTATTTTTGCGACAACAATCAATGAATTTCCATGATCAATTTTATTTCAAGTGACATGCTCAAAATAAGCTATATTCCCATAAATTGCAGTAAAAGACACTGAAAAATTTAATTTTTCTATGATTCATTATAACATTTTCCGTGTCACATTTTCTGAAACAAAGTGACAGTAATGCCTCATTATTACAGATTCAACAGCAACTTATATTATAATCCCAATAATAGTTTTGAGTATATAGTGCTGTATAACGCAAACGCTTTCCAAAACTCGATAAATTTGACAAAGTACCTCAACATCTCGGGTCCATTCACACACTGACCTGGGATAAAAGTGGAACAGTGAATTCCCGAGTGTCAACAGCGTCCAAGTCGACAGACGTCAGCGGAACCACGACCTCGCCCACGACGACGTCTCTGGAGAATCGGTCAAAGCTCAGCACTCTCAAATTGACCCACATTTCCTGCAATGAAACAAGTCCGAAAGGTCACTATTATACAATTTGCTCAGAAAGAAAGCATATCAAATTATTGTGTTTAAAGTGCATCATGGATAGATTTCCATACCTAAAAAAAAGAAACTGGGATGAGCTCATAAATTCAGGTCTATAATGCTGGATTTTTCACACACATTTTAAATGCACAGAAAATAAAATTTTCAAACAAAATCAGCCACAAATATATATTCTCATAGTCTAAAAAAAAAAATCATCTCATTCTTATTCTCCATCAATAATTCCAGGAAAATACAAACCTCGCAATAAACTGAGGCTGATAAGGAAAATCCAATTCACCCACACATATTCAGTCAGTGATGAACTCATGTGCCTCATGTCTACATATATATGGAGGACTGACATAAGAGGCATTGATCCTCATTGATTTCCAGTAATCATCAGCAACCTCCCTCCCTTCCCCAGCATGTGCAACAACACATATTTCCTCCTCAGCCCGCAGTGTGGTTTATTAGTTCCCAACAGTGACTGGTTTGGGACATGACCCATAGCCTCAGTTGCTTATTATTGAGGTTTCCATTAGCCCCTATACGTACACACACACAAATTACCCACAGGAGGTGAGAAACAAAAAGTGCTTGTGAGAGGGGGAAGAAGCATTTTCTTTACACTGTACATGTACATATATACAGAATATACAATGTTTACAAGCAGGGGGTGTCCAGCAAAATCTGGGCATCATGAGCCTTTTTTTTATTTTTCATGGATTCTCAAAAATTTTGAGGATTCACACATTCAACGGAAATGTTGTACTTGTGTTCAGTTTTCTTCACATGAGCATACAGGAGCTTCATCACCACTTTTTGCAAGAACTATTCTGCCATGATTTTTTTTTCTTCATAAAATTGAGGGAGAAAAGTGGGGTTGACTATATGCAAAATATTCTTTTTTTTAAGAAAAAAAAATGGTGAAACCACATACAAAACTTGTTGCTTGGTGCAAGCTACAAGTGATTCTCCATTAGTGAGAATAATGAACAGGTAATTATGTTTAGCAGAAATCCTTTTAAAATACTCTACATTATTATATTTGTTTATGGGACAAGCTGGAGGTGCCCAGCCACACTTAGGTATGAAAATTTTAAAACAATTGTTGAACGTTTGAATTTAATCTCAAACAGGATCACATGCTATTCTAGCTTTACCATCATGGAGGTCACAATTTTCTCACAAGCAGGGTCTTTTATTTATTAAATCCCAAACAGATGATAAAGTCTTGAGCATAATATAGTAAAGCATTCCCCAACCCCTCATATTGTTTAGGACAAAATTCCAACAACTAAAGGTTGACAGAACAAGAATATCTTTCTTATTCAATGTATCACACAACAAAATATGAGACCTTCTGTAAACTTCTTCTTTTCATCTGCAGCTTACCTTATTGAAGATTACCAGTGTAATTCTGAGAAACAAATAACAAAGCACTTCAAAACCTGCATTGATGTTTTCTACATGGTCTCTCCTAAAAATATCTATTGTTAAAGAGAAGTATTTCCCCAACATAACATATATATATCGCCTCCTCCACCTATACTGCATGGTCCATTAGTTCCAAACTGCATCAGTGACCCTTTTGAAAATGACCCATGTTACTTATAATTGTGGCTTCCATTAGTCCACAGCACACACACACACACACACACACACACACACCAGGAGGAACAAGAAAAAAAGGTGTATGTGAAAGATGGGAGGTGGGGCTAAGAATAAGAGCTCCATATATAATATACGGCTGGACATTGCTCTCATGTCAGGCAAACAAGAGGGAGCTCCTGTACAGCAGGAGAATAAGACCAAGGCCTGGGGGGGGGGGGGGGGGGGGGGGGAAAGAAAAAAAAGGGGCGGGGGGGGGGGGGGGGGGGGGGGGGGGGGGGGGGGAGGATGAAAGGAATAATAAGAAAGAGACCCCCACAACACAAAATGCCCCCCTGATGTCGGTGCTGTTCTCGACAGCTACTTGTTTCTGCATCAGTCTCTGCCTGCATGCGGGCGTGTCTGCGACTATACTCCTCCTGGCAGCTGCCTTCAAAAATAACTCTCATCTCATCCTGCTGCAGCAAGAACACAGCAGCCGAAGAGAGGTTATTGGAAATCGTTGGCATTTCTTCACTCGTTCCGTGCCAACAAAAAGGGTCACTCGTCATTGCGCAAAAAGGCGGCTTCTTCTTCTTCTTCTTCTTCGCATGCTTTCAATACCATCAGCAGCAATGACCTGCGTTCACGCACTCATTCTTCTTTTTATTTTTTGCACGCGCCAGTGCAAACAGCGAGTATTCATCATCTCCAAAAATGGCATTAGATTATTTAAAGGAGACGCTTTTTTCGTTCATTTTCTCATACGGAAAAAATGTTGTTGATAAGGAACTGCTAATGACGGCAGAAGTTCCATCAGGAGTAATTTCAAGATTTCGTCTATATATACGAGCTCGAGTGCAGCACGGGCAAGATGACTTTTGATTTCCGTTTCAATAATGACAAATCAATACAATGGATCTTCACAGGTGCTACTGATGCTCAAATTTCAGATTATATATACATTTGAAGTTCTTCCATCAGGGACCAGCAGAAAAATTCTGGTTTTTGAGTAAGAAAAGCAAGCATTTTTTTTAGAAATTTAAGAAGAATTAAAGGAAATTATAATCGGTGGTATTCTTCTGGGCCTTCAATTGCTTTTTAAATTAGTTGACGTGATGCTGAACTTGGAGACAAGGGTTCATTTGCCCTCATATAGTCTTTTACTTCCCTTCAAAACACATCAAGTTGAATTTTAATCGCCTTTTCTTTTGCCTGTGTCAATAAAAAAATCGCCAAACGGCTACAGAAAATTCGAGTTATGGAAGTTTCGAGGGGAAAAGCATTTCAGGTATGGACGTTTTTTAATGCACTTTTCCTGAGATATTCAGACAGGGACTTGAAAAAAAATTTTCTATCTATAGGGAAGGTTCGGTTTATTGAGGTCCAACACTGCATTACATAAAATTGAGCTTCTCATGCATAAACATAATTAAAATTTTCTGAGTAATGAGTTAATGACCGCCAAATAACTTATGCAAATAATGGGAAAATCAGCAGCCCCACTGACTTATCCTCATATTTCATCCCTGCATACTCTCAATATTCAAGACCAATCCCGAAGAAAAATCCCACGCAAAAGTTACACCACAGGAAATATTTCAAATAAATAAAAAAAAAACACACAACGACCTTCGGAAAAAAAGAAACCGAGCAACAACGACAACCACAAAAAAGGACTCGCCTGTAAAAGTTCTTTTTTCACGCCGAAAAAGGTGAACTCCTCGTCGTATTCGGGATTCAGAGTATTTCTCAGAATCCTCGTGCTTCCTTTCAGCCCCAGGGGCTGCAGTTCGACCCGCACAAAGAAATCACCAGAGACTTCAGCAGGCAACCCGAAACACTTCACCACAGTCACCTGAAAGCCCCGTGTCTCAGCCACGTACCTTTACATACCACAAAAAAACATTCACGTTTTATTTGAAATAGCAACACCAAAAAAAGAAAACTTTCTGTACACACACACAGACATGAAAGGGGGCAAAAAAGTTGTGAACCCAACGCATGCATGTGCTGCAGAACTTGGTTTCGAGGAACTGAGGTTAATTACCCAAGTTTGAAGCGTAGTTGTGATTCCTTCAACTTATTGGAGTCCGCATCTTGGGAAACTCTGGCAGGGATGTTATTCTCACTCACAAACGTCGTCCTATATAGCAAAAGAAAAAATAAAAAGAAAAAAGCGATTAAAATTCACACATAAAGCAAAACAGCCGGCGCAGAAACTCAATGCAAAACCTTACACACAATCTTTCCCCCCACGCAAAGCAAACTGCATTAATTCACAAAGCAACCGCACAGTCAGCCAAAAAATAACATCTATAATTGATACAAAAGATATGAGCAACAAAGGAAAACAATGCTGACAGGAACAAGAGCTGACAAACAAACCAAGCACTCAACAAAACCTCTCACCACCTTTTATATACACACAATTCGCAGAAAAGGTTTCTTTCGGCACAACAGGAATCAGTAGAACAACACAACCACATATACAGTACAGCATACACAATAATTTATGTCGTTCCAGTATGCGGCTAACCTCAAAAATGTTATAAGATGATGAACATTATTGTTTCAAACAATTTCTGAAAATTTTATCATGGCTTTATTAAAATTGAATCTTACTAAAACACACGAGTTCATTATTTGGAAAACATACACAATTGAATGCTTTTTAAAAGATAAAAAATCACCTATTGACGTGTCTCCTTGTAATTACAGAAGTACTTATGCATACAAAATTTGAATCCAAGGCACGCATTTCCATTTCAGATAGTTCACACTCACATCCATAGGTCTAAATTTTCAATTCAAAGTCTATCAAAAAAAGAAGCATTGACGATATTCAAAGCTTGAAAAATGTAGCATAAATTTCATATTTCAAAGCTATATTGCATGAAAAATCACTTCTATTCCTCAGGAACAATTTTCAACTACTTTTAGAATCTCATATGAGAGAAACCTGGTTTGGACTTTCAGTTTCGACCATTCCTTTTCGAATGAAATATTCGTTTCAATTTCGATATACAGTATTCTATATATGAGTGCATTTTTTAACCTCAAAATTGTTAAAACGTTTCCAAGCAGTAAAAAAATTTGACTTACAAAGGTATCACTTTACAATTATAGTTCCTATAAAAATAAAAGTTCGTTTTTTTTAAAATCCACATTCAAGACACTAATATAATCAAAAATGAAACCCTATATTATAATTAAACACAATATTCGCTACGTTCCATAATTTTTCCCTTTAATCCGACCCTGAATCTTTCGGGCCTCTCGAGAAACCAGTCGAGCAAAAGATAACCCTTCGAACCGATCCTCGCCGTGTTTTCTGCAGTACAAAATAAAAAAGAGAAGTAAAACAAAACAAAAAAAGAGAGAACAGTACAGCAGCAGCAGACAGTCGGATATCCAGTTTCCGCCATGCTTTTGACCCAGGATTTTCTCCCCAGCACACGAAACGCAGCACATACACAATATGTTTCCTTTGTGAAGCAGACTTACAAAAGAACTGATATTGGACAAGAAAAACGAAAGAGAAAGAAAACAAAAAAGGGTTGGGTGATACTTTTCTGCACCCACACATTCACGCACTTATATATCCTATATTTATATATAAATATATATTTCTCCGGGCTCTCATCCTCGTCCGTCGTCGTCGAAAGAAGCCGTTTGCCAAGGTGGAAAGGGGAACCCGAACCTCGGGGGAAAGTTCCCTGACCTTGGTTATATACGGGATCGAGTCTCAATGAAAAGATTTATATTTATTTTCATCATATGCTCCTCTTCTTTCTTTTCTTTTTTTTTTCTACACATACGGGTCCTCTCTCTTTTCAGAACAGCCAGTGCCCGTGAAAATCCGAGCCCAACTTTTCCTGGCACCGGACACAAAATTGTCTCCCCCGCCGTCGACGTCGTCGTCCTCGTCCTCTTCAGCACTGAAGTACTTGAAAATTTCTCTACTCCGAGACAAGACAGCTGCATAAAATACTCACACGGTTGTCACACACATGCACGTAAAAAAAATAAAAAATATATATATATATATATCGAAAGGAAATTCCGTCTCTGGATTGCGAAATTAATCCGAAATCCGCGAGACGGCGGGGACGAGAAAAGAGGATTTCCGCAGGAATTAACACCTCGGATCCGCTCATGCATCATTGAATACTGCTCGGTGCATTCGGGACGAGAGGATCTTCTCACACACACACAGCACAGAGGCCCTTCCTCCTTTCCATCAAGGGATCCCCCAGGGGATCCTCTGAAAGTTCCTGCATCAAACCACTTCATTGAGTCTCTCTCTCTCTAGAGAACTTACACGCAGCGCTTTGATTTTTATTGTACCTGCAGCATTTTTCAGGGGCTCGTCGCGGTTCGGAAAATTAAATTTAGAAAAATTAGAAGGAATTTAAATGAGCAAGAAATTATGATGTCATCGTGAGAAGGAAAAAATAAAGAGAAACCCCCGCATGAAGCAAAAGCTTCCGACTTCCTTCCTATACACAAAAGACACACACGCAAACGTTCCCATTTCTTTCCAGCAATTTCCAGCAGAGTGCAACACGAAATAAGCCAAGCTTTCATCAACACGTCTTTTCAATGGCCAATACACACATACACACGGCCGAGATAAAAAAAAAAGAAGCCGTAATTTGATACAAATGTGTTGCTTTTTTTGTGTGTGTGTTTAATTTCCTATACTGACCTGTTGTTTCTGATGATGGTGGAAGCGGTTGGCAAACAGTCGTCATTTTTGCAGCTCGATTGTTCTTCGTTACTGCTGCTGCCTCGGCTTTTGTACCAGGCGAAACTCAGCGACACTGTCAACACCATCAACACCGAGGCTGCGAGACACACCAGAGCTGGGGTACTTACTGTAGGAAAAAAATAAAATGCATGAAGTATACATTTTTAAAGGCGATGAATTAATTGGTTTTTCGGTTTTCCCCCCTTTCTTCTCTGTGTTTATTTCAAATGAGGTAATCAAAAAAATAATATATGCAGAAGGCGTTGCGTTTAAAAGACACACTTTCAAGACCCCAATTTCTTTGAAGTTTTTCGAGAATTTCTGAAAATAGTCAGAAGTGTATTTTAACTCAAACATCTGGTGTCTGATCCACAAATTCTTCGTCTTGAACCTGGAATATTTGCTTTCGACGCATTTCGTAAAAATTGAATACACAACGCCATAATTTTTTTTTGCACGAAACAGTTTTTCACAATTTTTTTTTTACAAGAAAGCGCAAAAGACTATCCTTGTTATGACATTTGAAAAATCAGCTAGGAAGAAATTCTCCTCAAAACATAACTTTCGGTTTCAAGTTTCATAATTCAACATCGACAAGCATCTGACTTCGTAGCAAATATTTTGGCGCAAAGGTATATTCCAGGTATTATTATGCAAATTATTACTGAATCAACTCGGGGGCCAGGCAGTACTTTTTCAAGAATGAATGTAAACAGTTCTTCTTCAAAACAAGTTTCAGACGCAATGCCAAAAACTTCAATGCCATTTATTTTAAATCATAGCAGTGTAGATCTCCCAAAGAAAAATGGAAATGGCAAATGGTACTTGCCTGTTATACCTGTACCTCATTCCTATAGACCGCACTACCATCCAGACAAATCTTTAGGACAAGTTCATAATCACAAAAACCTACCAGAAACTGTGAATTTTTCTTTTTCCGCATTCCGCTGAAACTGATTTTGGGAGGTGGTTAGGTAAAGTTAGGTTAGGTCAGGTTATGTTAGTTATAAATATCTTTTAATAAACATAACCTGACCTAACCTAACTGCATCCCAGAATCAGTTTCAGCAGAAATCCAAAGAAAGCAGAAACTGATTTTGGGAGGTGGTTAGGTGAAGTTAGGTTAGGTCAGGTTAAATTGGTCAAAGGGAAGGTACAGAGATAACAGGAAAGTAGGTACAGAGATAACAGGAAATTAGGTACAGAGATAACAGGAAAGTACTGGCAAATTATTGGCAATCAATGCAAATTCGTTCCAGCATACATTCAATTATACACATTCTTCTTTCGCCGTTGCCTGAATATGAAAATTGCTCACCCCTCAGAAAACTGGGATAAGCTTCATATACACAAGCATGCATTTATTTCACAGATTTTCAAGTCAAAAATACAGATGTAAAGATAGCATCCATTGCTTTCTTCACTAGATTTTTTCAAATCAAAAACCCTCTTCCAACTCATACAAATATAACGAAAAAGAAAGTCTTTCCTCTGTGAAGATAACAGAAAGGAAGTTAGCCCTTCACATCTCCAGACAAACCACAATAAGATAAACAGACTGGATCTCAAGTCTCTGTGAAGATAACAGAAAGGAAGTTAGCCCTTCACATCTCCAGACAAACCACAATAAGATAAACAGACTGGATACCAGCCCCTTTCACATTTCCCACCTGCAAAAACGAGTACTGCTGCACAAAAGTTGGGTCAATATATACCCTGACCTCTCCTGGTACAGGATGCACATCTCTTGGGAAGGGATCATTGCACTGATTAATCGCAACTGGTGGAAAATTTCCTGGTGAAGGAAAGAAAACCTTTCCAAGGGCTCTTTTCGACCTTCTTGTCATTTCATACCTCTCTTTCTTGTTTCAAATCATGAGTTCTTCGCAGGAGAAGAAATGTCTGGTGGAGTCTGGAGACAAGAATAAGTCAGTGATCAACTTGGCTTTCTGGTTTGTCATTTTGTCACTTATTGCGACTACCATTGGACTGGTTTCCGTGCCTGTGCTGGTGGTCTGTGTGTCACTTGAGCCCTGCTTTCCCTGCTTGCAAGTGAGTTCTCAAAATCAAAGAGTTGACTTTTGTAGGTGCTACAAAAAAAAATAAAAGGTAGTGACAAAGACAGCCTTCAAGATGATGCAGTTTGCACACTTTTGCGCAAATAACATGGCAGAAAGGGCTCCCATCAGCAGAATATTCAATGCCATCACCTGGGAGTCTAGACATGATGAGACTTTCCTTTGAAAAGGTTTGCTTGTGTTTGTTTGTACACCCCAATCCTTTTTTTTTTTTGATGAGAACTCTGACTAGAATGGCTGGCATTTGATTTTCTAGAGGACAGAATAAAGAGAGGGTTTCTCCAGAAGACCAAAAACGGCCTTTAATCGGTTTTTAATCCGCAAAATGGCCGACAAGCCAGGGGTGTGTCCTGGACTATTTTATGCATGGTTCTGGTTTGTCATTCTGGTCACTCTGGCAATTCCCCTGGGGAGTCTGGCAGCTGCCCTCTATGTCTTCACATTCCTGGGAGAGGCCACTTACTTTCAGTTTCTAGAGGTGCTTTTCCATGATATGGACCCCCAACAATTCAAGAGAGATTTTTTTCTTACAGTTTTTATTTTACATTTTCAGACAACAAATGACTTCTTGGTCAAAGTGTTCAGGTCTCCGAGGTTGGTGATGGAAAATGCTGTTTACATGGAGCCTCTGTCTGAGCTGGCCAACTTGTGCAAGGACTGATTTTTTGTTTTGTTTAACCATCTCTCTCTGTCTTTTGATATTTTAGCTTGTTATTAAAATTGTCATCTTCCAATGATTTTTAACGTTCAATGTTAGATATTGGCTCAAGGCTAATATGAATTTCTTATAAATTGGTTCAACTTTACATAAGCTTTGGAAACTGAAAATTGTGTGAATGTTTAAGAGTGGCAACATCATTTGCAAGACACGTAATCCTGATTCAAAAATTCCAGCCAGTTTTCAAATTGCTTATTTTATGCTTCCAGCAATTTAAAGTGTCTATATAAATATATTTACATGAATGTATTTAAGGTAAATAAAAATGAGAATAAATATTATTCAAATGTTTGCCTAAGTTTATGATTTAGATATGATTTAGGAATATTTCCTTCATGTTGCCTCTGAGCAGAAAAAAGTTTTTCTACAAAATAAAACTTTACCTTTGTCTAATTTTAAGGGACTTCGAAGAATTTTAATTTTTTTTAAAGTGAACTTAGAGATTTAATTGGAGAATCTTGCTTTTATGTCATCAGGTCAATTAAGTAAAATTATTCTCAAGCCAAATTATTACAGCTGTTTCAATATTCATAGATGTTCAACCTGTAGGAAGATGGTCAATTCTTTGGTGATATAAATTTTATGTATTTTCTTGTTTTTTTGGAAGAGCTATTGGTGTTCTCAGAATATTTACTCAAGTGGGGGAAGCATCGGACCAGAGGGCATTTGTCAATGATTTTTTTAACAAATTCAAAAAAGGAATGTCTTCGTATTGTCCAGAAGGTCCAATTGCATGCAATAAAAACATAGTAAAATTCGAAACCTCACCTGCAAAGTGGGAAATGCTGTTGAGAATTTCAAGCACCATGTTGGCCAGCTGCTGCTGCTCGTGGTGGTGGTGGTCTCATATGCATGCAGGTCAAGACAATGCTGAGAAGGGGTTTTTCCCCTGCTTTTTCTTCTATGCGGATATACTTGTCTTGTTATTTGCACACACACACACACACACACGTATATATAATATATATATATATCGGGCCAGTAGCAGCAGGGCCTCTCTTATTCTTCTCAACTCAAGCCACGAGCATGAGCACCCAGGGCAAAGTGGGTAGGACGTGAGCAAGCACGGTCTTGGACTTGATCCCCCTGAGGAGTATCCGGACTGCGGACTTGGCCAGCTTCTGAGGTCTGCTGCTGCTGCTGCTGCTGCTGCCCCTACTCCAGCAGCACTTGGTGTTGTTCCCTCCGGCGGCAGACAACGACGACGACGACGACGAGGAGGATGAGGAAGAAGAAGAAGAAGAAGAAGAGGTGCTGCTGCTGCTGCTGCTGCTACACAACTCGCAATATCGGCACGCCTTCCCGATGCTGATGCTGGCCAACTCCTGCCGCGCCTGGCTGCACAAGTGCTGCGGGTCCGAGGAATCACTCGACGAGAGCCGCTTGTATCTGTTTTTTGACCATTGCATCCTCCTTATCTTCAATTTTTTTTCTCTTTCTATCTTCTGTCGAAGAAAAATAGAGCAAGGGATTTTAAAATTAAAAACATAAATCTTGACGTTTTCAAGAAAAAAAAAACAATGATCACTTCACTCAACATCCAAGACTCATGAATCCCATATTAAGACAAGTACCACATGCACCATCCATTACTTCAGTCCACAATTTTGATTAAATTGTCATCCCCAAGGAAAACGTGCATCCCATCTCAATATTGACTTCATTGATTGTTGGGGACTGCAGCATACACTACTTGAATATTGTACAGTAAATTAATAAACAAACTGCTTCCCGTGAATAGCCAATCAGAAAACAGCAAAGAATCCCTACTTCCACCAAGAACAAGTTTAACACAACCCTTCCTCAATGATGCATCCATAGAAGCCTCGAAAAATTGAAATCAGCAACACATTATTGTCATTCAGAGTCTCATTCCCATTCTTAGCATTCACTGCTTGAACCAATTCTCTTGGAAATTACTTGAATTACTATGAGTGTGTATTTCTCCGGACGAAGATGCTGAGTTGTTGATTCTTTCGGGATACTGTATAAATAAACATAAATTTCATTTATATAAAATTAAAAAATTATAAATCAGCCTCTCCCTGGCTGATTATTGTGGTGTTCTGCTCATAGAATCTCTTTGTTTAGGGAAATCCCCAACATTTGTAAACTGCAACTGCTCAAAAATGCATCAGAACATCCAACTTTTGATTTGGGCATGAATTGAGCCTGAATTCAATTAATGTTGTTGTTTTCCATGAAAAGAAATTTTTCTGATGAATTACAGCAATAATGACAACCTCAACGTCTAAAACTTTGGAAAAATGTATGCCCACCTTTTTTTCTCTCAATTTTGACAAAATAGTGCGCGTGAAGGTAATTGAGTAAATGTGCCATTCTACAATTGCACTTTAACGAGCAAAAAATCTTCACATGATTATTTTTGTGTAGTATGAAAAGAACACAGATGATTCCAAGAATTTCAAGTGGGTGAAAATCAAGTTCCAAGTTTTTTGGGTTTTCATCGAAAACACGATTTTGAAATTATAAATAAAGCAGTCCACTAACGCTTGACACGATTGGGATAAAGGTTTATTTGATTTAATCAAGTTCCAGAAGAGTTAGAGTTTCGGCAGTCAAATTTCTCGTACACCACGACAAGAAAACCCACTCAGTTTTTACAACAAGTGAATTCGGTTTTGTAAAAGAAAAAAAAAACCTGGAGTCTAAGAAAAGTCAAGCACTCGGATCTGAGATGATCCCAACAATTACGAGGATCAAGTTTCCAATCCTTTGATTTTTTTAACGCAGTCAGCCAGAAAAAAACTGTTTCGTTCAGTTATATACGAAGGTCCTATTTATAAGGAAAAATATGCCAGTGGTGTTATAAAAATCAGCTTTCCTGTCCCGTTTCCAAGCGCCTTCAGAGGAAAAGTTATTTTTTAAACCTTTATAGATTTACCTCTTCTTCAGACTGACCAGCACATAAAAGGCGGGAATTTTCGTTATTGTTTTTTTATTATTCTGTATCAGTCCATCAGTTCTCATCAATGTTCTGATAAATAAAAAAAAGATCTGGAGCATAATTTAAATGGAAGAAAATCGCATCAATGAACTACACACTCGAGGTGAATAAAAAATCTAAATTTCTATAAATTTCATTTTTTCAAGCAAAAAAAAAAGAAATGCACGAAATACTTGATGGACACGTTCTAAGCCAGCAGATGACTTGGAACAACATCACTGCTGATCACACCCCCATTGTTTCGTCTTTTTCCCTTGAAGCAGGAACAAAAGCCATCAATCATGTGACTTCTTCCCTCCTCGAAGGAAACATTTTTGCAACATACCACAAGCAAGATTTTTTCCCCTCTCATAGCCGAGGGAGGGACACAGGATCGATATTCATGCAACCCAACAAGAAAAAAGCTGGCTCATTAAGCTTCCCAGCACAACCTCAAAAGCCTCATTTTTTATTCTACCAGCTTCTATAGCAGAGAACAAGGTTCAAATCAGAAAAATACCCAACACAATTTACCCCCACACAGAAATAATTCACAGAAACTATTCCCAGAATAAACTAAATATAGAACTGGGAAGAAAATGGCTCAGATGCGTCTGCAATTTTCCAGACATGAAAGAAACATGTGGTAATTTCTATAGAAATATGTATTTGGTATACTCCTTATTTGTACAGTTGAACCTTGATAAGTCAAACCTCCCTCAGTCAAATTTTTAAAAAGTCCCCATCTCTGGATTCCATTAAAAATAATTGATTAAAACCCACCTTAACTTGAAAGTCGTTTTTCTCTCAAACATCTGTAAGTCAAATTCTCTGCAGCTGTTTGGCTGTTATTTTCTTGATGAATGAAAGAGAAAAGCAATAAAACACGTAACTTTCTGTGTTTTAAAAATGAGTGTCAGACTAATTGGGCAAATGAATGCTTGCCTCAAAGTTCAGCATGCTGTAAACTCACAAAAGAAGTAATTTCTAAGGCCCAGAATATCACCATTTACAATTTCATGGAATTCTTTGATGTTTTCCAAAAAATTATGTGTTTCCCAAAATATAAACCTCATGAAGTCAAAATTTGTTGCTGATCCTTGAAATTTGACTTTGAGAGGCTCAACTGTATTTTAAACCAAAATCAGCAGAAGAATTTATGAAGTTTCCGTCTCATTTTAAAATTACAGTTGAACCTTTCTAGGTCAATTTTTTTGAGTTCCCTTCCAAATTTCCAAAGAAACAATGCATGAGAACCTCCATAACTCAAAGGCATTTCCCCTCAAACCTCCAAAATTTAAATTTTCTGAAAACCTTTTGAACATTATTTTATTGACACAGGAAAGAGAAAAGCAAAATGAAAATTCAATTTTATGCATTTTGAAAGGAAATAACACTAATTCAACACATGCACACTTATCTCCAAGGTAAGGATCATGTCAACTCATTAAAAAAACAATTTAAAACCCAAAATGCCCCCATTGAAACTTTCCTGTAATTCTCCTTCCTTCCCCCAGCAATAATGCTCTTACCATAAATCGAAACCATCACAAACTACAATTTTTCTGCTGGTCCCTTCTTGAAATTCGGATCAAATAGGTTTGACTGTATTTCGCTCCATCCATTTCTGAATTGGGATTACTCTAAGTGTCTGGAGAATAAAGCTAACCCAGAATAACCCCCAGAACCTTATCAACCACATGATGACACTCTAAAAAACATTCTCTCCATTTAAACAAACAAACAACCAACAGCATTTCCTCATTCCAAAAAAAAAACATCACCTGCTCTCAATAACATGCTGCACACATACAAAACTCGAAAAAGGGACTCGAGAATAAATTGATGACAAAGACGAATACAAGGGTGACACACACACAAAAAAAAAGGGAAGCAATATACAGTATAGTATACAAGCGGACACCACGTGACTGATCTCATCTCATCTCCTTCTTATACCCCCACACAGCAGCTTAATCCCAACCTATCCGCCACCAGGAATTTCCTCTCTGGCCTCCAATCCTCCCAAACGTCACCCAGAACTGGCAGCCCGGAATGACGGATACTCCAGCTGGGGCAAAAAATAAAGCAGGGGCCACTCGAAAACTCCCATAAATCAGCAGCGAAAGGCAATGAAAAAAAAATAACCACAGCATATTCTCCGACGATTGATTGTCTCGAAACGCATCGAACGAGAGGAAAAAGGGCGGGTATTTTCGAAAAGTTTACGTGATCCTCATACTTGATTTTAATGGGATATTTACGACTAATTTCAAACGTATAGCATTGGAATCGATTGAAAATTAGTTGAAGTTGGGATCAATTCACGTCTGAATTCAAATTTAGACGTTATTCTTGAAATATTGGGTTTGCGGCTTCTTCGCGGGGATGCAATTTTATACAAAAATTTCACTCAGGATATAGCTTTGCATTCTTCCAAACATCCAATCAAATGATACAAATCACTGCAATGTAACAAAATATCTGCCATCAAACTTTCTTCTCCGTCTTATTCTTGTACTGATTTCCTCGAATACCTTTTTTTTTTTTTGGATGCGCTGAACTTATTTTGTTACCAATAATATTACGCCATGATTCTCGCTTTTTTTTCTGGCACTTTCCTCGCAGAATCTGAATAAAGATATAAATAAAATACATATACTTTATCTGTAACTCACGCGTCGAACTAATCTAAGACACAGGATCTTCGGTAGAACCCCTTTTTTTTCGTCAAGCAGCGCGAGAAACGAATGGAACCCAATTCCAGCAAGTACCGCTTCCCTCGACGGCGGCACCTTTGCGCTTCACGGACAAGGGATTGCCTGAAAAGTACTGTCACACGTTGCTTCGATAACCTCGTCCTTCTCAACCAATCAGAACGCCGATATACAGTACAAGTGCGAAAATAGACCTGACATTCTGAGAAGCACAGGAAGTGTTCTTTTGAACGAAATCTGATTCTGCTGATGAGTTCTGGCGTTTGAAGCTCTATACATGTTATTGGAAAACAAATTGCTTTTCAACATCCCAGGAAAGTCGTTTTCAAGAGAAAATTCCTCGCTAATTGACGTGCATTGCGATTTAAATACGCGATCTTCATAGAGAATAGCTTCCTAATTTTCTGGTGAATTCAACGAATGTTCAATATATCCATGCACAAAAGATTAATATCCAACTCGTTTTATCAAATTACATTATTTCGGGTACAAAATGTTTGACTCGAAATCTTTCAAACCACAGTGTGTGATCAATAGTAAACCGCAAGAGGATTTCCCAACGATTCGATGTTCAATAAATACATTCACGCACAAAATATAAACCCAATATGTCTGAATACAGTAAATTATTTCGCAGTTAAAATCTCCGACTAGAAATCTGTCAAAACTCAGTTTAATCAAGAAAAACAATTATATTTTCAATACTGTATTAAAAATTGACTCGAAAAATGTCTTTCTTATAAATTGCACTTTTAAAGCAAGAAAACAAGACAGGCAGAATCCCTCGCTCAAAAATCGCGGATGACGAGATCATAAATAATATTTTACATTTGGTACAGGACTACCTCGATCCATGATCGCTATCAATTCAACACGTTGATACACCATCTTCAGAAATTACCACTTGATTCATTTAAATTTTTGAAATTTTCAGGGACATGCAATCATGATCTGCATGATAATTAAACATTACAAACGTGTACAGTATATATGACTCAGTCCGATATTTTATACTACTGTACAGTAAAATATTAGATAAATGGGAAATTCGTCACGGAATCACAGCGTACGGCCTCGACAACCAACATGGAAACACCATCAAAAGAGAGCACATTCGCGCGGAATATTCGAGTATGTAAGAGATATACTGTGTATATATAGAACCCCCCTTCATTCGTCCTGCGCCCGAGATCCGGGCCCTTTTCGCGAGCACGTTTTGAAAGTTTAATCCGCGCGGGAGGCGGTTAATCAATAGTGTTACCCGGGCAATGCGATCATGTACAAACTTGGCTCGGATATCTCCTCATGGTTCTTTGCCACAAGGAACCCGGCGGGCAACTGGGTTCTGCTGCAAGCCTCCAGAAAGCAACCTGGAGAGTTGAGAACGAAACCCCCGCGCTCGGGACTGCGCATGGGTTACGAACACAAGCCCACACCCGTGTACGCACCAATGTCACATTTTTCAAAATGTAATGCATTCAATATCTTCAGCCCGCTTAGCACGCGGAATAATGATTCATCTTCAATATGTTCGGCACTCTAAATATATACACTAGGTATCTCATAAAAATGCGGAGCACCTCATTAGCGTTGCGCGAAGGATGAAAAGGAACACTTATCAACATTAATCGCGGTCAGTGAATGCCTGAAGTTCAGCATGAAATCGAGCAAACCCTCACTATTGAGAAAGCAGGATAAAACTTGCCACGTAGTGAGAATAAGCCGGTTGATGTCGGATGCGACCCACTGATGCTCATCTCTTTGTCTATTCGCGGGCCACTGAGCATATGAAAAAACAGAAGTTTGCGCTGGTATTCGCGAACTTGGAACACTTGATCACATCCCAGCTTCATGCCACATTGGATATTTGAGCCAAACTGGCTAAAATTGTGATAATGACTTAAACCGATTTATGAAAACACTCATGGGAGTCGACTTCGAGTCCGCTGCATCACTTCCTTGCGCAAGGAAATGAAGCCATGCTTGTCCATCAAAGACTCCTTTCAATTAATCACAGAAACAATCTAGATTTTGTCATTATGGAGGCATCCCCAGTATACAGTATTCAACAATATGTAGTTTTCAATGCACAGATGGGGACATTTTGTGTCTTTAAATTCTTCTAAAAATATATGTACAATACAGTATATATTTTAAATAGTGGCCCACAGAACAGATGTACAGTACCTGCAGGCCTGACCTGGCCCATAGGCCAAATTTTGGACAGCACTGTTATAGAGTGTGAGTGAAGCCCATGAGTGAAGTAAATCCACCAGACCGTGTTTTGTAAAGGAAACATGGCTCAAAGTTTCATGGCAGACACGAAGGAGTCTGAGACAGAGAATTTGATTCTCAAAAATTTTCTTTTCAAAATAAATAAAATGAAATGAATACAAATGGTTCGTGTGATACTTTTTCTTTTATAACAAATCACTAGCATCATGCATGCGCGTGCTCACATTGCACCATCAAATCTCAGCTCAACACCAGCCCAACAATCACAAAATGAAAATTGCTGAACTCAAAACGCATTTCAGATAAGCCACAAAAGCCAATAGAAACATTCGCAATACTGACCACGTTGGCTTGTAGGAATATAGGAATTCTCTTTTCCAAAACAAAAACAGAAGAGCGTCAAGAATAACTTTTTTTTGCAGATACGTATGCTTTGCAGGGTTTCTCTGGTCCTTCATGCAAAAAAGAAAAAAAGAACCGACAGACAGACATCAAGCCGGGAAAATAATCGTCTTCGGCAGTGGAACTTTGTGCTTTGGTTTCAAGGAACAGTTCTTCCTTCCCCCTATTTGCTTCTCTTTTCAAATAGGGGGCATTGTCAATGGAAAATTCACTTTTGCATAAGGTGGGATGTTGATAACGGGTCGATCAATCATCATCCTCGTTCGCAGTGGTGCCAAACTTCTCTCGGTTATTTCTCTGCAGTCGAACACGTACAGCTGCTTCAAGTTTCTGCAGTGCTCACCCACCAAACTGGAAAAGAACATACATTTCTGAACACCATCCTTCAGAGAGTACAGATCCCCATGTCAAGAAGATGCCATTTTCACTTGCACATGAGTCCCATCAATTTTTCGTTTTAGTATTGGAAATCAGCCAGAACTTCTGCGCAGGGATCAATTTCTGAATCACATCCCAAACATTGATTGGAGTATTGGTTATTTTAAGTTGAATTTCAATGGGCCAGCAAAGGAATACGACTTCAAGAGATTTTATGTTGGGGAAATTAGCATTTTTTGCGATGAAAAGAAAAAAGAATTGAAGGAAAATGAAATTGGTGATTTACTTTGGCTCAAAACAGCCTTGTAAAGAAATTGGCAGGATTCTCAATTTGGAAGCAAGGGTTCATTTCCCCCAGTAAACTTTCACTTCCTTTCAAAAAGCATCACGTTAAATTTTCAATGCTTTTCTCTTTGCCTGGATCAAAAATTACAGCCAAAATGCAACTAGAAAATTTAACTTAGAGAAGTTTGACAGAGAAAGCCTTTAGGTTAAGGAGATTTTTAATACAGTAGGCCCCAAGATGTGGACGTACTATAATTGGTCCTTGGACCTTGTTCTTACATTGGAATGTCTCTAAGTTAGATCACGATTTTTGATAAACTTCAATGGGAACATAATTCAATAAATTCCCCTGTTCCGGCAAAAAAAAATCCTATTGAATATTGAATGGAACTTTATTTTAGATTTAAAGAAAAATCCAGAAAATAACTGCGCAGAAGATAAGAACACAGCATGTGTCATTTTGGCAGGAAAATTAGTCCAAAAAGCAAAAAAGCAAAGTTTTTCAAAACTGTGCACAGATAAATGAAAAAAAACCATAAAGAGAAGTTAAAAATTATATTGTGTCGCATTATAATTTAAGATTAAATTTTAATCAGATCTATTCGGAATATTCTCGCTGTGAGAATTAGATAAATATGTTCACGAGAAAAAGTATTAAAATTTAAAAAACGATGATTTCCCCATTTTTCTCTATACTGTATGTTGGCAAAGTGGACATCGCCTGGGTTCAGGGGCATGCTTTTCTAGTCTCAAGTGTCCCTAAGTCGAACCGTCCGTATGTAGGGGCCCCCACAATACATTTCTCAATATTGTATATTTATTTTTTTAATACATCTTTGTTTGGCTCATTACACAGAAGAATAGGGATGATTTTGAGAGCGTCCGGAATTTCTCGAGGGACTCCGGGAAAAACACCAGAATTCTTCCCAGACTCCCAGTGATTATGTCCTTTCTATCAACTGCGAGGGGGACAAAAAAGGAAAAGCAGAAACTCAGAGAGAAAAAAAAAAACAGATCTCACCGGATTCCGTGGTCACTGATCCTCCAACAACCAGAAACCGACAGTTCGACTAGCTGAGAAGATACAGCTGCAATCGCAGACATGAGTTGGTCAGTGAGGCCATAAATGTTGGTCAAGTGCAGGGATTTCAGCCTCGGGTTCTTGAACACGAGTTTCATGATGGATGCGTTGTTCACTTCCCAGCACGACGAGAAATCCGCTCGTTCCAGATTCCGTAAATGCAAGGCTAGTGTTTCCACACCGTGTGGACTCAACCACACACACATGGTCATGTTCAATATTTTCAGCTCCTGCAATATAATGTCAGTCATCAAGTCAAGAATAATCCCAACAATTTCAACAATGAAAAAATACGAGAAATACCTTGCATTTGAGGGCGAGCATGATAATGCTCTTATCCGTCAGTCCAGAACATCCAGAGAGATCAACACTTATCAAATGCGGGTTCTGCGCAAACAACGGCTTCATGTCTTCATCTCGAACCCATCTGCAGTTGGCCAGGTTCAGCTTTCGTAAAACCGTGCAATGAACCAACACATTCTGAAAATTATACACATCACTCAATTAAAAACGATGCATGAAAATTTTAGAAGGAATAAATGGGGGATAAAATCATTTTCAACGAAAATAAACCAGCCCTTGCAATTATTATTGAGCATTTTATAAAAGCAGAAACAGCGAAAGTCCCAATAAGAGAACATGAAAAAAACTTACTAGACCTACATCCCTTGGGATCTTGGCAGCGACCCGAGACAAGTCCACAACCGGCGACACAGAAAAGTACTCGTCCACCATTTTCATCACAGTCTTGCACGTTTGCCTCAGACAAAACAAGTCCTTGAAATCCAGTGCGCAAAATATGTACGCGAAAACCACGTCTTCCCAAGGCAGCGTTACCAACGAGGCTCTCGACAATTTCTCTTCCTCTTCATCTTCTTCCATCCCTCGGAACATCCGCTCAAAACGAGAGAGAAAAGTTCAAAACTTCCCTCATTCACTTCCCGTATTAATCCACACAATACAAAATTAATACAAAACCTGGAAAATATAACATTGTCTGAAACTAATGTAAATCACGAAATCATGCCCACCTAAAAACTAGGAATTGCATCCCTTGTAAAAGCTGCCCACGAAGTACTTCTGCAATCATTTGCCAAGTACTTAAAGGTTCCAAAGGTTGATTACTCAAATATTACGAAATGGTTATTTGGTATTCACTCAAGTAAAATACAGTAAGGTTAGAACAAACATAGATAATAATGAAAATTCAGATAAGAATGCACTATGGGTGTAGAAAAAGAACCTAAAAATGTGCCATGATTGATTATGTGATACAACAGGATTTCTTGTAACAAGATTCTACTGCATTCAGTTTGTGTAGTTAATATTCAGGTATTCATTTCGATCCGAAATAACTCCTGGATGAGCTCACATTGTGCATGAATTAGGTTAATCAATTTCATGTAGCTTAGGTGCTGAGTTTGAAAACTCAGGAGTTGAGGTAGGTTACCAAACTTACTCAAGTAAGAAATGCCTTTTTCTTCTCAATTGAGGAGGAAACAAAGATGGCTTATGTTCACAACAGGTATGCATTTTAAAAAGCTTTTGTGCGCATCATACTTGATTCCAACAGCAAATTTTCAAATAATGAGAACAGGTGAAACTTGACATTTAATTTTACTAAAATTTCAGACAAAATATAATTACCATGCATCTTATTTTCAAAATATTGCGATTTACAGTCTCTCAAAATGAGCATCATCTATTTTCATTCGAATAGTTGGTTGAAAAATTCCTCAATTAAATCTTACTCAATGGCACACGGTACTTGAGTAAATAAGGTACTTTTCCCCAAGAATACAATCGATTTCCAAATAATCAGCACATCCAGAAAAATACAGAACTTTAAGTGGGCACCTTCAACAAGGGAGTCCTGCATCGTACAATAAAGTGAACAAGGAAAGGCTCATGCACCGACAACAAAATGTTACTTAGTTTTCATCGGGTCATTCGCCAAAACAACTTCTTTTGAAATAAGGCAACCGTTTCATCATGGCGCACAAACAAAACGAAAAAAGTAAAACACAGTAAACACACTATGCTGTTGTTCCCCGCTGCGCTTTAAAACCCCCCGCGATAAATTCACACATTTTCTCCAATTTCACACTAAACATCACATGGGTTTGTCATCAACAGATAGTGATCCAAGAAAATCGGTAAGGGGGGGAAGTGAATTATGGCACAAAAAAAATAGCAGGATGTCGCCACCTGAGTGAAGATTAAACCGGGGGAAATCCGAACCGGGGAGGGGAAAAAATCACATTAACGTCGTCAGACCGACTCTTTTTCTTCAGGTCCGCGCCACGAGTCGCTCAATGAACTCCTGCAACGGAGCCAGTTCCTTTTTGTCAATCAAGTTGAACTCGAGAACAAAGAAAATGAAATGTTTGAAGGACGTGTTCAAGTGAGCTTCTTCCCCCAGCTGCACCACTTGCTCGAAGTGCTGATGGTAGATGTGCGCGTATACCCGGAACAAGCGCTTCAGGATGGTTTTGGCGAGGTTCAAGAAATTCTTCGGAAAAGGCACACCTAGAAGAACCACCACAGCATCACCCAATATGCCAATAATCAAACACAGCAAGAAACACGCCCTCGACAGATTCAAGAAACAAAAGGGAAAAAATAGCTCTCAATACGTAAAGGCAAAACCTGACTTCACAAGAGGTTACTCCGGGAAATAAAAGGCTTACCGATTTTCGATGGAAAGACGTTTTCGTCATCCAACTGATCTTGTACCCAGGTCATGAGATAGTCTATGTAACGAGGCGCAGTGCATTTAATCGGCTTCTTCACTGTTTGTCCGTCAGCCCAATGATACTCGTATTTAGGACCCGCGGACATCACAGGACACGCGTCTATTGTGCAGAATTCCGTTACTGTGCCGTACAGCAAGTTAATTTGGTTGAAGAAATCAACCGCTGCATTGGATCAATTTCGAGTTAAATTTCAACCTGTTTTTTTAAGCATGACCCGAAGCATTCTTACTGTTCACTGCTACCCATTCATTCAAGTCTTCCCCTTCAGGCAACATGACGGCTTGACGAAGATTCCCCGATCCTAGCGTCGCAGCAGCATGTTTCATCAGGTCGTATTGGTGCGTGCCTTCGGGGATATGCTTCTTTGGCTTGAAAGTTTTTGCACTCTTACTTCCACTGGAACACAGAAATTCGGCATCAATACGGAAAGCCAAAGAAGATGATGGGAACTTACAAAAAGAAGCTCATGATAACAGCTGTGAGGTTCTTCGAAGTGCGACGAGACTATACAGGAAGTATCACAAGATTAACGGGTCGCGTATCACACATTTACGAAACGCAGCAAATCTCATCCCGAGAAAGCTGCATTTCGCTAGACAATCAAGCTCACACCGCTACGAAACAGAAAAACAATGTGAACCTATAGCTATACCAACCACTAATGAGGATAATCGCGGCTTACAGGATTCGATGCATACACTCAGTAGAAAAAATAACACTTCATTTTATCGCTCACAGACCACACAAAGAAAGTGCCATGATAAGAAAAGAATTCCTGCATAGGGAATAATGAAGAAGGACGGTGATCAATCGTCCGTGAAACCGCACGCAGCCTCGAAAGGATTTGGATCAAATCCGGGAGAAATAGTCGATTTCATGAGACCCCGGATAACCCCCCTCTTGCTCCTCATTGTTCACAGCTTCCTCACGTCTCACAAAGCTCAAGATTACTCGCTCCATCACAAAGAGCAATCGCCCAGCCAGTTCTTTCTGAAAACAGCTTAAGTTTGGTAATCTTGCTCCGATGTTGAATGTGACGCCATGACACTTGTCTGGAGACCACACAGAGCGATTTGCTTTGTTATACATTTCCGCCGCTGCTTATCGATGCATATTTTTAGAAAAAAATGATCAGTAGGACGAAAAAAAAAAGGTTTTGAACAATGTTTAAAAATAGCACAACAACATTTTTTCAGCCTTTTTTCATTCTAAGACATCAAATACGCGTAGGATTCACAGTAACATTTATCAAATGCCCGCGAAAAATCGACCATGCTTATACGCCTTCAAGCCAAGACTAAAGTGATGAATAAGTGAAATGCCGTGAGGTTTCAGTAAAGGACTCTAGCGACAGCATTTGACTGAAAATTCCGAACTTCATCAGGAGGAACTGGGGGCGATATTTCTCCCCAACCTAGCCCCCTATAGTGGCATTCATATGTTCCCTACCGGGAAAAAGGCCGCGAGTTCAGCTGGAAAATCACACACACAAAACCACTCCGTACAAAAAGCCCACTGCTGAAAACCCGCTTTCCCCAAGTTTTGTTGCGTTCATGTGTATACGATATTATTTTTTTATATTTTCGAACAGTGAAATAATCAAGTGTTTCATTTCATGGTTGAGCAACTAATCAAATACTTGAAATATCTTTTGACTTAATCATCACTTATCTTATCACATATCTTAGATGCAGTACCTACACAAACCCTTCCGAATGTTGTTTTCAGAATCCCTGCCCTTATGCATCATAACAGAAGGGAAGTTTGAATATCAACAGTTGGTCATTTCGTACCTGGTTTTCAGGGAGCTTTTCGTTTTGGGTGCTTTTTAGTTGACCACCATTCCCCTCGTCCTTCGCTCCATATTTCCCGCTGGCTGGGCAAAGTTCATAGATTTTTTTTTCTGAAGGGACCGCCTGCTGCAGTGATTTGAGGCCGGGAAGAACGAAATTTATCCCTCCCTCCCAGGAATACAAGGCAGCCTCCGGGTCCTGCGTCAATAGACCCTGAGAAAATCATTCGGTCGCCGTTCTTCAACACATGCCCCGAAATTCCATCTCAGGCATCATGCGCATTGTTCACTTTTTCAAAAAATTAGTCTCACATAAATATAGAAAATACATTTGAAGGATACTGAAGGTTTATTTAGATTTTTTAATGAATAGTTCAGCATTTTGTAGGGTTGTTTCAGTAGATCGTCCAGGGCATTCCGGGCGTGTGCACGCTTCATCGGCGCATTGGGATGCGCGGCGGACAGAGATGGTCGGGCACCGATGAGGCTTTGAGAACCTTTGGTCCCCTTCCTTCAGCAGAAGCAGCAGTTTCAGAATGCGCGCATCCGGGAAGAAAAATGCACACGCCATATAACTTCAAATAGTGCCTGCTGTGATTTCAAACGTGAAAGCGAAATTAAGAGAGAAAGAGCCAGGAGTGTCGTTACCGCAGTTCCATCAACTTCCCTGTTGCGATACTTTCTGGCTGAATTTCCCTCGCATTTGTGGAGCGAAAGTGTTTTTCTTCTGATATCGTACATTATTGCACTTTTTTTTCGCGCGGCTGCGGTGTCCTGGCTCTGTGACTCGTCGGCGATCATCTATAGCGCCAGTTGGTGGTCGGCTCTCCAAGAAAGCGGACAGAGTTTTGTGTTGCATGTGTACGTGATTGTGTGTGTGTGTGTGTTCTTTGTTTATTCTTCTCCATCGCGTCTGTCCTTTCTTTTGTTTGTTTTTTTCAGCAGTGATGAAAGAGTTGCGAAGTCGCAGGGATTATCGTCTGTCTCAGTTTACGGCGGATTATCATTACGCATTTAGAATCCCTGGGTGGTTATGATCCTTTGAGAAATATACTTCATTCGCTCTCTTTACCCTGATAAATCTGAGGCGAGAAGTCCGTAATTTTTGCCTGTAAAGTTTTACGATTCAGGCGACACCTTCATGAAAAAGTGAAAAATGCTTTGGAATTCGGGTTGTCAGGATCAAAAGTCATGTTCTCCGAATGAATGCCTTTCTGGGTGGAGTGTCCAGTAGATGTCGCGAGTTACATGGATCTATGCCATTCAAACACATTTCCGATTTAGCGAATTTCATGGAATTAAATTTTGTTGCTTTTTTCACGCCAGCTCGTCTAATCTATCTCTTGAATAACATAAATATGTCACCTAAATCTCCGCACTACTGGAAAAAGTATTCTACCCAATAAAAACAAAAATTAGCCAAAAGAAACGCTTACTTTTAGACAAAATAATGAATACAGCAGTATAACCATGAAGCACTATATGGAAATTGCCAAATTTGAGGATGTCAGTAATTTAAAAATTATGATTATTTAAAGATCATCAATCTTAATTTGTATACGTTAATTTAAGCAGCACATTTTCAATCTCAAAGAATTGAAGACACCGCAAACCAACAAATTTTATTTTTAAAGTCAAGTCCTCTATTCTTGAATGCGAATATCTTGCGAATTGTGACCCCAACGAAAGAAATATACTGCACAAGTATTCGCGCGTATGGTCATTTTACATACTCCAGAGAGCATCTTTTTTACTTACTCCAAAGAGACAATTAAAAATATGCCGGTATTTAGTGAAAACATGTTGTTTATTAATTGCTGATTAGCTCATGTCCTCAATCTGGCGACTTTTTTCGCCATTGCATATAGACATCGCTTGAAGTTTTCCCATAGTTCCTTGGGCAAAGCACAGTATTGATTGCTCAGATGAAATGATTGCAAGCATCAGCAACTTTATGAAAAAATTAGTATGATGCTGTGGTTAGGATTAGGAAGAGTACTTGCCTGAAGTCCCTAACTCAGTGGTTTTTTGTTATTACCAAGATGTCGCCTGTATTTCATGTTCTAGAATACCAACACTGCTGTGGGCTTATTTCCACTGTAGTGTAGATGTCGCCAGATTTACCTTTCATTTGAGACCAAGTCTTTTGTTCAGTATAGTGACGTCATTTCAACTCTTCAGCTTAAATATATATACTTACATCAGTATAATTAAGCTCTGTATTGAAACGGACCCTCTGAAGAAATATAAATCCTAAACTTTATATTCCTTTCAGTGATGATTATGGCGAAATGTGCTTCATTTGTATTCAGCTCTTGTTCCTCGCGTGTTTCGGGGACCTTGGTGCAAATGTTGCATAATCACCAGTGAACTTCTGAGCGCGAAAATAATTTCCTGTCCTATTAATTCGTCTTACTAGCGTGGTTCCTGCTTCCGCCAAAAAACTTCTTTTCCTATGTACCTTTTCAGTATGTAATAGTGACACGATTGTTTGCGTAACTCATTTTCATGGTATAATGAGTGTTTGAAGACGAGCTATATTTGCATGCATGCGATGAGCAGAGCGTTGATATTCTTGAGGAGGAAAAGACCTTGTGCTTTGCTACATGGGAGTGTCGAGTTTCGAGTATTGATGGCGTTTCCATACCTTTTCAGGGTTCGTCCCTGGTTTATTATATTACCCCTTTGTCAAGGCTTACTTATACTGTATATATATCGTACCTATACAATACACCATAAAATATGCCAGAATACCGCCAAGCATTCGCATATTTGAATTATTCATGAGATGCGTTTATGTTCGAGAAATAAGAGCTCTTTTGAAAATTGTGAAGCATTATTCCTTTAGTGTATTCATTTTTTCGACTGAGTTTGGGACTAGGGTTGGATCGATAAATTTAAAAATAGAATGCATCTTTGGTTACTTGTTGTCTGATGGAAAATAGGCCTCTGAGTCAGTTCATTTTCTAGGAATAATTTTTGAATTTTATCCCGAAGAAATCGAATTTTAGGGAAAGACGTAACCTGAACTTATACTCAATATTTACGGGGTTTCTCTTTATGTTTTCATATTGACTTCTATATAGAAACTGCTGGTGAAAATTATTCTTTGCGGAGAATAATTGCGGTTGACTCGAGCAAAGGTCGAGTCATGCATACTCCATTTTAATTTCATTTTCCGACTGTATATCGTTAGTTTGAAAGTGGCTTTTTGTTTATTTCCGAAATATAAGTGGTCATTAGTGTTCTGAGCGTTTTTTCTCCCCCGCAATGTGAATTACCCACATCTCTTCACGTGTGTTTGTCCGAGTGTTTTACTGTGTTTCAAGGATTTTTCTTATTCCCGAAACCCCTTCGAAACTAGACCGACCTTCAAGTTATTACTGTGCAAGTGTCTGTGGGTGTACTTCTCATTATTTATGTGCACTTCAATTTGACGAATGATTGTCTCGTGTTGCAATTCTATTCTTTTCTCAAAGAAGTCATTTTATAGAAAAAAAGAATTGATTTTCAGCCCTCTTGACTTGAAAAAAAAAACCGTGCTCACCTTCCGTTTTAATCACAATTTTGAGGTAAATATAGTATGTTTCTCTATTTTTGCGTCATTCTCCCTGTCCTACGAGTCCAACACGGAAAATGGTACGCATGAAAAAAGTACCGCACTTAATTGAGTACCATGTGCACCTTTTTTTTATTCAAGAAGAAAAATAATGGTGAATGTCATGTGTGATGGGTAAAGTAAAGTAAATTTCAAGCTTTGGTGCACCTCTTACTTGATTCCAACAGATAATGTTGAATTTTTATAGACAATTGAAAAAAATATAAATTATAAAAAATTAATCGAATTTGACTAAAATTCAAGTCAAGATGTTCATTCTGATGCCTTGTATTTCCAAAAGATTTCAATTTGTTGCCTCTAAAAATTAGATGAATGTCGTTTACATGGATTCATTTTTATCCAAATTTTGGGTGCACGGTACCTGATTAAATGCAGTCCAAGTGTTTTTATCAAATGATTATCAAGCCTTATTTGCAGAGATTTAGTGGTCACGAAGTTTAAAAATGTTTTTCACACATTCATTCAACACATTCCAGCATATATAAAAAAGGAAAACTAATTTGCTATATAGTTATTGACAGAAAATATATCAGAGTGTATATAAATGCATGGATAATGAGTTACAATGTATTTTTTGATGGCAACAATCACAGCACTAGGCAATTACTGAGCACAAAGTATTCAGCCAGTTCCCAGATAATTTTCTATTTTTTTGAATAATTTAAAGATAATTGTACAGCAAAAAGTTTTTCAAACATAAACACCGTCTTCGACCAAACAATAAAAATGTTTATTTTTTTTCTTGCAGTGCAGCAAAAAAAAGGAAGTAAGTGAAGAAGACTGTGATTTTTTGTTTTTTGGCGAGAAAAGAAGGCGGCATGGAACCGCCTTGGTGTCGCGACGACGACGGCGACGGCGGTGGCGGTGGTAATTGTGGCCTTAGTGTTGGTGGTTGTGACGATGATGAGGGATCCGTGTCCTCCTGCCCATTCTTCGAATCGAAAAAGACGTCAGCTGGCCCACTAGCATAGCCCCCCCCCCCGTGATGGGCCAGTGGGAAGCCTACGCTTGGCTGGGCGTCCTTGCAGCGACGCCTCTTTGCGCCTGCGCCCTTTTGTTCCACCTCTGCGTGTCTCGTCGACGACGTCAGCCCTGCAGCAGCAGTCGTCACTCTGACGACGGACTCCGAGGTCGTCGTCGTCGACGACGTGTAACCATCCGGTCCTCGCCGCCGTCTCCACTCGACGCCCTGCTGTCATCCCTGACTGCGGCCCAACTGGTCTCGTCACTGGCCCTGGGTGCCCGGGCCCTGGCCCGACTCTGGCGTCCGACGGCGTGTGCCACACTGGTCGCAGTGTCGACGGCGTGTCGCACGTTTCTACTGGCTGCTCTGGCGTCGCTGTTGGTCGACAGGATGCTGACGCTGAGACGGCGACGGTATCGGATTGCCCGGGCCCACGTGGCGTATCATGTGGCCGTGCTGGCCCTGGTGGCAGCGTTGGTCGGCGTGGCTGCGGGCCTGGCCCTGCGCGGTGATGACAGCAGTAGTGTCGGTGGTACTAGTAGTAGTAGTAGTTGGAAGGAAGTCGTGGGAGTGGACGCCATGGGTGGTGGAGTTTTGTCGAGGTGTGGACTTGGGCCAGCTTTGGAGGCCCAGGGCAATTATGCCAGACTGGCTGTTGGGGTGGACGCAGTTTTCCTGGCCCTGGTCGCTTTCGTCTTTGGCTACGTTCAGGTAAGGTTTTTAAAAATCAGTCGCTTTTTTCCCCTTTTATTCCTCATTTGAGGTGATTGAATCTTTCATTTTTTAATTTCTAAAGAAAAAAGGTGGGAACTGTATGATACAACTATCTTAGGCAGTGCATAGTTTTTGATTAAGGTTTGTTGTATTTTGTTGAATCTCAATGAAGTTTTCTTTTACATCAGAATAGGAATTTAGTGTGGTGAGATGTGTTTAGTTTCCTATTGAAAAGTTCAACATTTACATGGAGTTGAGTGTGTTGGAAGTGATAAAGTAGCAAGGCTTCTGTTGAGAAGATCTACCTGCACCACATGGTTCTACCATTTCTTCATTTCAAAAACTGAATTTTGTACTTGATGGTACAGTAATACCATTTTTTAAACATTCTTAAGTGATCTAAACTTGCTCTATTTGAAATGTCAATGTTGACACAGAGCCAAGTTTTTTTTAGAAGTTATGGAGAGTTCATGCAGCTTTCTAGAATTATGTTTATGAGAAATCCTCTTGAAATAAATGTGTGCATGATTAGAGTAAATTGGGAAGCAACCTTTCTTTGTGATGGCTAATTAAATACTTGTGTATTTCAGAGGCAGTCAGGCATGAAATAAAGCAAAAATGAAAAAAAAACCAAGTGATGTAAAAGGTGAAACAACTGGTTCAAGATGATGTGAATATTTATTACATGATAAATTATGACTTGTGGTGTGACATACATTAGATTTATAATTCAAACCTGAGAGGAAGATTTGGGTGAGTGTTGTGTGTACAAAAGAACTGAAAGATCAACCATCATATATGGTTTTAGCCAGGTAACTTTTTTTTTCATCAGTGAGCAAATGAAAAAGGGCTGTAAAAAAGGAAACCATTCTTATATCGGTGGCAAATTCTATTCAATTATTGTACTCGGCAGTTGATGCGATTCGAGTTTCACTCAGGTTTCGTTCTCCTTTTCTTTTTCAACTCAAGAGTTCAAAAGATGAGTGTAATAATACAGTTAATTGGGATAAATTCCTGCGTTTATTTCGTATCGTTGTATGACCTAGGATGTATTAACTGTGTTAATCGTGAGTTATTTATTTTTTAAAGGTTTTTTTATTTTTTGCTCTCTGATTGCTGAATTGGAAAATTGAAATATGAATATTCAGTCCATCAGCATCGAAATCCAAGACTTTCCCATTAATGAAGACAAAAATGAATACGAGCAGTGTTTGTGGGGAAATGAAAACCTTGACGAGAACAAGTTGATTGTCCATATTTTTTTGGTGTAAATGTTTTCGGAAACCGTCAAGGAACCAAATAAAGTGAAAATAAGCCCAGCGAATCGAGGTCGAATCCCTCTTTGAAGATACGCATGATAAAACTAGTGCTTTGGTTCCGTGTGGCTGCAAATCGATGAACAACCCGAGAAAGTGTTTCTTCTTTCTTTACTACTCCTCAAGTTGAACAAGAAAGGAAACATTTACGAATTGGATTAAATGCCGCATTTTTTTTCAAATGGCGAGTTCCAAATGGGGTTGTTAAATCCAAAAAAAATGCAATTTGAAGCTTCGTGTATATTTGTGTTTTTTTCCTTTTTTGTTCTGATTTAGGGGAATTAAATTCCTTAAAGATTATTAAAATCCTTGAAATTCCAGAGATTAAAATTACGTGATTTGAAAAAGTAAAAATTAAATAAGCATATTTCAGCAAATATGGATTTGACATCTTACAGCCGGACAAACATTTTGATTCTGCTTTCAAAAATTTTCAGATGTGTTGTTGTTTTAATTTTTAAACCCCCGTGATTTTACCGCTGATGAATATTATTATCTAGTACAGTATAGTAATCTACATTTTATCTTGAAAAGTCGAATGTTTTGCTGTTGTGGTACATTTTCATCAAACAAGAGCAACAAAACCTGTTGAGTATTATTCTTTTTTCTTCTTTGTGACAACCCTGTGTTTCACGCAATGAAGCGTACACTTTTCTCGATTTCCTTGGCTCTCGGAATGCGTTCATGATTGTCCTTCTAGGTCAGTTGGTTGGGGAAATGTGAGGTCATTATTTCAGGAACCAAATAAAGTGAAAATAAGCCCAGCGAATCGAGGTCGAATCCCTCTTTGAAGATACGCATGATAAAACTAGTGCTTTGGTTCCGTGTGGCTGCAAATCGATGAACAACCCGAGAAAGTGTTTTTTTTTCTTTCTTTACTACTCCTCAAGTTGAACAAGAAAGGAAACATTTACGAATTGGATTAAATGCAGCATTTTTTTTTTCAGATGTCGAGTTCCAAATGGGGTTGTTAAATAAAAAAAAAAACAATTTGAAGCTTCGTGTATATTTGCTTTTTTCTGATTTGGGGGAAATTAAATTCCTTATACTGTAGAATTGTAGATTATTAAAATCCTTGAGATTCTAAAGATTAAAATTACGTGATTTGAAAAAATGAAAATTAAATAAGCATATTTCAGCAAATATGGATTTGACATCTTACAGCTGGAAAAACATCTTGATTCTACTTTGAAAATTTTCCAGATGCGCTGTTGTTTCAATTTTTTAATCCCCCGTGATTTTACCGCTGATGAATATTATTATCTAGTATAGTACAGTAATCTACATTTTATCTTGAAAAATTGAGTGTTTTGCTGTTGTGGTACATTTTCATCAACAAGAGCAACAAAACCTGTCGAGTATTTTTTAAGAAACACTGTTGGGACACAAAGTGCGTTACTTCGCATGTGAAAAGAGCTAAAGGAACCGAGAGCCTTACGCAAGTACTAACAGGAAGATCCAGTCAACCAACCCCTTTACACTCCAGTAATAAAGAGTTTTTATATTTGTCTGGGTCAACTTGTGCGATGGACACCCGTTTTCCAAAATTTCTTTCATATCGTTCGATTGTCATAGTCCATGAAGTGATTTTAATGATTATAAGCCTGGGTAAAAAAATATACTGTATATATACGTGAAGAGAGAGAGACAATTTCGATATTCCCGGAAATCGTGTCATTATTCGGCATTGATGGAATGTGGACAAGAATTTTGTTCACCATCAGCTGGTCATTGCGTGAATTCGAGTGATGCATGAGGGGATCAGAGTGGTTATGAAACCTTTCTCGTTATTGCCTTGAGGGAATCGACTTCATTTAAAACTTCAATTTATTTCTCCCTGCCTGTCTTTCACATCCACTGGTATTTGCTTTACCATTTGACACGCCTCCAGTGGGAATTCTTTTTTGTTTCTACTTTTTAAAGAAAATTACTGGGCGAAATGAACGCCATTTTCAACGTGGAATCAAGTCCAATGTCGAAATCGTTTGAATAATAATAGTAATAATTAATATTTAATTTCCTTTTGTTCCGCGGAAGTCCTGAGTTTTTTTTTATATGAGGTAAGAGCAATACTGTGACTTCATAAATGGAGCAGTTCTGACATGAATTTTTTTTTGTAAAAATTGTTTGGTTTCTGGAGGTAAAATGGAGATGGGAAGCAATGAGTTATTTTTGGAAGTTTTTTTTCTGTGCCAATTCTGCAATGCAATTTTATTATTTTTTTAATGTCCATTCAAAGCCAGCAAAAAGAAAGCTTTTTAAATTCTAAAGAAAACCGTCGTCTGTCCATGCGGAAAAAAATTGTCAAATTCAGTTTTTGCCATATTTTGTTTATCTTCAGGAAGGGCTGTAACCTCTACTTCCTCTAAGTTTGAGCAAATACTATTTGAGACTCAACTGTCAGCTGTTGGATTTAGCGTGCACTATTTTTACCGTCACAAAAAGAAATCTTATTCACCTCAAACCCAATCTCTTTTTCTGGATATCCGAGAAAAACCAGAAGATCAACGCTCATATCTATTGTAGTTTGAAAACGGATATTTTTAAAATTTTATTTCGTCAGTGAGCTCTTCGAAAGAGGGGCATTAACTGCACTCCCTCTGCATAAGTCGAATCTTATGTATAATTCTGTGACAAACACACACGTTTTTTCTTCTTCTTTGCCCAGGCACATGTTTGCATGCTGCAAAAACGGCATTTGGGAGGTGTGAAAGCCGGAGGAAGACGTAGTATAGTGAGCAGAAGTCCTGCTCATCGGTCCCCATCGGATTTGGCACCGATCCGTACTGCGTCCGACACCAGCACTGCGTCAACCCTGCAACCAGCACCAGAACCCTTTCGATGGCGCACTGTGGCCTCTGCCACTCTGTGTCTGCTCACTCTGGACCTCGTTCCCCACTTGGTGAGCACTATATGAATATTGTATGTTCTTTTTAATAATTTATGCAAATAAAGGCCTAATTTAATGTCAGGATTAAAAAAAATATGTGTACATGGTCAACTCTCGATTTAGGGACAACTCACTTAGTGCCCCAGAAAATTGGGCCTGAAATCAAATAAATTGAGAACTTGAAAATAACTCCAAAATAAATTTTGATCATGCATCCAATTTCTGAATTCACATTGGTGGAAATATTTTTTTGTTTTTGCATGATGCCTTCCTTTCTTGACAATTTTATAAATAAAGTGGGAGCCTTCCTGAAAACATGGGTGATTCTTGTGTTATAGTACAGGAAATAAGAATAATATTGAAAGGGCTTGATTATTGCTTGGAGTTGTCTTCTTTTGAGGTCACCTGAAAGCTGGCATAATTTAAGATAAAGTGACCATGAATTAATGTTGAAAAATTTCATCAAAACACTACTCAGGGAGTCTCATCAAAAAAATATAGTAAGCCTCTTTTTTAAGCCTCAAGAATCAGTTGTAAAAATTTAAATATTCATAATTTTTATTTATTTCACTTATCTTCAAGGTTTAGTGTTGCAAGGCAGGTTTGAAGGGCCTTCGAAAAAAATTCTTTTCTCATCAAGAAAATTCCACCGCCAGTTTAGAGCATTTGTCATTGGAAACAATTAAATAAAAGAGCATCCAATGATGAAGACAACTGAAACTTCTTCAAAATTGTCATTTGGTGTTCTGTGTGAAATCAAAGTGTTTTGGAGGTTGTGGAGAAAAAAAAAANTTATTCGGCATTGATGGAATGTGGACAAGAATTTTGTTCACCATCAGCTGGTCATTGCGTGAATTCGAGTGATGCATGAGGGGATCAGAGTGGTTATGAAACCTTTCTCGTTATTGCCTTGAGGGAATCGACTTCATTTAAAACTTCAATTTATTTCTCCCTGCCTGTCTTTCACATCCACTGGTATTTGCTTTACCATTTGACACGCCTCCAGTGGGAATTCTTTTTTGTTTCTACTTTTTAAAGAAAATTACTGGGCGAAATGAACGCCATTTTTATCGTGGAATCAAGTCCAATGTCGAAATCGTTTGAATAATAATAATAATTAATATTTAATTTCCTTTTGTTCCGCGGAAGTCCTGAGTTTTTTTTTATATGAGGTAAGAGCAATACTGTGACTTCATAAATGGAGCAGTTCTGACGTGAATTTTTTTTTTGTAAAAATTGTTTGGTTTCTGGAGGTAAAATGGAGATGGGAAGCAATGAGTTATTTTTGGAAGTTTTTTTTCTGTGCCAATTCTGCAATACAATTTTATTATTTTTTTTAATGTCCATTCAAAGCCAGCAAAAAGAAAGCTTTTTAAATTCTAAAGAAAACCGTCGTCTGTCCATGCGGAAAAAAATTGTCAAATTCAGTTTTTGCCATATTTTGTTTATCTTCAGGAAGGGCTGTAACCTCTACTTCCTCTAAGTTTGAGCAAATACTATTTGAGACTCAACTGTCAGCTGTTGGATTTAGCATGCGCACTATTTTTTTTTACCGAAATTCGAAGTCACAAAAAGAAATCTTATTCAGGTCCAACCCAATCTCTTTTTCTGGATATCCGAGAAAAACCAGAAGATCAACTGTCACATCTAGTTTGAAAACGGGTATTTTTTTTAAATTTTATTTCGTCAGTGAGCTCTTCGAAAGAAGGACATTAACTGCACTCACTCTGCATAAGTCGAATCTTATGTACAGTATAATTCTGTGACAAACGTACACGTTTTTTCTTCTTCTTTGCCCAGGCACATGTTTGCATGCTGCAAAAACGGCATTTGGGAGGTGTGAAAGCCGGAGGAAGACGCAGTATAGTGAGCAGAAGTCCTGCTCATCGGTCCCCATCGGATTTGGCGCCGATCCGTACTGCGTCCGACACCAGCACTGCGTCAACCCTGCAACCAGCACCAGAACCCTTTCGATGGCGCACTGTGGCCTCTGCCACCCTGTGTCTGCTCACTCTGGACCTCGTTCCCCACTTGGTGAGCACTATATGAATATTGTACGTTCTTTTTAATAATTTATGCAAATAAAGGCCTAATTTAATGTCAGGATTTAAAAAAATATGTGTACATGGTCAACTCTCGATTTAGAGACAACTCACTTAGTGCCCCAGAAAATTGGGCCTGAAATCAAATAAATTGAGAACTTGAAAATAACTCCAAAATAAATTTTGATCATGCATCCAATTTCTGAATTCACATTGGTGGAAATATTTTTTTGTTTTTGCATGATGCCTTCCTTTCTTGACAATTTTATAAATAAAGTGGGAGCCTTCCTGAAAACATGGGTGATTCTTGTGTTATAGTACAGGAAATAAGAATAATATTGAAAGGGCTTGATTATTGCTTGGAGTTGTCTTCTTTTGAGGTCACCTGAAAGCTGGCATAATTTAAGATAAAGTGACCATGAATTAATGTTGAAAAATTTCATCAAAACACTACTCAGGGAGTCTCATCAAAAAAATATAGTAAGCCTCTTTTTTAAGCCTCAAGAATCAGTTGTAAAAATTTAAATATTCATAATTTTTATTTATTTCACTTATCTTCAAGGTTTAGTGTTGCAAGGCAGGTTTGAAGGGCCTTCAAAAAAATTCTTTTCTCATCAAGAAAATTCCACCGCCAGTTTAGAGCATTTGTCATTGGAAACAATTAAATAAAAGAGCATCCAATGATGAAGACAACTGAAACTTCTTCAAAATTGTCATTTGGTGTTCTGTGTGAAATCAAAGTGTTTTGGAGGTTGTGGAGAAAAAAAAAAGTGTATTCCATCTTGAATATATTACTGATTTAGTTTTTAGATTTGTGCATCATGAGGGAATGTTCAGAAAATGGGTTTTTGTTTAATTTGGAAAAAAATCAAGAGAATTAAAAAGGCTTTATTTTCATACCCATGCCTGCAATTCCAGGTAGATGTCGCCTCACTTCAGATAGCCTAAGTCCCTAAGTGAACCCCAACCTAAACTTTTACACATTGACAAAGTTCAATACCATGTCAAGACAGGGGCATAAAAATGAGTAACAATCAAAGATTAAAAAAACCTTTCAGTCAGATTCCTTTTTTGGGGATTCATCCAGTTGATGCTAAAAAAAAATATTGCTTTGACAAAATTTATGCAAAATTGCCATTTTGAATGCTGTATTCAGCAGCATGAGCGTGGCTGGCTCATTATTGCAATTAACTTTGATGGAATATACATATGCGTATGCGAGGGGGCTCTTCTTTGTTTCTAATTGGTGTGTAAGAATGTCGTCAGTCTGACCTCAGGCTGCCTGGCCTTGGATTCCTCGCATTGTCGGTGGCTCGCCATTAACCTATTTACCCCCAATCAATTCATTGTCACACTGCTGCTGCAAGAAGAAATAATAAAATGGGCGAATGAAACTTTTTTGCCCGACAAGTAAATTTTCTTCATTTATGCACTCAAAGTTCTACTTCAGGAGACCAGCAGAAAGAAATTATGGGAAACAAACATTTTTTTTTATTGAGGGGAAGCAAAAATTACAGAAAATATGTAATAGGTGAAATTCCAGGCCTTGAATGAGTTGACGGGATGCAAGGGTTCATTTGCCTCCAATTAGTCTTTCACTTCCTTTCAAAACACATGCACTTAAATTTTTTTTTATTGATTTTCTCTTTTCTTGTGTAAATAAAATAATAGCCAAAAGACCTCAGGATATTTCGAGGCCTATGGAGGTTTGAGGAGAAAAACCTTCGCGTTACCCAGGTTTTCTAATTCAGGAAGAGACTTGAAAAAAAAAATCGAAATAGTGAGGTTCAACTGTATTCACAGTGAGACCCCCGAGATGCGGACGTATTTGTTGCTTGAACCCCGTCCCTATGTTGGAACGTCCGCATGTCGGGATCAAATTTTCCCATTGACTTCAATGGTTACTGATTTAATTTTTTCTTTAGTTTGTCAAAAATTATGAATAAATCCTCAAAAAAAATCCGAATAAAATTTTTCTTCTCAATCAAATTGTTCATAATATAATTGTGTTGAAGAAAACCATTCAGAATCTTATTTTCTGGCATCAAAATGGCCCCAAAAATCACAAGTCTTGCTATACTGTGTACTGCTGATGTGGATTACTCCACACACACACAAAAGAAGAAGCACAAAATTAAACCTGTATTTGATTATAAATTTGAGTAAATTTATGAAGAACATTCATTTTAAATTTTCATGATTATGAATTGCTCAGTTTGTACAAGAGATTTTCAAATTTTGAAAAAATAGAAATTTCACGCTTTTTCTAGAAATCGTGGCGAAGTGTCTGTTTATTGAGATATTGTCCCGGTGTCGGGTCACATTTAAAAAAAATTTCAAATGGTGCCCAAGTGGATCATCTGTGTGTCAGGGTCTCACTGTATTTTCATAATTGAAAAGAGACCATCTTTGTTGTGTACAGTATTGTACAGTATTTTGATTCTGCTGGCTGAAGTACAGTATTATTCAACTTGAAGGCGTGTGCAGTACAGTACAGTGAATTCTAAGCATTCAGCCTGAAACTCTCTCGAGAGAGAGAGATGGAAAAATGTATGCTTGTCTTTGTTTTATTTTATTTATTCCATGTATATTCAGTAGATTGTACATTCAGTATATTGTATTTATCCCGGGACTCGCCAGGATTCTGATGAACACCAGGGAGATAAGGGAGTCATTAGCCAGTTGCTCAAAAGGTCCTTGTCCCTTCTTGTACCACATTCCTGAGGGGGACAGGTTTAGGTTCAACGACTCTTGACAGGGACGCAGGTATCCTTGGTCTTCATGGGTACGCAACCAGAGACACACACACACACATGCCACCTTTTTCTCTGTCTTTCTTGCTTTTATTAATGTGTGTTTGTCGGGTACAATCAGAGTCATTTTCCTCACCCTTTGAAATTAAAATACTGGACTGTGTGGAAGCATGTATGGGTGTTATTTTTTTTTTTGTGCACCTCTGTATAGGTAACAGGTGTGCAGTAAAATTAACGTAGGCTTTGTTCAATGTACGTTGTTCAAATATTTCTCGGAGGATTTTGGAAAAGGTGTTTATTTTTATTTCAAGTGACTCAGAAGAGTGTGGGTATTTTTCTATGCAAGTACAGTAGAATTTGGTTACAACGAATTTCTTTCTGTTTGTGCATTACGGAAAGATGGATGCACATGGATTTTGAATTTTCGTTTTTGTTTCATTTGAAAATTATAATAATCGAGAAAGTTATCAACCGAAAATGAAACTTTCTCAAGAATCGAGTGAAAACCTGAAAAAAAAAACAGTTTAAATTTTTAAAATTCCAAATAACGCAATTTAAAATTTTTCCAAAATATTTTAAAATTTGGAAACATAAATGCACATACACAGAATTCAAAATTAGGGAAGTGGGTAGAATTTAGAATCAGGTAACAATTATTTCTATTGAGCAAAACTTTTTAAACATTATTGGATGTGCGCTGAAATTATTAAAATTACAGTATTTGCTATATTAATAATTCATTGAGGTAAAAATATAAACTTTGACTTTTTTTCTGCAGTGTGAATTTTATCTCACCTCCTGAGGCAACAAAAGCCATGTTCCCAACACAAAAAAAATCTTTACAAAAATAACCAAGCCCAGTTACACCCAATATGAATAAAAATAATTAACAAAGCACAATGTAAAATATTAATACAGTATTTACATCTAAACTTAATTGTTTAGTTGATGGTAATGTAGAGTAAAAAGAGAACACCGTTCCAATTTTCAAGACAAGACAGGAGCTCATCACTCGTATCTGTTGTATGCAACCAAAAGTAACAATTTAGTGGAAGAAAAGATTAGTTATTTCAGTTGAAATAATTCCTCTAGCCATCAACAACTAAACTAGGAAGTGAGATTACTAATCAGAAACCTGCAGATGCAACATCTGTCACACACACAGAAGAAGAAGAAAAAAACAAAAACCGGGGCATGGAAACGTCAAATTGCCGGAACATGACGTTCATATAATTTTTTTTTCCTCAGTTTCCTGGATCCGAAAAGGAAAAGTGTTGCGCAATTCTTTCATGCTTTCTCTTTTGCTAGGTTATCTATGTTTTTCAAGCGTGATTATTGCCTCATTTTATTACGCTAATTTCGTGGCAGTCGAGGATTTTTTTTGTTTTGTTTACTGTTAAGCTTACCGACCAGCATTTTGTATCTAATTAATTATGCGTGGAATGCTTTTTTGTTTTGTTTTATTTCTTTGGAAATTAAAATTATGACGTCTTTTATAGGGATTCGGAAAATTTTCAGGTTGGAATTATCGTATTAATTTATTTTCCCGTTAAAATTAACCAAAATTTTGTTTTTGAGTAGAGTATTGTTTTTTTATTTCTGGATTATGTATTGTAAAACAATTTTTTATTTGTGAGATTATTGTTGTGACGAGATTTTACTGGATTACTAATTTTTTCATTCGTATCTGCAGATGTTCACAGTGACAGCGGGGTTCTTCCCTTCGTCTCTTCCGCCGGAATTGCCCGCGGAACTGGCCCTGGCCCTGGCCTCGACACTGGTGTCCCTAGTGTTGCCACTGCTCATCATCGGCGTGGACCCGTTGTTGAGACGATCCACGAGGCATTTGTGCGCCGTCGACGACGACGACTACGATGACGACGACGAAGACAACGACGGCGTCCGTGGCGGCGGCGGCAGCGGCGGCGGTGGTCTGGGCCATCATCACGACCGCATGTCCCGACTGGAGGGCCAGCACAACCCCGGGCTCGTCGTGGACGACGAAGACGGCACTTTGAAGGCCAAGCAACGGGGTTTCAGGATGTCGAATGACGAGGATGATGACGACGATGATTTGTATGGAGGCAAAGCCGTTTCTTCGTCTGCTTTGTCTTCTATTTCTAGAAATGGTGAGATTGTACCAGCTTTCCTCTTCGTTTTTTTTTTTTAAATCCAAAAACAAGGATTAAGTCAACCTTTTTTTTTCAAGTCGCTGCTTGAATTCTCTTGGAAAAAATGCATTAAAAGCCTCCGTAACTTGAATTCTTTTTTCTCTCAAACCACTTGAAGTCAAATTTCCTGCTTGGTGCCTTTTAGTTATCATTTCCATGGAATATGAAAGAGAAAATCTTGGTGTATTGTGGAATGAAGCAAAAGACTAATTTAAGCAAATGAACCCCTGCCTCCAAGTTCAGCATGCTGTGAAGTCATTAAGAAGCGAGCTAAGGCCCAGAATATCCTGGTTAACAATGTCCATCAATTCTATCATGTTTCTTTGCAAAAAATATATTTGTTCCATGTATGCTAAACCTCCTTAAGTAGAATTTTGTTCCTTGTTCCTTTGAAATTTGATTCAGAGAGGTTCAACTGTATTATAATATATTAACAAGTGTTTTCATGAGAACTTGAATGCAGAAATAGCTCAAAGAATGTTGGTTGTCCGGAATTTGTTCAAGGTGTGAATATTACCTGTGCAGTAGAATGTTTCTCAGAATTAATCTAGAGGTTATTGCGATTCTTTCTCAGAGAGCCTTGGGAAGTTTCAGCAAGACTTATATTCTTTATTGCTGTTTGACTAACAAGACTGTGTGTATTTTCATTCAATATGAGTTGTTTCAATTATTATTACTAGTTCAGACAACATCCTGAAATAAGTGATGTTATGATTACAATGTGTAGTACTGTATTTCTTTTTATCGTTTTAATGATTTCCAGATGACAGTGCATAATATATTTTTATGGATTGCTTCAATATTATTTTCCAGATGACAGTGCAAAGTTCCGCTATGCCCCATCACCGCATCACTTACATCATCATCATCACCACCACCACCACCAACAAAATCAGCAACATGCCAGTAGCATGTTTGACGTGTCCTCGCCCAAATTCCCTTTGACGAATGGCTCCTTGTTCTCCGCTGCCTCGTCAACGTCTACATTTCTCGTCCGTCCCACAGGCAATCAAGGTGATAGGCTAATTAATAATTGTTAACTTTGACGTAAACAGCAAAAAAGAGTATACTGTGTCGGGCAATCAAGGTGATGAGCAAATTAATAATCGTTATTTAAACACACGCAGACTGCAAAAAAAATAAAAAGGTACCCCGGGAAATTAGGTGCAAAAATGGGTGACAAATCCTAGCGGATTTTGGGGTGAATCAGAGAATCAACTGTTGTTGAAGCACTTCACAGGATTTTCTCCCCATCTTTTCCCACAAAATGTGTTGAAAACCATAAATCTTAATCCTCTAAAACGATTTTGTAATCTGATCCCTGCAAGTTTGTTGTAACGAGATTTCACTGCAATAATTCTTTTTACCTCCGTTAAAAAAAAAACGCAGGAGTCTTTCCCTTGAATTTGGTTTTGCATGTATAAGTTCTCTTCATATTTCAAAATGAATTGATTTATTTTTTTCGAGATTTTCTTTGTTTGAGAAAAAATAGAATTCTAATTCAACACTTGATCTTTTTCGCAGTGTTCGTTGGCAGCACGTTCACCAAGCACCCGAAGCCCGAGGCGCAGAACCTGTCGAGCAGCAAAAACATCAACACCACGTCCACGACCTCCACGGCCACCACCAATAGCAGCAGTAGCAACAACAACAACAACAACGCGAGGAAGCACACGGCGTCCCACAAGCAGTCGTGTCCGTCTCTGTGGCTCCCACCGCCGCCGTCGAAGCCGCCTCCGCCTGACCTCGCCCCGGCGGCACTCTATGACGACGTCCTCGAACTGCGCACGACGAAGAGCGAGGACTGTTACGTCGCCCGAGTGACGACCAATAGTCGAGGCACGTCGCCGTGCTCAGCCACGACGACGACGGCGATGCCGGACTTGCTGATGGCCAAGCAGTGTCCTGCTGCTGCTGTGGACGACGAGCATTTGTACATGTCACTGAGAAGTGGCGGAAGGTTGAATAAAAAGCCTGACGGGTCTGAGTCTTGTGGCGAAGAAGAAGAAGATGACGACGACGATGATGATGATGATGATGATAGATGTCAGTCTTTCACGACGGATGCCAACGACGACTTCGTGTTCCGCAGACCGGCCAAATTGAGCAAATGGGGTCGAAGGAGACAATTGGAGACCCTGGATGAAGGCATACCTCCTCCAGCAATGTTTGGGGATGATGATGATGATAGTAGTAGTGATGATCCTGCCAACATGAATCAGGATCCAAGTTCCTCCTCCTCCTCCTCCTCAGAGAAACAAAAGACTGATTCTGTTGCTGCTGCAAGTGACAGCGGGTCAGTACCGTGAGACTTGTTCTTTCTCGATTTTCTTACCACGTCGTGTAGATGGCGCTCGAATACTACTTTTTCAGTCCGAATGATTTTCATAGACAGCCGTACTGATGTATAGTTTTTGTGTCTGTGTTTTTGAAAAAACAAAAGGTCGGTCAAGAACTTCATCCAGCGCCTGAACAGGTCCAGAAGGCATTCCAGGACGTCGCTGATCGGCCTGGACAACCCCATGTTCCAGCCAGACGAATCATCTGGAGTCCCTCATCATCATCCTCCGCAACAACAACATCATAACCCCGTGATGATGATGGAAGCAGATTCCTTGGACGACTCCAACCACACTCATCATCACCAAGTGTACAAAGCGTGTCTCAACAACCGCCTCAAGTCCTCGTCCTTGTCCATGAACGCCTTGGACCGAGTTGGACTGGATGAGGCGGAAATAATGCGGCCTAAAAGCAGCAGCAGCAGCAACAACAACAAGTTCTTCGCGAATCGTGGAGTAGCTGCTTCTGTGGTCAAGCGCGGCGTTCGACTTCATCATCAGCAGCAACAGCAGAAATTGCACCTCAAGTCCTCGGTTATCGGCCAGTCGCAGTTTTATCCGCAGCAGGGACTCCTGCTTCCCTCTGGCGGCTGGAGGAGGGACAACAGTGCCAGTGTTCCGGACGTGAGGAGGACGTTCTACGACGAGTTCCTTTGAGAGGGAGGGAGGGAGGGAGGTACGACGCGTGTGTCTTTATACATATAGTTTTACAGAGAGCTGCCTCGGTTAATGGACTTGTTGTTATAATTTTAGAATGAAATACTGTAGCTGATTCATCCCCTGGAAATACATTTTCTTTGTGTTTGAATTAGAAAATCTCTGCTCACTGAAATTGGACAGTATCAAAATTCAAAATGGGGTTTTCCCCCATGCAATTGTCAATCTTCATCCCACAAGAAGTTTTATTTTATTTAGAAAGGACTGTTATATTTTAGCATGTGTTTCATTATCCGAGACAACAACAAAGAATTGGCGAGTCCGTTATCCGGGGTGTCACTGTATTTTTCATCCATTGTGGGCATATAATGGCCGTGTCACCCTGGGGGGTTTTTTTTTAAAGCGATGGAAGAGGATTTGTTGTTGAAGGTGTGTTGGTCTTGAGCAGAGAGAGGCTGATGATGATGGCACTTGGAAAGATTTCAATTAAGGGACACCAATTTAATTGTAATCATTGATTTGTATTTTTGTCGACTACTGCTAGCCATCCAGTAAAATAAAAATGATGAAACATCAATCAAACCCGGTTTTACATTAAATAGTAATCATCTTCTGAAAAATAAATTCACAATAGTTATAAAGGTATGGAAATTGGGTGTTTAATGAAGCAAAGTTTTAAAATAAATTGACTTGAACCTAGATCTTCTGCCTGTTCAAGTGAGTGCCTGACTTTGTTGCAATTGTTTTGAAAAATGTAGAATGGTGTGACGTTTTCTTCAGTTTAAACCCCAACATTTTGAGTTTAACCCCTCCCCACTTCATGATGTTTTCTGAAATTTTGGATTTTTTGCATTTTTCTCTTCAAAAGTTCTTGATGTATCATCAGCCTCCTGCTTGAGGATTCACCCTGGCAATTGGATGTGATCATTATTGTTGTATTGTTTTGATTTCAGCCATTTTTTGAACAGGGATGCAATGGAAACTAGCTGCATTTTTTTTCTTCTTCTTTTCAGTATCGCTTGTTTTTGCATTTTCTGCTGTTTCTTTTTCTACTGTATTTTCCAAATTGGAGTGAAGGAGGCAGTGTTGGAAACTAAACCTTTCACGTCGAACTAAAGGAAACGTCGTTAGTAAGGACGGAAACACATTAAAACATGTCAACATTTTGGTTCTCGAACCATAAAACACTTGGTACCTCTTTCAACACCTTCTTTGAGTTCATTATATTCCCTCATGAAACAAAACATGTGTTTCACTTTCTGTAAACATGCATGTGCTTGTATGAAGTGTTTCTTTAAAACCCTTGAGCAGATAAGACCTTTTGTAGCTTTCCCAAAATGTCTTGATCAAAGGTTCTGGCAACATTCCTTTTGGTAGAATTTCCACTCTCTTCAAAGGCGATGCACTAAAGAGATGAAGTCAAAATGAATATATGTAATGTGTATCAGTTCATAAGACTCAGTTTACTGAAGTTCTTCTTCGCCAAAATGTTGCTTGCTTTTCCTTTTATGGTTTGAAAAATGGATAGGACCTCTGGACCAGTGTGTCCTCTTCCTCAAAATACTGGTAAATCTTGTCACAGCAAAGCAAGGAAATAAATTTTGATTCCAAATTTTCTTTAAAAGAAATTCATCAATTCTTGTGGTCAATCAGAAATAAAGACTAGACCAGAATGTCAAGCAAACTTTCAGGACAGGACTTCCAAAGATTTCTCTAAAAGATGGGTTAATTGACCTTCTAGAATCTCCAGTCATCCTTAATCTCTCAAAGATAATTCAACTGACTATACCTTCTTAGTCTCTCCAGGAGGACTGATCAAAATACAAGATGATGCTGATCAAGTTCCTGCCAATGGTAACAATGTTTTCTTTAAAAGCAGAATCTTCTTTTGTGGAGGTGATCAACATTCTAGAGTCATTCCTTTGATGATTCTAAAATTGTACAGCTCCTTTCTCCTCAAGGAAAATCCAATGATGAGACTGGTTGCAGAGTTGCCAAGCACTTCAAAGTATAATAATGTGGATAACATTCTCCAGCAGTTCAACAACTCTTCAAGGCATTTGAAACCAGGTGTGTTGACCATGATGTAATTATTTTTTGGGCATCATACATTTTCAGGGGATTTCAATGCTTACATAGATCATAAATGTGGAGTGAAAAAGAGCATGAGAATAGTTGGTGGATCCAATGCACAAGCAGATGAGTTCCCTTGGATGGTATACATCATAACCACACAAGTAAAGCAGGAGTTACAGGACACATTTTCTTGTGGAGGATCTCTGATTTCAGATGAGTGGGTACTCACAGCTGCTCATTGCATCCAGCCACAAGGATCACCAATGTGAATATATCAACTTTTTTTTGCAGATTTCATGAACTTGTGCATATATATATATAGCATTCCTACTTATAGGACTACTGTGAAAGTGTTTATTGGAGCCCACAGGATCTTGTCTGACAAGGACTTTGACTCCAGATTTGAGGTTAAAGCATCAACATGGATGAGACACCCGAATTACAAAGATGATGCATATGAATATGACATTGGTTTGATCAAAATACCTTCTATAAAGAATGATGTGCCTGATTTCACTCCACTTTGCCTTCCATTTGGTTTTCATCATGTGAATGATGAAAATGTGGCAGCAATTACTGCAGGTTGGGGCATGACTTCAGCAGTAGGAGGTCAGAATAAATGCAATTTTGTCACTTCCAATTATATATTGAGGTTGAGCTACACATAATATATATGACATGGGTGAATAAATCTTGATTATTTCTTTCTTTCATATATAGGGGGCAGTGAGGTGTTGAAAAAGCTGAAAACCAAGACACTGAGTTTTAAAGAGTGCAGAAAACTGTCCTTGACTATGTACTCTCATTTGACAACTGACATGTTGTGCATTGCTCCAATGCTGTCAACTGAAGGAACTGTTTGCATGGTACAGTATAAATATTTAACCTTTCAAATATGATGGTGTTTCTGAATTTGAAAATTTGATTTTCAAGGGGGATTCTGGCAGTCCCTTAATTACAGATTTGAGTCACAATGGCATTTTCTACCAAATTGGACTGACATCTTTTGGAGATCGCAGTTGTCAATGGCATTTTCTACCAAATTGGACTGACATCTTTTGGAGATCGCAGTTGTCCCAAAGATACACCTTCAGCATTCACCAGAGTTTCGCATTACCTTGAATTCATTTGTTCTTTGTCTGGTGTCTGCTCTTAATATACTTTATATAACTTCATGTGAAGTATTCTCCTCAAATTGACCATCACATATTGTTTATTGACATGTTTTTGGTTAAAATTATATTTAATTGGAAATTTGGCTTTCAGACCATTAATGAGCAATAATGATCATAACAAATGTGTGCAATTTTTCCTAGTATGTTTATTTTCAATACACAACATTTAACTGCACTTACTCAATTTACAGTTGTCCTCCATTCTTACTTGGATGTACATACATTGTATCTGTTGAGCAGGAAATCAAATATAGTAAATGATTTTAACCAAAAGCATGCAAATGATATACAGTATTTATGTGTTCAGATTTTTATTTCACTATCAAGGAGAATAGTTGGATTATCCTGTCCACCCACAGTTGTGACATTCCCTCTTCCTTAGCCAGAGGAAGAAACAAATCAATCCAAAAGGAAAGCACATGAGCAAGCACATTGTTCCCATGGCAATGTAGCATATTGATGGATGTGTTTCCATCTGCAAGGCACAATAACATATTTTCCTTAAATCATTCATGTTTATAACAATGATGAATTTGTTTATTGTATGAGTTGACTAACCCTGCATACAGGACAAGGGTTTCTTGCCACATAAACAGTGTCTGCAACAACAACCTGAATTGGTTTTCCATCAGCTGTGTACAAGGTTTTCTGGTCACCCATGGTGCTGGCAATTTATTATGATTAACACAAACAATTTTTATCACTACACTATGGTGTCAGCAGCAATAATGTTGAGTGCCACAATTGTTTGCCTCCCAGTAGCAGCTGTCAACCCATTTCAAGTGAGTGAGCATCTTATTTGTATATATATATATATATAAACTAATGAAGGTTATGAAGACGGAATATATTATATATACACTCATGTGCATTGCTTAATTAATTGTGATTATGGTCCCTTCCTGATTGAAGGCTAGGGCAAGGAATCACAGCTTTGCATGTGGGTTAAAGAGGAATGGAGACTATCATTCAAGGATCATTGGTGGAGGAGTTGCTAAAGAAGATGAGTTTCCATGGCAAGTTTACCTCAAAGGCTCATCTAGGAGTTTTCTGGGGAAGAGAAGTTATTGGACTTGTGGGGGTTCTTTGATCTCTGATAAATATGTCCTCACAGCTGCACATTGTTTGAGAAGTTCCTCTTCCAGGTATGGATTTTATGCAAAAGAGTACTTACCATGCTATATATGTATGTAACATACATATGCTCACTTTTTCTGTTGGTTTTGGGTGAAAGAGTTAAAATGGAGGTGTACATTGGGGCTCACAACTTGGACTTGCCTTCAAGCAAAGACAGCAGAATAGTTGTGGAAGCTGTTGACTGGAGCAGACACCCTGATTACAGTTTCCCCATCAGACTTAGGAATGACATAGGAATAATTAAAATACCCTCTTTGAAAGGTACTGTAAATTCAAATTGCAAATTTACATTCTCTTGATTTATGGCAAATAAATTATCTTACCTGACTTTTCAGAAAATAAGGGCTTCACAATTATGCCAATTTGCTTACCAAAAAGAAATTGGGAAGATGAAGAGGTGAATGCTGTTACTGCTGGCTGGGGAAAGACTTCTTCCAATGGTCTGTATATATATTTTGTATATTATATTCTACACAAAAAAAATTTAGTAGAAAGATTCATCTTTTCTGGATTTGCTTTTCCAGGAGGAGGAAGCATGGTTCTGAAATATGTTAGAACCATGACATTGCACTTCTTTGTGTGCCAAAGAATCTGGGGTAATCTTGTGAATCAAAAGATGTTATGCATTGACCCAGGCGGAGGTCACAACACAGTTTGCAAAGTATACAGCTCGAGTATCTGAATTTTTTCAATATAAATGATATAATAAGTAGTGTTTGCATTTCTTTTCAGGGGGATTCTGGAGGTCCCCTTTTCAAGGAGTATAATGGAAGGTATTATCAAATTGGACTGACGTCTTTTGGGCCAAATAGATGTGAGAACGTGAATAAGGCTGCTGTTTTCACCAGAATCACAAGACACTTGGACTTCATTTGCAAGAAAACTGGGGTTTGCAACAATGCTTGTAGCAGGTATAATTGTATAATAATCTTACTCATATTTTTTATGGTTTTGAATTCTATTCCTCACAATAAGCTTTGCCTTCAGGATGAGAGTTTCCATCATGGTCTTGATCTTTATTGGTGTGCTGTGTGAGTTCACCTTCTAGAGTTCCATCTTAATTTCCAACATCCTCCCAACAATATTCAGTTAGTCTTATCAGCTGGGTTGATTCAAATCCAAAATGATGCTGATTCAGTTCCTGGCAGCATTGGCAGTAATTTTTCCTCACCATGCTCAACCATATTTCTTGGAGGTAAATATTTTTTATGCACAATTTCCATATGATGATAAATCATCACAACATTTATTCACCAGGAGAAACCCATGCTGAGACTGGTTGCAGAGTTGCCAAACAGCTTGAAGTATAATAATGTGGAAAATATTCTGCAACAGTTTAACAACTCTTCAAGAAATTTGAGTTCAGGTATGGCTGATTATCCACAAGCTGCTGACTTCAATATACTGTACAGTAAATACAAATCGCTGAAATTCCTAATATCTTCCAGATCATTATTGTGGGGTGAAAAAGGGATTGAGAATAGTTGGGGGATTGCAAGCTATAGAGGATGAGTTTCCTTGGATGGTTTACATGATGGTGAAGATCAAGAAGGACACATTTTCTTGTGGGGGATCTCTGATTTCAGATGAGTGGGTACTCACAGCTGCTCATTGCATCCAACCACAAGGATCATCAATGTGAATATATCAACTTTTTCCTGCAGATTTCATGAACTTGTGCATATATATATAGCTTTCCTACTTATAGGACTACTGTGAAAGTGTTTATTGGAGCCCACGGGATCTTGTCTGACATGGACTTTGACTCCAGATTTGAGGTTAAAGCATCGAAATGGATGAGACACCCAAATTACAAAGATGATGCATATGAATATGACATTGGTTTGATCAAAATACCCTCTATAAAGAATGATGTGCCTGATTTCACTCCACTTTGCCTTCCATTTGGTTTTCGGCATGTGAATGATGAAAATGTGGCAGCAATTACTGCAGGTTGGGGCATGACTTCAGGAGGTGGAGGTTGGTATATACAATTGTCACCTTTCATTATTGATGAGTTCCAGTATACAGTATGTTGTGACTTATATGTGGCTGTATATTTTCAACTTATTTTAATTTTTCTAGCGGGCAGTGCGGTATTGAAGAAGCTGGAAACTAGGACCCTAGATTTTCATGAATGCAGAAAAATTTCATTAATAATGTACACTCATTTGACAAAGGACATGCTGTGTATTTCCCCAATGGTGCTGAGTAAAGGGACTGTTTGCAATGTAATAATGCTTCAGAAATATTGAAGTGCCCATCTCAGTCATTTAATATTTTTCTAGGGAGATTCTGGAGGTCCGTTGTTCACAGATTTGAATCATGATGGCATTTCCTACCAAATTGGACTGACATCTTTTGGAGATTTAAATTGTCCTAAAGAGTCGCCAGCAGCTTTCACCAGAGTTTCTCATTACCTTGAATTCATTTGTTCTTCATCCGGTGTATGCTCTTAGGTGACCCATTTTTGCTCCGTGCATTTTTGTGTTGGCTCTGCTACTGATTTTTCCTGATGCATATTATAAACAGCTCATATATACAATGACCATGTGATTCATTGAAATGATCTGTGTTCCATTTCGAGTTGTTTTGAAAAGCGCGCCATGAACGTATCGAATTTATGAAAGATGTCGGCGCGCCCTGAGAGAATATGTTCGGCTCGCTTATCGTGAGCGCCAGTTGGCGTATTGAGTGAAACTGTGTAAGATAATTCGATGCAGTTCCTGTGAGGAAAGCCTGCGGTTGGTTGTGAGTTTGTGACACAAGTTACCTGAATTTCAATGCGCGTAGTCTGTTGCGTCGATGTCCTTCGCTGCTTTGTGAGCATTGCCCTTTATTTGATTGGATTTTCACCAATGATGCGCGATATACCTTAGTAGCTTCAATCGGTGAGAAGTTGTGTTCATGGCGTGTTGGCTGGTTTTAAAAATCTGACTACCATGGAGGACGTGATGAGAGATAGTCAAATTCAGTTCAGCAATCATACGCTGGACAAAGCCACTAAAGCCAAAGTTACTTTGGAAAATTATTACAGCAATCTTCTTGTGCAGCATATGGAGCGAAAACAGCGGTTAGTGGGACCTGTTTATTGCTCACTTTTTTCGATTAAGGACATTTTTTGCACTTCTTTGTACAAACGCCTGTCTCGCATTAGGTACAATCAACTGGAAGAGTCAATGGCAGCTGAAGGACTCTCCGAAACTCAGAAGGAAGAAAAGCGACAACAGCACGCTCAGAAGGAAACGGAGTTTCTTCGATTGAAACGTTCGAGACTTGGAGTTGAGGACTTCGAACCTCTTAAAGTCATCGGTCGGGGTGCTTTCGGAGAAGTGAGATTTATTTTCCTATCCTACTGTGTGTTGCTGAGCATATAGTGAACTGTTGGTGAAGATTGTTGACCGTTTATTATCATGTGTAGGTTCGGTTAGTGCAGAAAAAAGATACCGGACACGTTTACGCCATGAAGATCCTTAGAAAAGAGGATATGCTTCAGAAAGAACAAGTCGCTCACGTCCGCGCTGAAAGGGATATCCTGGTGGAGGCCGATCATCAATGGGTTGTCAAAATGTACTATTCGTTCCAGGATCCCATAAATTTGTACCTGATTATGGAATTCCTCCCTGGAGGTAAGTCTCTTTGAACTCTTATCCGAATTCCATTGTTCTGTAACATGTTTCCCGCAGGAGACATGATGACCCTTTTGATGAAGAAAGATACCTTGTCGGAGGAATGCACGCAGTTCTACATTGCGGAAACAGCTTTAGCAATTGAATCTATTCACAAGTTGGGGTTCATTCACCGGGATATCAAGCCGGACAATTTGCTTCTCGATGCCCGTGGGCACATTAAATTATCGGATTTCGGGTTGTGCACTGGGCTCAAGAAGTCGCACCGGACTGATTTCTACAGGAATTTGTCTCAGGCCAAGCCATCGGATTTCTGTAAGTTCACGATGCGACTCCCGATGTTCGCGGAACACGGTAAACCTTGGTTCCATGTCCCTTTGTTCTTTCTTACGGATTCTGTCCTGCAAAAATGCGACATGATACTGCATTCAGTTGATACAGTTGAACCGCGGTAACTCGAACATTCCTAAGTCTGATCTCCCTGTCTGAATGCCTGACGAAACAATGCATTGAAAACTCCTTAATTTGAAGATTTTTCTCCTCTAACCTCCATGACTCGAATTTTCTGGAGGAATTTCTGCTATGATTTTATTAACACAGAAAACAATGAAAATGTAACTTGATGCGTTTAGAAGAGGAAGTGACAGACAAATTGGATAAATGAACCCTGTGGTGGAGCGTGGAGGAGTGTTATCTTGAATTTGTGTTTGTTTTTTCTGCATTCATCCCTGAATCAACATCGTTTTGTTCAAATATCACGCAAGATTTTTCGATGTTTTCAAGTTTAATTTGAGTTATTCATTCATGCATCCGCTTTATCTTCTTCTCTGTTCTTTGCCTATCATCAAACAAAGTTGAAGAATAATTGTAGGCCTGTCTTTTTCTTTTGAAGCATCCAATCCGATGGACAGCAAACGAAGGGCAGAATCTTGGAAGCGTAACAGAAGAGCTCTTGCCTATTCCACTGTCGGTACTCCGGACTACATCGCTCCGGAGGTTTTTCTTCAAACGGGTTATTCTTCAGCTTGTGATTGGTGGAGTCTGGGTGTCATCATGTATGAAATGCTGATCGGTGAGTTGCATCAGTTTGATACAGAAGAGCATTCAAGGGACCATGACCCAATTTTCGTCGCTCTTTGAAGATCGTTTTCATCTCCCCCGCAGGTTATCCGCCGTTTTGCAGTGAGAACCCTCAGGAAACCTACAGAAAGGTGATGAACTGGAAGGAGACACTCGTGTTCCCGCCGGAAATCCCGATCTCGGAAGAAGCGAAGGAATGTATCCTGCGATTTTGCTGTGATGCTGAGCGACGCATGGGTGGACACGGTGGAGCGGAAGAGCTGAAGCACAATCACTTCTTCCTCGGTGTCGATTGGGAGCATATTCGCGAACGACCTGCTGCCATCAAGGTCGAGGTCAAGTCAATCGACGACACGTCCAATTTCGACGAGTTCCCCGATGTCGACCTGAGAATCCGTGAGTTGTGCGATTTAATTGTGGTGTCAGGCGAACCTCTTCGAGTCGAATTTCAAGGGACCAGTAAAAAAAGTATAGTTTCAAGGAGATTTCCAGTTCGGGAATGACAGAAAAATTACAGGAAATTTCAACTGGTGATATTCTAGGCTTTAAAATAATGAGTTGTCAGGATGCTGAGCTTGAAGGCAGGGATTCATTTTCCCAAGTAGTCTTTCACTCTCGTTCAAAACACATCGAGTTAAATTTCTTCTGGGTCAATAGCATATTATTGAAAAGGCCTCCTAAAAATTTGAATAATGGAGTTTTGAAGGGGAAAGCCTTGGAGTTGAAGAAGAGATTCGACATGAGGAGGTCTTTTGACTAAGAACGTTCGAGTTATCGAAGTTCAACAGTATTTCTTTCAAAATTAAAGGTTTGACTGTTTTTTATTCTTTTTTTTAGCCTCGTATCATGGAGCAGAAGAAGAGGAGACGTACACCAAAGACTGGGTGTTCATTAATTACACGTTTAAGCGTTTTGAGGGCCTTACGCAAAGAGGAGTGTCGAAAAGTGGATCTAAAAAGTGATCCCGAGTTTTGACGCCTTTAGCTCCGAGTTTTTGATCAAGTACGACGCAGGAAGAAAGTATTCCGGGAGAGAGAGAAAAACCAGTGATTTGATTATTTAGTTGTGCCGTTTTATCTGGTACGAGGAGGAGAAGGAAAAACAATTGTGTGAAGAATTAGGGGGAAGTTTTTCCTATTTGAGTTTTAGGAATTGCTTGAAGAGACCCTTTTTTTGGATCCATTCCGCGGAGGAGGAAGAATTAGTTCCCGAGAGTTTATATCGTAGGCATTCCTTTCGACACCCGATTGGCGCTGCGGAAAGAAGAAAGTGGACGACTGTTGTTTTGTTTTTAACGATATCATTGTGATCTGGAAGTTCATGTTTCACTTGCGTGAGGGTGTATTTTTGTTATAACGGCCGGGAGAAGGGGGAGTTAATTTCATGGATTTTATTTGATTTGTTCGTGAATTCGTTTTGTGCCTGGTTGAGAAATTTAGCTGGATCGTTATGTTGGACTCCATAATTTCCCGCTTGTGTGCTATTTTAAAGTTGTGTGAATTCTTCCAGCAGAAAATGTGAGTGTGGTGTCGGTATGAATCGTGAAGCTGCTGAAGTCGCAGTTTTGGGCGACTGTGGGGTTGGAAAAGTGAGTTTTTCTGCCCTCCTCTGTGGAACAGTTGTGAATAACCCATGCCGTGATTCCCGTACTAACTTATTCCTAAATCCTTTAGGATGAAGAGTGAGTTGATACTTATAATTTTCGGAGAGAACCAAATCTGATTTTGTTCAGTTTTGATGTATATTACAGACGAGTTTGTTGAAGAGATTGGCGGAAAGTCGGATAACTGCGAGGTATGAGCCAACCGTTGGATCCGACTTGTTGTCACTGACCCCCGTGATTGACGGCAAAACTTATCGAGTGTTTGTGCACGACTTTTCTGGGGCTCCTGAATTTAAGCTTGTGAGATTCCCTCAGAGAACTGGGTTTCCAGCATTTTGTGAAACCTTTTTGTTTTTTTCTGAACAGTTGCGTTCTGAATTAGCGCAAAACGTGTCAGGGGTGGTGATTGTGGTGGATTTAAGGTCAGATCATGCGAAATCATCGGTCAGTTCCTGGTTTTCGGAGCTGGAAGCTTTCAAGAGGTTAGTATTACAGTGAAATCTCGGTACAAAAAACTCCCGGTGAGATTCTTTGTTCTTCGAGCATGTAGGACTGAATCTTGTGGGAAATGGATGATATATGCTTTAAAGTACAGTATTTCTGCAACAGTTAGGGGAAGAATTGCCTGTATTTTCAACTTCCTTTGATAAAATGATGAAGAAAATTCCAACTGTGAAGTACAGTTCTCTAAAAAAACTTCCCTTTCTTGAATTTTTTTAAAAATTTACCAATCTTACTGAAGTATAAGCTGAAACGAATAAATTACTTATGTGAGGAGAGCCCATCTTTTTCTTATGAAAAATTAGATTTTTCACAGGGAGCAGGCAGAAATTAATAAAATTTCTTGTCTCGTGCAAGTTTTTTTTTTTTTTTTAGAAAATACTCTATAAAATTAAAATCATTACAATATTGCGCAATGAAGTTTAAATAATGCGCAGATTCATTTCGAAAGTTTGAGTTTTCTTATCTTTCTGCAGACCGGCGAAAAATCCCCTGGTCCTCATCTGCGCCAACAACTTCACAGAAAGGCAGGAAAAGCGAGCAGAAGTGGTTGCATTGGCCAGGTCGAAATGCTGGGACTATTGCGAGTGTTCACCCACGTCCTCGAACGTTTCCCAATTGTTTCACACCTTTTTCAAAAAGGTGGTGAATTCTTCGCAAATTTCTCCAAAGTCTGAGTTGAAGGATTTTTCTACTGTGCCGAGAACTTTTGGTTCCGCCGAAGCTCGGGAGGCCTTGAGAAGAATAGTTTTAGGTGCTACTCCTTACGAGAAACTCGGACTTCGTCCCGGTGCGAGCAAAGATGACATCAATAAGGCCTACAAGAAGTTGGCCATGTTGTTGCATCCGGATAAGACTGACCTGGTGGGTGCTGAAGAAGCTTTCAAGGCGTTGAACGCGGCGAGAAACTCTTTGTTGCCAGGTTCTGGGACGACAACAAGCGGCTAAGAAATAATATACTCTGTCAAGATTTGCCGAATTCTCATATGTGTTCTGCTTTGACGTGTGTGTCAAATATGAAAGAAAAAACCCAATCTGTGTTCGAAGGGAATTGAAAAAGAAAAGTCTTGTGTTCAATATAGGAAATTTGTGCATCGGAAATCCTTCCAGAGTGCAAAAGAAAAGTTTCTGTGAGTTGGAAAACGTTCAGGTCGATTTGATGTTTCAGGAACATTTGGAGCCTATTTATGAGGGGAACTGAAATGTATGAATTAGTTTTCGATTTTAATTTGGGGTTCACTTGAATGTTTCAGGCTGCGCAGAAACTTCTGGGACACTCGTAAATTATAGAGGGAAACTTTTGAACCAAACTTGCTTTTTTTGCTCTTGCAGGATTTGTTGGCTACATGTGTTGCGTGAAACCGTGCAAAACTCCGTTTTTCGGCTTGAACAATTTTATCTTAGTGATGAAGTGTTGTATACTCTTTCAAAGTTTATTCAAGTTTTATTTGAACTCAAACAGTGCTGCTTCAATTTTGAAGACGCTTCATTTTGGGTCCGCCGTGGAGATGAGCTGAAATCGTATTCCTCTAAATTTATAGATATTTCAAGTCTCATAGACGTACAGTTGTCTCATTCGATCAGTAAGGGTTATCTTGAAGTAAATTTTGGAAGCGTTGCTGCTGTTCTTTTGCGGGAAATCACTTCGTGAACAATTATATTTTTTTCCTTTTTTTTCGGGCATCATTGATTACTGTGATCAGTTTATTGGAATCCAAAAATAGGGCGAAAATTTCCCCGATAAAATGGCTGAAATGTGCCATGAAATATAGCCCGTGCACTGAAAAAATTCCCTCTACAATATATTTTCAATTTTGTAAAATTTAGCTAGTCAATGCTGAAATTTCCAATGATTTTACAACAACTTCATGCGCATTTGAAAATAGGTCGAAATAAAATTTCGTGTGGACTCGAAATATCCTTCATATCTCAGCAAAATCATCTGTGATACCCCTGAATTTAAAAATTTTCCGCAATGGAATTTGAGGAATCGACGGTAGAAGTGACGACGAACGCGACGTCATCTGCGTCGCAGTCGACTGACAGAGCAGTGAAATCAGGTCCCGAAATCGAGGCCTTCCCGACTCGTCAACCGCACAATGTTGACCTAGCACCTGTTTTGTCCCTCTCCGCATTCGCAGCTCTCATAATTCTGTCAGCTGTGTGGAAATATGTGGCTCGATTGCGCCGGAAACGGATGTTACTTCGGGCCGGAAACGATCGAAAGGGTGGCTATGTGGACGATGAAGGCGGCGGGTTGCCGTTTGGCCTGGAAAGCAGTGCCAGTCGGTGTCGGTACATCGCAAACTTTGATAATTTTTCTGCGTTTTGTGGGAAATGGGACGGATTATTTTTTTTAAGCTTTAAAGCTGTCATTTAGTGTGGAAGAAAAGTTGACTGATCGCCTTCAGAAACTTGAGGAGAGTCGGGGTTTCCCTGTATTGTGCAGAAAAATTATTTCTGGGAATTTCGTCATTATTTTTTTAAAATTTATTGCGAACATTTTCACATTTTTTCTGTGCGCCAGCAAGAGAAGTTTAATTTCTGGTTGGGCAATTTTGTTCTGTTGAATGATGCCAAATGCCATATTTATTCGGAATTTCCAGCGCGTGTAGAAATGGTGAATTTGGTTGACGCTCACGTGACCTTGATTGCTTAGTAACTTTCGGTATTGGTTTTTCGTTGTTTTTATTTGTTCAAGTGCCATTTTGATTGCTTCCTGTTCTTCTGACGAGGACGATGTCCAAGCCGGACATTACAACAGACGCGAGATGCGAGAAACAGATGCCATCAAATATCTGAATGTGCAACGAACCCCGAGTTTGCTCCGCGACTTGCAGCACGAAGACGAGAGTTATTCCCCAACCTTCGAGTGTTTAATCAGAGCGAGTTCATCCTCTAGTTCCAACTGAAAATCGCGGCCTTTATTTTTATATTCCCCCCTTTAATTTAAATTTTTGGTTCTCAAACCCGTGTCTTTTTTTCAGGTGGTTTTATGAGATTTTATGGAGCGGAAACGAGGTAATATTCGTGTGGCGGCGTCGGAAGTGAGTGGACATCCGAGTTGTGAACATGGTGGGTTTATTCTCCCCCTCCGTCATTTTTGGAAATGTGACAAAATTGCAGAATTTTTTGCAAACTTTTTTATCAACCATCTGAAATGCTGTAGGAGCAACATGGTTTGTGTTTTGTCATAATTCAACATATTTTTCAATGCAGAAAATGATTTTCAGGTCCTTCTTCAGCTCTGAAATATTATTAGCAGGGCATATTTCATGATTAAGAGTTCGTATCTGGGTAATTTTTGTTTTTGCAGAATCGGAGCCATGTTTTTATATTTCACATGTCAGTTTTTCCAAACCTGAAAATATATTAGCAGCAGTTAAATCCAAACTGCAGTCATTCGTTTTACGCCTTCAGTGCACTTCGTCATGTCTCGAATTTTTGTTCACAGGACCAACGTTGTTGTTCGAAAGGAAAGGAAGCCGAAGCGGAGATGAAGCCTTTTTTGCTTGTGCGTCTTGTAGAGATCGGAAATTGTGCAGATTCTACATGAAGGTTTCTGAGTGGAATGAGCAGAAAGCGGACAAACTCGTGGTTCATTGTCTCGATAGGCTGAACATTGAATTCAAGTGAGTATTGATGCTTTAAGACTTATTTATGTCGAGGATCCTGACGTTTCTTCGACGAGCTTCTTTTTTTTGTTGCGTAATCAGATCATATAATTTGATATTTGAATTGTATTCTAGGGGTCTCACACCCAGGTTTGTTTTTCAAGTTTTTGTCGTAGATTGTTGAATCGTCAATTATTTTGACAGCTTTGTGCCTGTTTTTATTTTTTGTCAGGTCAGCTGTGGAACGTGTGAAGAGTTCTTTAGCCCTGGAGAAACTGGAATTTGATCCAGAGAACAACAGTTTTGGCGAGCGGGGAATTTCCTTGATTCTTGGAGGATTTGAAGGAAAAGATTCGGGACTCGTGGCTTGTTTAGATTGCAAACGTGTGACGGTTCCTGGCGAAAATATTTCTCAACTTTGCCTGGACGAAGGCCATGACCTCAGGACTGTGTCGCTTGGCAACGACGCTGTGAGTTTTTTTTTTTTTTTCTGGGCCGGAATTCCTGGAGAATTGTTTCATTTTTGCCTTGTCGGTAATTTTTCAGGAAAAAGATTTCAACCTGGACCGAAGGACTAATAACAAGATGGAATCTCAGTTCATTTTTGATTCGGATACAATTTCTGCGATGTCTTGCGTTTTTCGAAATGCTGCTTTCGAGAATTTCATTTGCGTCGGCTGCCCATCGCTTCATTTCCTACTTCGAAGTTCGGGGAAGAATTCTCTGCTGATGGACATCGACGAACGTTTCGTGAGTATAGAAGCATCGATAATCTCATATTTAAGTTTTTGAAGCGTTTTTTTCTCGATATTTCAGCATTTTTTGTGCGACTCGAAGACATTCTGTCATTTCAATGCCGTGAATGGTCACTTTTTCCACACGAAGCATGTTTTTGAAGATTGGAAAGAGACAATTGGCGACGGGAGTGTTGCAATTGTTGTGGACATGCCTTTTGGATCCAGAATTGATGCCCTGTCTCGGGTTTTAATCAAGTTGCGAGACGACTTGGGTCGAAAAGACCGCATTTTCTGTGAGTTTGTGGTTCATTTTTCTCAAATAAGATGCTTTGATTTAAAAAAAATAATATTTTTTTGCAGTTTTTGTAGTTTTTCCTTATTTTATGGAGAAGGCGCTTTTGGAGTGTATGCCAGAATTGGTGATGATGGACTTGGTTGTCAGCTATGCCAATCATTCCAAGTTCAAATCCGGTGAGTTTTTATAAACCGTTTTCCAGGTGTCAGAGAATTTTATTTTGCTTTCATTGACAATGATCATGCATTTCTCCGTAAAGTTCTATGCTTTTGGTTTAAGAATTCAAATAGTAGCGTAGACTTGTATCGTGCTCGACTTTGCTTCCTGAAATATCATGTAGGTGTCGGCTGAATCAGATGTTAAAATAACTTGACGAAGATAACCTCACTGGACCTTATCCGATTGAGGTGTGTTGTTCGAGAAGATTCCGGTGTCACCTACTTGTATGTAACAGCGAATAAAATCAGTGCAGAGGAAATTCGTATTATAGTGAGAAGATTGCGTTTTCGGCAGATGAAAGTAAGATTCTGTCCTTTCTTACTGAGTGAAACAAGGATTTTTTTCAGGCACGAAGCGAGGTTCACCAGTGCGAATATTCACCGATTTCCCTGAATTCAGTCTGAAGGGAATCCCGAACTACAGATGGTGTAGCTCCTGCAATCTATGGCGTCATGTGAAAAACGTACACTGTGATGCATGCGATAATTGTCCTACTAAAGTGAGACTCGATTTTTGTTTATTTGGATTCTGGACTAATTCGAGGGTACGAATGTTTATGCAGGATGGACCGACGTATGTTCACTGTCGTGAATGCGAAAAGTGCAGAAAGCCGTCTTGGGTTCACTGCGAAGCCTGTTCAGTTTGCCACTTGAAATCAGTTTGTTTACCAATCAAACGGAAAAGAAAAGTTTAATCCTCGAGGATGGTCCATTTTTATTTTGACCGAATTTGGATTCTTTGGTTTTTGTTTTTCAGGTGACGTGTTTCGTATAAGGGGGTAGTCGTCGCTCCCGGCTTTAAAAATATATATATCCATAAATTAAAAAGTTAAAAAACAAAAATAAACATGAGTGGAATTGCGGCCTCTCGTCTGTCGGAAGAGCGGAAAGCGTGGCGGAAGGACCATCCTTTTGGATTTGTCGCCCGTCCTTCGAAAAATCCGGATGGAACCCTGAATTTGATGAACTGGGAGTGCGCCATTCCTGGTGAGGACATTTTTCGTATTTTGTTGGAAGTCCACCCATCGTTTATCTTTGAGGGACTCATTACTGAGTGCCTAAGGCCCCGAACTGCCCTGATTTTGTTTCTGGATGTCGCTTCAGTTTCGTTGCCTTTCTGTAGGCATGAAGGTGAAACAGCTACAATAGAAATTCGTTACAACGAACTTCGAGGGACGTGGAAAAATCGTTTTAACGAGATTCATGGATTTTTGAGCGTATAGGACTGAAATTTTGTGGGGAACAGGTGATAGTAGATTGGGAACATGAATCATCTTCATGCATAGTGCACAAATATTTTGCCTGGAAGTTTTTTTTTTTCGGATGGCGAATTTGAATATTGATGTGTTGCAGGCAAGAAGGGGACGCCCTGGGAGAACGGGGTATACAAACTGCGGATCTTGTTTAAAGAGGATTATCCGTCTTCCCCGCCCAAATGCAAGTTTGAGCCGCCCCTCTTCCATCCAAACGTGTACCCTTCAGGCACCGTTTGCTTGTCTTTGTTGGATGAGGAGAAGGACTGGCGCCCTGCCATAACCATCAAGCAGATTCTCTTGGGCATTCAGGTCAGTTGAATAGCCTTCGATGCGATGAGATGAACTCTCCTTGAATTCTTCATTTTACGAAGCCAAGCGTAGTATCGCTCATTCTTTGAAATTGAGCTCTGTTTTGAAGTTTTTGAGTATCGAAGCTTTTTTTTTGGACTCCGCAAACGCACTTCCGGTGCAAAGAAAAGTTTCTTCATTCATTGGAGGTCTTTTTTTTTTGTTTAAATTGACCTGGACAACTTCCTCTTAATTAATATGATAATCGTCTTATTTAGCTTTCACTTTTACCTAGAAATGTATATATTTTTTTGTCATGTGAGGTTTTCAGATTTAATGCGTCAACCCTAGAAATAGTGATCTGGAGTTTGATATACAGTATTTGACCGCCCACGAGTTTATTCAATCGAAAATTACTGATGTGAAAATAGGAGTTTTGGTTTTTTCTACTTTTCAGGAGCTGTTGAACGAGCCAAATATCAAGGACCCTGCTCAGGCAGAAGCGTACACGATTTATTGCCAAAACCGATCCGAATATGAAAAGCGAGTTCGAGCACAAGCCCGACTCATGGCTGCGCAAGACGGAGTCGTGTGAAAAGGAAAGCGCGTTCCAGCTGCGGGGGTTTAAAAGGGAGAGGCCGTAAAATGGAGAAGAGATGAAAAAAAAAAAAGAATTGAAAAAGCGGAAAAAAAATCGTGCGATGTGTTTTCAAGACCGACTTCTTTGAAAATTTTTTTGCAATCCCTTCTGTTGTTTCTTTTCTCTCTCCCTCTCTCGCGATTTCGGTTTCTCCTGAGGTGTACATTGAGAGCGAATGACCGGAGAATTCTCCGTTTTTCCCCCTCATCCCCGCTCTTCGTTTTTAAATTTTTTTTTGTTCGCGCACATTCTCGGGTTACGAATGACAAATTGAGAGTAAGTGAAATTTTATACGGCATGTCTGTTTGAAAATTCGCAGCCCGGTTCTGCGGCGGTGTGAAAGAGGCGGCGTGCCTGAGGGAAATGCAGAACATCAATCTGAAAATCTTTTAGGTTCATTTCTGGATTCTGCGTGCAAAAAAAGATTTTATGGTCTCTTCTTTCTATTCTATTTTTTGCAGGGTTATGAGTGAGAAGGTGGTGAGGAGAAGACGATTACCCGTGAGGACGTGTCGAGCTTGTCCGGGTTGTACCGATTATTCCCCAGCAGCGACGACGACGACGACGTCGAAAAAGGAAACTTGCCGGTTATCGTCGAGCGATGATCGTTCAGTCGTCAAATTCAGCTTGTTTGAAGTGCCGTGCAGCGATGAGAGATTTTTCGAGTATGTGACCTGTCATGCATCCTCCCTCTCTATGTTTTTGTCTGGGACCTGGTTACAGGTTTGTATTTGGATGTATTCGGGTGAATTATGATTTATTGCGTTTTTCATTTTTTTGGGTGGTTTTTGTTGGAATTTTTTTTATTTTAGAGCAGTTTATTTAGGTGCACATCTCAAGAAATTGACGTCTTGTCCGTTCTCAAAAAGAATTATTTTTAGAATACGTGTATTACAATTTTTGATGCTTTTTCTGTCAAGTTTTCTCCTGTTGTTGTGAAGGACAGTTGTGGAGCCTTCTTTTTTTGGATAAATCGAGGATTATTTGCAGTAATTGATGAGCATTTTTTTGGAGCGACGCCTTCTTTATCAAAGAGACTCTTGAAATTGTGAATTACTTGTTCAATATGCGAAGGAAACTTTGTTGGTATTTTTCAGTTCTCCTGAAAGAAGTTGCAACCTATCTTTTTATGTTTTAACGTTCCTTTTAAGCATTAATTCAGATATTGAATCATGTCTGATTTTTGCAACATCATAGAATCCTTTGTGTGATGCACTTCTGCGAGAAGGTGAATATTATTTGAGTAGCTGACTCTTGACGGTTTTTCCAAAAAATGATAAAAATTGAGGTTAACCTGTTTGAGGTAGGAATGAAAATAAACAGTTATGCTGGTGAACCAGCTAATTAATCTAGCATCAAGATTAAAGTTTTCCTTCTAGGGATGAACTGTGTGTGGCCAAAATATTTGATGCGTCGTGTTCGGCACGAAGTTTGCTTGTTTAGTATTCAAAGAACCAAATTAAAAAAAGACCCTTTGTATGGTCTTGTGATGTTCGCCTGAAACATTCCCGTTTTGCTTTAATGATTAAAAGTCTTTTTACTCGTCCCTTCAGGGGCCTGAATAAGTTCATCACCTCCCTGGAAAAGGTCCGGAAAAAGAAGCCCTTTCGACGTAGTAAAATCCCACAAGCGCCGAAAAGGGATAAGCTGGAAGACACTGATGAGAACAACAACAACAGCAGCAGCAGAAAGAGAAAAAGATCCTCGTTGTGCTGGAAAACTTGCTCGAAAGAGTCAAAATGCTCTTCTCTTCGAAAGGTAAATTTTATTTGCGTCTTTGGATTCCATATTATTATTGTTTACAAATTTATTGAACCGTGTTTCTGGTCATAGGAGAAGGAATTCGACGATATTAAAACTTCGGAAAATGTGAATCTCTTGTTTGTGGAGCCGTCCGTGTTCAGGGACTTGGACCAAGACCTAAATCAACTCATGTTCAAGTATTTCGGTAAACGTTCATCGTCTAAAGATCTTCGCGTCGAATTGTGATTTTTTTTAAAGCTTGAAAATCTGCCCACTGTAAACGGTGGGAAATGTTAACTAATCGTGATTAAACGTGCTGAAAGCATTCGGTGAGAAACAAATTCGTGTTGTCGAAAGAAATGGGATGATTCGTTCCCAGTGAAGAAGAAATGTTACGTTTTCGAATTTTTTTTGCGGTGAAAAACTTGTGGCCTTACTTTTGTGAAATGAAATGGAAAAAATTGCGGGTTTATCGATGCGGGAATCAGAAATTTTTGCGATTTTCGGTTATTGTGCTATATCTTGCTGTTCGAAATCTGTCGGATGCATGTGAAACCTTGCGACAAACGCTGTCATCAAGATTCTCAAATCGCTGTTTTAACAAAAGGCATTTCTGAATGTCATGTCGGTTGAGAGAACTCACCTTCGCATGTCATCAGAGTAAATTGATAATTTACTGTTAGTATCTCCAAAGCCGAGCATGATGCACCAAAATTGTTTTTGTGCTAAATTTTGTAGGAAATGACATGCATGAGCAGTGGGACCTTGAAAACTTTAAACCCCCCTGGGGTAAATGTCTGTATAGTCCCTGTCTCAATTTTTTCAAGAACCTCCGTAACTTGCAAATTTTCCTATCAAACCTCTTGAAATTTTTCTTGGAACCTCTAAAATTTTTTCTTGGGCTGAACATTCTGGGGACCACAAGAAGAGAAAAGCAATGAAAGTGTAATGCAATGTTGTTCAAAATGAAATGAGAGCCCAATTTCGCAAATTGACCCTTGTTCCTGTCCAACTCATTCAACCCAGAAGTTTAATTCCCAGAAAATCAATAATTTTGAAATTCTTGATTTCTTCTCAGCAAAAATGGTAGTTTTGTCAACTCAAGAACTTTAAAAGTCAATGTGTTCTGGTCTCTGGATGAGTTTGCCTTAGAGAGGTTTAACTGTAGCATCAAAATTAATATGGTTCTGTAAAGAAATCTGCAACAGAAATACTGTTGAGGCAAGGTTTTGTCTGCATTGGAATACGTCTCTAGTTTCATGTAAAGAATCCAAAACTGATCAATTGAGCTGGTTAATTCGTCATTATGCCTTTGTTCATTTGCAGAATCATGAGTGAAACCGAGTGTGAAGAGTGCAAACTGCTGAAGGCAGAGCTTGCTTTACAAAAGGCTGAGGTAAACTGCAGTGGTAAGTTGTACACCTAGCAAGAAACCTGGAAGCTCATGGTTTTCCCTTTTCTTGTCTCTCCCCTACCAAGTTGGAGCACTTGAAATGGCGTCTGGAAGACGTCCAAGGCAGATCCACCAGCTGTGTGGAGACGCAGACAGAGGAGACATCTGCCGGAGTTTACTGCGAGGATGTAGCCAAGATGGCAGCCGAAGTGGCGGAAGAGGTTGCCACACAGTCCGGATTTGTGTTTGATGATTCGTCTGGGTATTATTATGACACCACCAGTCGAATGTATTATGATGTGGTGAGTTCCAGTAAAATACTGTACAGTTGAATCTCTTCGAATTAAACTTCAAGGGACCAACACCAAAAATACCGAGTTTTGAGAAAAGCAGTTCTGTTGAGGGAAAGAAAGAAGAATTACAGGATATTGAGTTGACAGACTGTAGAAGATGAAGGCAAGGGTTCATTTATCCAATTAGTCTTTTAATTCCTTACAAAGTGCCTAGAAATACATTTTTTATTGCTTTTCTCTTTCCTGTGTCGATAAAACAATAGCCAAAGGCCTCAGAACTCCAAACATACTTGAAACAAATCTGACATGGGGAAAGGAATTTTGAGTTATTGAGGTTCAACTGTGTAATTCAACCATGTGCTATCTAAAGTGAAATCTTCCAACAATGTTCTAGTCAAGTGGACTGTATTATGAGCCATTATCCATGTCATACTTCCGCTACAACCCGGAAACTGGAGAAAGTGAAATTGTGTCGAAAGCAGAATATCCTCCTGAAAATCCAAGAGTCAAGGTATTTTCAAATAAATCCATCCTATCTCACTTGATTTTCTTACATCCATGTATTTCTCTTTGCTGAAGGCTGATGTTGATGAAGAAAATGCGGAAGAAGGTCAGTACATTGATTGAAACTGGGCGATTTGGTGATGTTGAATGATTTTTGATGAATTGAATCAATAGGAAGATGGCCACCTTGTGTGAGACTAGTGATTGAAGCTTCAACACGTCTGAGAGTTGGGTCAGTTATGATAGTTACACACCCTGGGGGAATTCTTGGTTCAGATGACACCTGTGACATTGTTGTGGCTGATGATGGCATAATGGGGGTGAGTTTTGAAGAGTCTGAGAAGTGCCATAATGTCACCACCTTTAACCAATTTTTTTTATCACACTTCCACTCGAAAATTTTACAGAAACATGCTGAAGTTGTTTTCAATGAGGAGTCTGGAATGTATCAGATCAGGACCATTGGGAAAGCATCTTTGGTGGTTTCTGGAAATGTGCTGGGTCCAAAATCCGCATTTGTACCATTCGGTCATTGGTCATCCCTTCAGGTTTGTTTAAAGTCTGTAATTCTTTCAGGCTGGAAGATGTACAGTGATTGGCAACGATTTTTTGCAAAATTCATTAGTTGATGAAAATGTTTATTCTTGAGAAGGACAGATGTGAAGAAAATCATATTGTGAACACCTTGGGCATAATTGAGGAAATCTGTAATTTATTGTGATTCAAAATTATGCTCTTTTGACTGGTGAAGCTGCATTTGTCTTCTTGATAAAGGGAATCCCATTCAATTGATGTTTGCACATGTACATATACTTGAGGAAGATGCACACCTCTGTTTCCTCACACAACATTTTGAGAAGAATGATTCACCGGGAAGATGTGCACTCATATTTTTCATCACTGAAAATTGTAAAATGTCAAAAATGTTTATGAATTGTACAAATTTGGATGAATTGAATCAACTCCAACATGTGTTTGTTCTGAAATTTTAAATGGTATGACTGCTTTCAAAGTAAATAACCATTGAGGCAGTTGTCAAAAATTGTGATGATCTTGAACTTTCCAATGACGTGCACCCATTTTTTGTCCAATTCAAAAAAGGTGCATGTAGTATTTGTATTAATATGCTACTCCGTATTTTGTGTGAAGAACTTTTTGTTCAGATACTGTGTATGTTTCCTCTTGATATGTGTATTTGTACTAAAATGTAAGAATATCCCAGTTCTTTTTTATTTCTGTAGCTCTTGTAAAATCACACTTCATGAATATGAATATTCACATGAATTCCTCAAAACATGGTCTAATCATCTGCAGTAATTTTCTGAAAAACAGGCCTGTTCTTTTTTTTTAAAGAAAAATTTATAATATTTTTCGTTACTGCTCATAAAATTCACTTGTATTTAGAAGACTGAAATTATGAGATGAAATCGCAGATGGGAACAACTCTGATGAAGTGTCACGTGCACGGAGGCACAGAGACGTGCAATTCCTGTGAACCCGGCCTGACACTAGCAGCGTCTTCCAACTTGAACACGGGGATCTACGCTGGTCTGAAGGGGGATCCCGAAGCAGAAAGACGCCGGGCGATGAAGGCCCTCAAGAGGAAATACGCTGTCGAAGGAGCACCCAATGTCGGAGGAAAGGCTCCCGATTTGGGGAGTGAATATCGAGACCGGGCTGGAGAGAGGAGAATTACCAAAGGCGTGGATGATCTGTATGCCAAACCAGTCACTTCGTCTCTTGATCAGTAAGTTTTCTTTTATTTATTACATTTTTTCTAAGGAGTATGTGGAGATAATCCCGATTTTCTACTTATCTCCAACAGGCCCATCAGGAAGGATAACGTTGGTCGAAAGATGATGGAGAAGATGGGATGGAAGCAAGGAGAAAAATTGGGTTCTGGAAGTGATGGTGGACTGGCGGAACCGGTATGCATATGTAAATTTCTGCTTGATCCATGAGAATATCGTCTAGTAATCACTGTTTTTATGCAAGTACCCCATGCACCCAAGAAACCGATGAGGTGCATGTCATAGTTGGGTACAAATTTCCAAGTAAAATTTTCTTAATTTTTTTTTCATGTTTTCTTTTACGATGATCTAATGGTTTGCATGACACAAAAACATCAATATTGAATTCAGCTTTTAAGTGGATTTAAGTATTTCGAGTGTCGCCCTCATGTAGTTTTTAAAGGAGGAATTTTGGCAACTGTGCTAGAAAAACGAAGGTGGTCTACTCATCCAGGGATTCCATTTGTTTTACCAAATTTGAGCGAAAAATCTTACCTAAGACTGGGTTGTACTCAAGGAAATATAGTACAGTATGTTCAAAATTTTTTATTTTTATTTTTTGGAATTGCAGATTGGATTGGACGCCGCAAAAAGTGCAGGAGACAGAGGAGGATTAGGTCTGGGATTTGGCTTTCAACATTTCCTTCAACCTCCCCCACCACCTCCTCCCAAAAAGGAAAATTCTTGATCAACTTTCCAAAAATTGCAAGCCAGAAAATGAATACATTTTGGATTTTGAAAAGTTTCGTGCTTCATTCTGAATGTTGGAAAAAAAATTGTTACACTTTTGGAGACAGTTTTACGCGAGCAGTGTAAGTTTTCACAGGCGGTGCTTCCAGGACTTCAGCATGTGTCGGGTTCCCCAAGAGTTCAACCTGGTCAGAGGTGCGAGGAAAAAAATTATTGATTAAATTCATTATTGTCAATGCACATGGATGTCATCTCACTTGAAGATGCGTTCCAGCAACTGCAGCATATGGTGGAATGTACGCGAAAGCCAGGGATTTATTCAAAGCTGGGCTGAAGCAGCCTGACGTGACATTCCCGACCACCTGTTGAAAAACAAGGTGGATCAAATCGGTGTTTCTTACAACGTGAGTCAAGTTTCCCATGCAATCTGATATGACTGCACCGTACTGTACTTACTTTGCCATTCATCCAAACAGCCTCGTTTCCAACGGGGTCAACATCACTTGAGTTCACAGCCAACATGACCAAGATTTTCTCAGACCTGTCCATTTGTTTGTCTCTGACCACTGCCTCTTTGCCAATGAAATCCTGCAAGATGTAATAATAATAAATGCGCTTGATGTTTAAAATAACAAGAAATCAATCTTCAAGTGTTGAGATCTTGAAATTATCCAGTTCATTCAAAGAATTGAATTTTGTACTTGCCAACATTATTGCAAGAATAAAAATGTATTTAATACTTGGGAAACTCATGGAAACCTCTAAACTTCTATGCAGAAAAATAAATGTTCAATCTTTCCACAAATTATTTTTGGAAGCAGAAAAAATGCAGTTGATGAAATTTGAAATGGATCAACTTACCTTGTTAAAGCAGATAAAATGGCCCAGATTTGCTTCAAGTGGTCCAGTGTCCATGTTCATCTCTCTTCCCCACATATTGAAGCCTTTCTCCATTCTGAGTATGTTGAGTGCATGAGTTCCGAAGTCACCAATTCCTGTATTTATATCGTATTAGAGTAGGCTCCAAAAAACTTTCTGACTATTGAAAGGGAAGTCATGTCTAAGGTGTCAGTTTTAGCTCGAGAAAAATTTAAAAGATTGATGGGATATGATTGATATTGATGCTTCTCATGCCCTAGAAATTTGATAATTTCCAGAAGTTAACAGCTCAAAACTGTCAGGGCAAATCCAATTTTACACTGATAAATTTCAAATTATTTATTCTAGACAACAAAAAAACTAGTTGAGTTACACTGTCTTGCAAGATTTCTGTATAGTCATTACGAGTTTTTCAAGAATAGATTAAAAGTTTTTGATTGTTATTGAGAAAGAGAATTGGAGGATTTTGTGTTCTAAAAAAAAAAAACTCTAGAAATGGATTATTTTTATTACACAGGAACACACTGTACTTCATTCTGAAAGATACCATTTTAAATCTAATACATCTCAAATATTGTTTTTATCTTTCGAGGATTTAAAATTTGCTGCGCTTTTAATTGAGAATGAATTTGTTATTTCACTGTAGGGTTTAACCAAAAATTGACGAAGCGTAACTTTTCCAGGAAACATCGCATGAGTTATTTAATCAAGAGAGAAAACGGTACCAAATTCTTGACCAGCGGCCAAAATGTCATGATACAGCCTCTTCAGAATGTCTTGTGGTGCGTAAATTTCATATCCGAGTTCCCCAGTGTAACTCAAGCGCAAAATCAATGTAGCCTGGTCGTGTCCTTCAAGAACCACCTTCAAACAAATATTCACGGAATTCTGTTTCTCGAGAAATTTAAATTAGAATTCCCTTACGGTTTTTGCAGAGAGGAATTTCATGGAGGCTAAGGATGAATCGAGTTTTGCCAGGACGTCTGCGGATTTTGGCCCTGCAATCCCAAGCACTCCGAACTCGTCTGTCACATTTTCAATCCTGGCATCTGAGAATCTTTGGGTTCTTTGGATGTTCTCGAGCCACCTGATACATTCAGAAATGCGATACCATGAGTGACAGGAATCTTTAGTGAGGAATAACAATTATGGTGAGGGCAAAAAAAATATCAAAATTTTAATAAAGTTTTTTATTCATGTGCAAACGTGCATCAAGAATTGATGTAATTTCTATATTCATGACATGTGAGATTCCAATAACTTACTTTAAAACTCTGCTTCAAGTTTAACTCTGAAATTGTTATGCAAGGTGTCCAAGAAGAACAAAATTCCAACTCACTGATCATGCTTGCACAAGAATTTGTACCATATTCATTCTCCATCAACACAGTAAGTCATAAAATGTCCCTGCTCCTGGAAGGCTTATTTTTCTGTGTTGTAATCAAATGATTGTTTTTTTTTGCAATCAAACTCCTATAATACTGACCTGAGATCATGAATCTCACTCCCAGAGCCTGTGACAGCTATGAAAGAATTCTCATCCAGTCTGGTGAGGGTAATTTCCGCATAAACCTTTCCCTTTGGAGTAAGGCAGTGAGTGATGACAGTTCTACCAACTTTTGGCAACTTGTTGCTGGTGGCAAAATCCAGTAACCTGTGGAAATAATAAATATATAGGATGCCATGTCAGGTTAAAGACTTGACTTTCAGTACACAAAGAAATGATGGACTGTGATGACTCACTTGGAGGCATCCTTCCCAGTTATCCTGAATTTGGCAAAGGGTGTCAGGTCTATGATTCCAACCTGATTTGTGACCAGTTCACACTCCTTCAAAACAGGCAGGAACCAGTTGGTCCTGAAAGAAAATCCATGTAACCATTCAAGTCCATGGAATATCTCCTTTCTGATGTAAGCTGCAACCTTTTGAATGACGGTTTGTACTCTGGTCTCTGGCCCTCAGTTTTCTCAAACCAAGCAGGCTGTTCCCAACCAGCATGAACAGACATGAAAGCCCCTCTGGCGATGAGATCTTCATACACTCCACTCAGTCTAGTTGTTGGCCTTCCTATTTCAAGTCAGACATGTCATTTACTCCAAGCCAAGTGTGTTCAAAGTCATCCACCAAAGTTTTACCTGCGAATCTTTCCTCAAAAGGGTAGGGCAAAGCATTATTCAGCCCATAGCTTTCCCTGGCCTTGGTTGACACGTACTCTGGGGTAGTCCAGGTGGGTCTGAACCTACCAGGGTCATACTCAGACACATCAAAGGGTGGCTCTCCATCAATGATCCAATCTGCCAAATATCTCCCTGCTCCTCCTGCATGAACTATTCCATACCTATGCCAGGAAGAAAATTGTGTGAATCTGGTTTCCAATGTGCAAAAAAAAATCTTTACAACAAACCCAATGGGACCAGTGAAACAGCTTTATTGCAATTGGAAATTGTTATGAAGTAACTCATTTAAAATTGCGGCTATTTGTATCTAAATATATCTATATATATATATATATATATATATATAATATAATATATTTGTATCTAATATCTTCGTTGTAAGCAATTATTAGTTAAAACAAGACTTTTTACAAGATTTTTTTGTGCATGTATTTCTTGCATTTATTTATCGAATGCACAGCTTGGATGGTACCCTAGGCAACTCTCAAGGTTCTAGCCTTGTAATGACCTTATTTTATTGCTGTATTTACGCAAGTACCAGTTATTTTCTGGGAAGTCAGGGCAGAAAAGTAGTGCGTGTATGGTAAGCAGGTAGACATTTAAAAAATCATTAAACAAAATGTGAAGAGCAGGGATAGACTTCGAGCAATTATACTCAAAAAAAATCAGGGTACCCTTCTTGCTTGAGAGTTGATTGTACCTCAGTAAATACAGTATGCTATTTTATTTCTAATGCTTTTTGTGAAGTGATTAAGGGGAAACTGTGTAAAATTATTTCATTGAAGTGAGTAATTCTGAGGTCAATCAAAATGATAACGTCGAGGACATGTTTGCTGGTAGCAGTCTAGCTAGAAAACAGGAGAGATTCTGATGAGTCATATTAAAACATGACTCATGCATCACAGTCTGAAGAAATGTTATTGACTGTGTTTCTCAATACTTCTAATTAGAAATTCCATAAAAATGTACGCTGGCAATGAAAACATTGAAACTTTGAAAGGCAGCGGCACAATTGCAGTACACTACTCATATTTACCCAAAGCCAGCCATAACCCAGGAATTTGGCAATGTTCCAGGACCGATCAAAGGCGCCAGATCGGGGGAATACGTGATTGGGCCGCAAATAATGCTTTTTATCTCTGCTTTCGCAAAACACGGGAAAGCTTCCATGGCTGCAACAAAACAATTACGAGGTTTAAATTACGGTCTTCAGGAACTCGGGAAAATGTGACGCACTTACCGATGCTGAGGTGAGGACTTAGGCGCTCCAAGTCGGGTTCGAACAGTTCTTTGCCGAATCCTGAAAAAAAAAATTAATTTTTAGCGTGTAGATTAAAGTTTACTCACAAAGGATGAATGGATCATCGATCATGTATGTCTTCAATTTTCAAACTTCGTATATTTTCGCGGAACGAAACGATTTATTCAAGGGAAAGACTGATGTGAATGCGAATATTTCGTGAAGTAATAGGGGATTAAAAAGTATTACCTGGCGGGACTCCGTTTTCCAACCAATCGTCCCTGGTTTTCATGGATCCCGGCGATTCGTAAGGCCCGATGAGAAGCCCTCCGCGTTCTTTCCTCATGTAAAAACTTCACTCCATTCTGAGTATGTTGAGTGCATGAGTTCCGAAGTCACCAATTCCTGTATTTATATCGTATTAGAGTAGGCTCCAAAAAACTTTCTGACTATTGAAAGGGAAGTCATGTCTAAGGTGTCAGTTTCAGCTTGAGAAGAAATTCAAAAGATTGATGGGATATAATTGATATTGATGCTTCTCATGCCCTAGAAATTTGATAATTACCAGAAGTTAAAAGCTCAAAACTGTCAGGGTAAATCCAAGTTAACACTGATAAATTTCAAATTATTCATTCTAGACAAAAAAAAAAACTAGCTGAGTTACACTGTCTTGCAAGATTTCTGTATATTCATTACGAGTTTGTCTAGAATAGATTAAAAGTTTTTAATTGCAATTGAAAGAGAGAATTGGAGGGTTTCGTGTAAAAAAAAGGGACTCTAGAAATGGATTATTTTCATCACACAGGAACACACTGTACTTGATTCAGAAAGATTCACTTTTAAATCTAATACATCTCAAATTTTGTTTTCATCTTTCGAGGATTTAAAATTTGCTGCGCTTCTAATTGAGAATGAATTAGATATTTCACCACGGGGTTTAACCAAAAATTGAAAAAAAATATCGTCTGAGTTATTTAATCAAAAGGGAACACTATACCAAATTCTTGACCAGCGGCCAAAATTTCATGATACAGCCTCTTCAGAATGTCTTGTGGAGCGTAAATTTCATATCCGAGTTCCCCAGTGTAACTTAAGCGCAAAATCAATGTAGCCTGGTCGTGTCCTTCAAGAACCACCTTCAAACAAATATTCACGGAATTCTGTTTCTCGAGAAATTTCAATTAGAATTCCCTTACGGTTTTTGCAGAGAGGAATTTCATGGAGGCTAAGGATGAATCGAGTTTTGCCAGGACGTCTGCGGATTTTGGCCCTGCAATCCCAAGCACTCCAAACTCGTCTGTCACATTTTCAATCCTGGCATCTGAGAATCTTTGGGTTCTTTGGATGTTCTCGAGCCACCTGATACATTCAGAAATGCGATACCATGAGTGACAGGAATCTTCAGTGAGGAATAACAATTATGGTGAGGGCAAAAAAAATATCAAAATTTTAATAAAGCTTTTTATTCATGTGCAAACGTGCATCAAGAATTGATGTAATTTCTATATTCATGACATGTGAGATTCCAATAACTTACTTTAAAACTCTGCTTCAAGTTTAACTCTGAAATTGTTATGCAAGGTGTCCAAGAAGAACAAAATTCCAACTCACTGATCATGCTTGCACAAGAATTTGTACCATATTCATTCTCCATCAACACAGTAAGTCATAAAATGTTACATAGACAATATGAACCCTGCTCCTGGAAGGCTTATTTTTCTGTGTTGTAATCAAATGATTGTTTTTTTGCAATCTAATACTGACCTGAGATCATGAATCTCACTCCCAGAGCCTGTGACAGCTATGAAAGAATTCTCATCCAGTCTGGTGAGGGTAATTTCCGCATAAACCTTTCCCTTTGGAGTAAGGCAGTGAGTGATGACAGTTCTACCAACTTTTGGCAACTTGTTGCTGGTGGCAAAATCCAGTAACCTGTGGAAATAATAAATATATAGGATGCCATGTCAGGTTAAAGACTTGACTTTCAGTACACAAAGAAATGATGGACTGTGATGACTCACTTGGAGGCATCCTTCCCAGTTATCCTGAATTTGGCAAAGGGTGTCAGGTCTATGATTCCAACCTGATTTGTGACCAGTTCACACTCCTTCAAAACAGGCAGGAACCAGTTGGTCCTGAAAGAAAATCCATGTAACCATTCAAGTCCATGGAATATCTCCTTTCTGATGTAAGCTGCAACCTTTTGAATGACGGTTTGTACTCTGGTCTCTGGCCCTCAGTTTTCTCAAACCAAGCAGGCTGTTCCCAACCAGCATGAACAGACATGAAAGCCCCTCTGGCGATGAGATCTTCATACACTCCACTCAGTCTAGTTGTTGGCCTTCCTATTTCAAGTCAGACATGTCATTTACTCCAAGCCAAGTGTGTTCAAAGTCATCCATCAAAGTTTTACCTGCGAATCTTTCCTCAAAAGGGTAGGGCAAAGCATTATTCAGCCCATAGCTTTCCCTGGCCTTGGTTGACACGTACTCTGGGGTAGTCCAGGTGGGTCTGAACCTACCAGGGTCATACTCAGACACATCAAATGGTGGCTCTCCATCAATGATCCAATCTGCCAAATATCTCCCTGCTCCTCCTGCATGAACTATTCCATACCTATGCCAGGAAGAAAATTGTGTGAATCTGGTTTCCAATGTGCAAAAAAAATCTTTACAAGATTACAACAAACACAGTGGGATCAGTGGAAAAGCTTTGTTGCAATTAAACATTTTTATGAAGGAACTCATTTAAAATTGTGGCTATTGGAACCTAAAAAGCATCTTTGTTGTAAGCAATCATTAGTTAAAACAAAACTTGTAATTGAAACATTTTATTGTGCATGTATTCATTTTATTTATTAATCAAATGCACAGCTTGGATGTGTGTCACTGCAGGTGAAAATGAGAAAAAGAAAATGGAAGTTTATCACTATCCTGCTTTATATTATGTTATTCACTTGCAAGATTATTTTTCTTTTCTTTGAATTTTGATTTTCAGCCAACAAAATCTGAAGAGCAGGGATAGACTTTGAGCAAGTTATACTTCACATAAAAAATCAGGTTGCCCTAATTACTGAAGAGTTGATTATACCTTAGTAAATACAGTTGGCTGATTTATTCCTAATGCTTTTGGTGAATTGATCCAGAGCAACAGTATAAAATTATTTTATTAAAGTGAGCGACTTTGAGGTCAAATCAAAATGATTACGTGGAGGACATGTTTGCTGGTAGCAGTCTAGCTAGTCAACAGGAGAGATTCTGATGAGTCATATTAAAATCATGACGCATGCATCAGTTGCTTTCACAGTCTGAAGAAATGTTTCTGACAGTGTTTCTCAATTTTCTAATTATAAATTCGATAAAAATGTACGCTGGCATTGAAAACTTTGAAAGGCAGTGGCACAATTACAGTACACTACTCATATTTACCCAAAGCCCGCCATAACCCAGGAATTTGGCAATGTTCCAGGACCGATCAAAGGCGCCAGATCGGGGGAATACGTGATTGGGCCGCAAATAACGCTTTTTATCTCTGCTTTCGCAAAACACGGGAAAGCTTCCATGGCTGCAACGAAACAATTACGAGGTTTAAATTATGGTTTTCAGGAACTCGGAAAAGTTCTCGCACTTACCGATGCTGAGGTGAGGACTTAGACGCTCCAAGTCGGGTTCAAACAGTTCTTTGCCGAATCCTGAAAAAAAAAAAATAATTTTTAGCGTGTAGATTCAAGTTTACTCACAAAGGATGAATGGATCATCGATCATGTATGTCTTCAATTTTCAAACTTCGTATATTTTCGCGGAACAAACGATTTATTCAGCAAGTAAAGACTGATGTGAATGCGAATATTTCGGGAAGTGATCGGGGATTAAAAAGTATTACCTGGCGGGACTCCGTTTTCCAACCAATCGTCCCTGGTTTTCATGGATCCCGGCGATTCGTAAGGCCCGATGAGAAGCCCTCCGCGTTCTTTCCTCATGTAAAAACTTCAGGGGATTAAAAAGTATTACCTGGCGGGACTCCGTTTTCCAACCAATCGTCCCTGGTTTTCATGGATCCCGGCGATTCGTAAGGCCCGATGAGAAGCCCTCCGCGTTCTTTCCTCATGTAAAAACTTCCGTCCAAATGCCGCAACACCGGAAACTCCTCGTCATGCCCTTCGAGTTCCGGCACCGGACCCGTGATCAAATACTGGTGTTCAACGGGTATTGTGGGCACGAATTCACCCATGGCATCACCCACTTGCCGCGCCCAGAACCCGGCAGCATTCACCACATTTTTCGCGCGAAAAGAAACCTTCAGGGGTTCTTCAGCGGAGCATGTTTTTACCTCCCAGGAGCCGTGGGGTTGCGCATTGTGCGAAAAGGACACTGCGCCAGTTTGTATCAACAGGCGGGCGCCATGACGCCTCGCGCCTGCGGCAAGAGCCATTGTCAATGAGTAAGGGTCTATGTGCCCGTCACCAGCAGTGAACAGTCCTCCATGAATCTGTTGATTCAGAGTCACCAACGTTGCTTTTACAGTTGAACCTCCTTGAGTCAAATTTCAAGGGACCATCAGAAAAAAAGGTAAGACAGAAGAATTTCAGGAAATTGTAATTGGTGATCTCTGGGCCATAAATTACTTATTGCATGATTTTACAGCAAGGATACTGAAGTTGGAGGCAAGGGTTCATTAGCCCAATGAGTCTTTCACTTCCTTTAAAGCCCATCTGATCTGACTACTCATTTCATTGCTTTCCTTTTTCCTGAGTCAATAAAATAATTGCCAGAAGGCCTAAAGTCTTTGAGTTGGAGAGTTTTTAATGAATTCTTTTTAAGAAAATTCAGAAAAGGACTTGAAAGACCATTGACTTAAGGAGTTTCAACTGTATCTGTATCCCAAACAAACTCACATTGTCCATTTTCATGAAAGGAACCATGGCTGCCACCTCAGACTTGCTCAGTAGTTTCATTGGCACAGGTTGCCAATTCTGCATTCCAAGCTGGTATCTATTTTTTTTTTCAAGAAGTCAATTGCAGGAGCTATTGGCAGAATAGAAGTTGGTTAATATGGTTCAAGTAAAAGTTTTACCTCATCTCTTCCAGTCTGATTGGTGAAGTGGCCAATCTCAAACTGCCACACCTGTGGAACCCCACACTTTGTCCAGTCTCTTTCTCCAGTTGGGAATAGAGGCTGATGCTGTGTTGATGGAAGACAAATAAATCAATTGATGACCATATATTTAAATGTATTTTAATGTCAGTATTACCTGGCCTGGTGGATCCTCTTGGCATTGACAGTGGGTTGGTAGTGGGTGACCAATCCAGCTGCATGCCATGTTGAGCCAGCTGTCAAGTCAGACTTTTCCAACACCACCACCTTCTCCTGACCTCTCTTGGCCAAATGGTAGGCCAAGGACACACCTGCAATTCCTCCTCCAACTATCAGTGTGTCAACTTCCTCCACATTTGCTTGGTTTGATAGGGATCTTGTCCTGTAATGCATGCCAAACACAAATTAAACTGTGTGAAAATGTACACTCCTTTTCCAAGAAGAAATCATCATACTTATGATGTAACACTGAAGACAAACACGGGGTGCCAACTTTCCAATTCTTATTCAGCAGACCACTCCTACTTGCAATCACATGCTGCCAATGTTGACAGCCCTTTGAAAGCCACATAGCTCCACTTATTTAAAAAAAAAACACAAAACAAAGTTTTTTTCTTCAATTTTTGAAGCCCATAGTCTCAATTCAAGGGAACAGTAACACCTGAGGCTTGAAAATCCTCTCTTTTTCCTTCAAAGAGAGTAAGAAGAAGATACAGTATCTATACTAGATGGAGCTTCACAGTAAGACAGAAAAACAGGACCTTTTGCACGCGGCACTACAACAACAATGGAACCCATAAGGGGAATCAGATTACTTGGGAATGCGGGCTAGTTACCTGTGCCCATCCAGGGGTTCATTCACAAGTTTTGTCATTTATTACCTTAATTGAAGGGAGTGATGCAAAGAATGTAAAAAGGAACTTTATATTTTAATATTTTTTTCTTTATTTTTATTATTATACAGGATGCTGCATTTGGAAGGGACTGCTGAAATGGACAGGTCAGGTATAAAATTAGTTTCATCTTCAAAGAATTAATATTTACAGGACTCATTTTTGGGGCTCAACTTTTTGTGATAATATCATTCGAATGTTGAATTGCTGTCGTGAACAAGTTTGAAATTTTTTACAAAATTAAAGTGACTTATTTTTCATATTCCCAGCTTTTTCAAAAAATAAATTTTTATATTTTTTTAATGTGTTGGGATTTTTTTTTAATTTACAGCTCTTACACAAAATTTCTTTGGGTGTGTATATGCAGTGCTATCTTCTCCATGGTGTCACATTTTGTATCAGGATACATTGTATGGCGAAAATGTTTTTGAAATTTGTGGAGAACCCTGATGCATTAAATACTGAAAGGTTACTGCGCAGCCAGACAAGATTGGATATCTACGTTTGTGGGCTCGCCTTTTCACCCATCTTTTATTTATGCATCTGCCTCATTCTTGCTCCCTTCTGTTTTTGTCTGCTTGGGAGACAGGTTTCAAAAGAAAAACAACAAAGGGCTTCACCCAAGATTTTAAAATGTCTCTTTTTACAATGCCTCTTTCTCTTGAAAAAAAGATGGCTTTTGAAATTTATTGGAAGCAAGAGGAGCCCCTAAAATAATAATGCTATACAGTGCCCCCCCCGCCTAACAGACCTCCCGTGTAAGGGATTTTTGCTGAACAGACCAGCTCTGCAAGCAGTTTTTCCTCCTGCCCAACAGACAAAATCCACCAAACAGACTTCTTTTTGTTTAAAATTAGTGTTGAAAATTGAAATTTTCAATTTTTATGTAATTGAATTCGTGTAAAGGACTTTTTGTCTAACAGACTCGTCCCATGCACAAATCAAGTCCGTTAGACAGGGGTTGACTGTAATTCTGAATATTACACAGTATGTTCAGATTCATTCTTTGCTTAATATATTAAATGAGGCTTGCAGATCAAGATCACGTTTTACAATTTTTGAATAATGCCTAAAGATTTTAATTATGAGCTGCATATTCTTCACACACAAAAAAGGAGCATAAAAACACACAGTTGAGAGGAGACTGTGATTCCCACTGGAAAACCTTGAAGAGAATTTTGTGAGCAGCCCTTTGCGGTGTTTTTTCTAGACTTTTAACAGAAGCAAATGCGCAGATTAACTATTCTAGGAATAAAAGATCCCAAAATTGATGCCATTACCTGTTGAATTAACAAACAAGTTCATTGAGGTCATTTGAATTATATCAACTGGGTAGTTCCACTTCTTGTCCGAATTGGTTGTCCTGCTGGTTTTTTTTAATTGTGACCAAGAAATCAGCATAATTCAGTTCCTAGACAGTATAGTACATCCAAAACAATGTTTTCAAAAATTATAATGTATTGATCATGATTGTATATTAAAGATGATCTTTACAACATCCACCATCATAACTCACAAGGATTTAAAAAAAAATTAATGCATGGAGAAAGAAGACAACAATTTCAACACCAGGGCATCAAACAGCAGTTAACATATTTACATAGGAAAAATAAACATGAAACAGCTGTCATTTTTGTAGTCTCCAGTATTTCATGAAGAGACAGTGGGACATGAGCCTTAAACACAGGTGATTTGATGGGAAAGATGAAACCAGAGTTGTCAGGGTTTACTGCAGATTGATGGCTCAGACAGGAGGTTTTCTGACAGGACTGCATCCCTGCCTGGGAATATAAAAACCCATGGTTTCCCCTCATCAACAAGCTAGTCTCTCATCCACATTGCTACTGTGTCAATAGGAAAAACGTGTCTTTCCACAAGGGTACTATACAACTGCATTTGTCACCATGGGGAAGAAGGTCAGTCCTACAGATGTCGCTCATATCATCCAAAAGAAAACTTATCTTCATGAATGTGAATATTTCCTCCCCCCAAAAATTTAGGATTTGATCACAAGGCTGAACGAAGGAGTGGTTATTGGAGATGGTGGTTTTGTGTTTGCACTTGAAAAACGCGGGTATATCATGGCGGGTCCCTGGACACCAGAGTGCAATGTGGAGAACCCTGAAGCAGGTGCGACACCTACTTGTAGATTTCACTAGCTGATTTGCGTGATTTTTTCAAAACTGCTTGGCAACGTGTCACTGCTTGCTCACAGTTTTTATACCTGTAGAATTTCTCAACACTCAACAGCGAATCTAATCGTTATAGCGAAGGTTTTTTTGCAAGAAACTTTCTCCTGGATTCCAGCAGGTTTTCCATTGGAACAATCTCATAGTAATCTTCTGTCAAAAAAAATTATTTTTAATAATAAACAAATGGTTGCCCGCTGTTTCTGATTGAACAAACCATGGAGGGAGTGGGGAAAAAGTTATTGTTGCTGAACATCATCATAAGTTCATAAAATTTTAAGGAATTTAAAGACGTAAATGCTGTACAGTATTGAAAAACTATCACAGCATGACATTTTTATTATAATTCATTCAGGCTCATTTGAGACTTTTGCTCTGGCTCAATTTTTCAAATGAGCAGTGAAGTAATCATTCTTGTCAAAGAATTTACCTCTTACTCAAAGGAAAAAATGGGTGGGCTTGATTAAAGTGAGTGAGGAAGTATAGGTACACAATTTTTTTTATACATGACTTGGGTATCATTTTATTCTTAAAGGTGATCAGTACATGACTATAGGAAATTTGAAGTAAAAGGCAGGTTCAAAATAAGAGTGGTATATTTGAAAATTTGTCTTTGAATTTCATTAGAGGAAGATTTAGAAAAAAATGACAAGTCTCCATAATATATATGTTGCAAAAGCACTTGACAATTTGTATCACTCATTTCCCAAAAAATTTCCCCAATTAATTCAAGACCAGCATGAATCTTGACAAAATGCATTTTTAATTCTAAAAAATGTTCATCATGTCCCTCATGGCTTTCTTTGTAATGATATTTTACTGCATTTTCCACCAGTGAAACAACTCCACAGGGAATTTCTGAGGGCTGGCTCAGATGTGCTCCAGGCTCTCACTTTCTATGCTTCTGATGACAAGCTGAAGAACAGGGGGAATGAAGCTGGTATAAAATTCACTGTAAGTACAGAAAAAAAACTGAATATATTCACCCATCAAAGTAGGAAGCATTATAATGTTACATTGGTTCCCATCATGGACAGACACAAATGGTGAACAAGGCAGCTTGTGACATAGTGAAAGAGGTGGCATCTGAAGGAGATGCTCTGGTGGCTGGTGGAGTTTCTCAAACCCCATCTTTCCTCAGTGGGGCCCAAAAGGATGCTGTCAAGCAGGAATTCCGCAATCAGGTTGAAGTCTTTGTTGCCAATGGCATGGATTTCCTCATTGCTGAGGTAATGTGACATCATCATGTATATTTTTTTTGGGGGTTTACATTTGCAACATTTCATGAGAGTTTGTGCTGCTGCACATAGTATTTTGAGCATGTGGCAGAGATAGAGTTGGCTATTCAAGTGCTCAAGGAAACCAAGTTGCCAGTGATGGCAACCATGTGCATTGGACCCACAGGGGACTTGCATGGGGTGTCAGCTGGGGAATGTGCTGTGAGAATGGGCAGAGCAGGGGCTGATGTGGGTGAGTGATGTGTAAAATTCCACCTTGTTGGTGTAAAGATACTTTTTTAAGTCCTGTAATATACAGTATACTCTAACCCCCATTTTCTGTGTGTCATTTTGTATATGCATTTTCAGTTGGTGTGAATTGCCATTTTGACCCTAGCACTGCCCTGGAGACCCTGAGGCTGATGAAGACAGCTTTGGTGGCTGCTGGACTCACCAAAGTGCACTTGGCCAGTCAGCCTCTGGCCTACCATACCCCTGATGCTGGACCTCAGGGATTTATTGACCTGCCTGAATTCCCTTTTGGTGAGTTCAACAAATGTTATATTTTACACCCAGGAACAATAATAATGTTTGCAACAATTCATAAATTAAGTACCTGGCAATAATCCAGAAGTTGCATTTAAATAGCATGTCCAATTCCAGTAAGAGTTCATCATCAAAGATGAGACATACATATGTTGCTTATATGCTGATGAGAAAAAAGCCATTACTGGTTATATCCTCCAAGATGTATAGCTCTATATTACCAAACTTGTCAGATTTCAATAAAAAGTTCATTGAATTCTTGAGAGTATATCCAAGTGTTGTACTTATTGCCAATTGAATACAGTATATTGGTTACTCTGCATCACTGGAGCACCTTCTTTTCTTATGCCCAGCATTTCACAGCTATACAGAAGTGAGCTTCAAAAAGACTCATGATGTTTCCCAAAACTTCATGAAAAGGTCCTTTCCCAAATCTTAGAGGACCAAGAAAAACTGTTCACCTTTGTATGATTTCTCCTCAAAGATTCTCTCCAAAATTTTCAATGGATAAAATCTATCTGGGGAAAACCTTTGTGTTCAGCCTGTTTGGATTGATGGAATATGGGAAACCTTTTTTGAACATTGTGAATGCTGACAAGAGGCAAAGATTAAGCTTCTATATCTATATCTATCTATAAAATATGAGTTGGCAAGTGATTTGGCAATGTAGCCAATTTATTTGTATAGTTCAGAAAAGCACATTGCTTGCTGAGGTACTGCTGTATTTGAGACTTGATCAAAATCAAAATGGGTGCCAAAAAAGACAATCAGCCTGGCAAATGACCTTATTTAATATGCTTATATTTACTGTATATGCAGTTTCCAGCAGATGCTGTTTCTTTTTCTAAATAGTAAAATACTTCATATATATAATACTTTTGAGTTTGGGGAGAACAATTGTGATCCTTTTTTTCAATTCTACAAGACTTCTGATGTGGAATATGAGAAATGAAAATGCTTTACATGGACACTTATTATTGCAGCTCTGGAGCCAAGAATCCTTTCCAGGTATGACATGCACAAGTATGCCAGAGAGGCCTATGACTTGGGAGTCAGGTACATTGGAGGCTGTTGTGGCTTTGAGCCCTACCACACTAGGGCCATTGCTGAGGAACTGGCTGATGTCAGAGGCAGGGGACCACCAGGCAAAAAGCACCTGCCCTGGGGGGCTGGATTGGCCATGCACACCAAGCCCTGGGTCAGGGCAAGGTACAGTAAATCACAGTATTGTTCCTAAAATTCTAGTGCCTGAATTTGATCTTGAATTGATTTCAAATGCCCACTCCAATTATTGAATTCTGTAGTTTTATAAGCTGAATATCCAGTATATAATACTGTATGATGATTATGTCTTGGAAGTTTCTGAGTCAGGACCTTCATACCACTGTGAAATCAGTTCTTAAAAAAATATAGCTATATAAAAAGCCTGTGATGATTTGATTTGCTTTATTTATAGACCTGGAACATATTTTTAAACTTGTTGCAAACCAATACAGTATAGAGAATTCAAGGTAACTCATATTTTCAGTAGCACAAGTGTCAAAGATCAAAACACTTTCATCATCAGTACTAATTAGATATTCACCAATAAAGGTATTTGACCAAATCTTTTGCACATGTTTAGGAAATGCTGTGAATCAATAAATATATAAGAGTGAGAGGCATTTAAACCTTTTCTTCTTTGTTCTTTCTTAATTTCAACCTGGTTGAAGAACATTTGAAACAGCTGTGCTGATTACTAAATATTTAAATATAATTCCTCTGCCAAGAAATGTAAATGCATTATTCATTCTATTCCAACAGGAAGCACAAAAATAAAAAAAATAATCATACATCCTGTATTTTTGAAAGTATTTCCTTTATTTTGTGATTCAGAGCAAATAAGGAATACTGGGTGAACCTGCAGCCAGCTTCAGGGAGGCCATTTTCTGCAGCCTATGCCAAACCTGACAGTTGGGGTGTGACTGCAGGCAATGAATTACTCATGCAACATGCCCATGAGACCACCAAGGAAGAACAAGCACAGGTCTGGCATTTATCTGCACCAAAAACACTCTTATTAAGAAAATTGCAATGTTTGTGGTGTCTTATATTCAAAAGGTGGAACAACTCAGGACTTCTTTGTGCAAGAAACTCTAAAAATGGAACAAAAACACAGGAAACACTCTGTTGGCAAAAGAATATCTTCAAGGATCAGGAGAAAAGAAGAGAAGAAAAACTTGAATGACACCTGTTTTCTGTGCTTGACTAACAATCAAAATGTACCCTGAAGACTGATTAAAATTGCTTCCAATCTATGAAAAAAACACATTGTGGTTGTAATATTATTCATTTCCAAACCCTGAAAGCAAAAAAAAAAAAAAAAAAATCCACATGGACTCTCTCCTTGAAGAAAACATGAAGTTGGCACACAGGTATTTTCTTGTATGAAGCATTCCTCAGGAGTTATTTCCTCTCCCCATCACATAACTTCATTTCCTTCCACCTTCTTTTTCTTATTCTTCCTTGTGTCTGTTCATGTCTGTGTGTGTGTGTGTGTGTGTGTGTGTGTGTGTGTGTGTGTGTGTGTTGGTACAGGAGTTGGGTTTAAAAATAGAACCCAGGAACCTGGGAGAGAGTGAATGAGGCTCCAGCAGGTTATTTTGTGCCTCTGAGTGTGGGCTTCACTCTCAAACTGAGTCTTGCTTTGAAAACCTGTTCCTCTTATNTACAGTATACTCTAACCCCCATTTTCTGTGTGTCATTTTGTATATGCATTTTCAGTTGGTGTGAATTGCCATTTTGACCCTAGCACTGCCCTGGAGACCCTGAGGCTGATGAAGACAGCTTTGGTGGCTGCTGGACTCACCAAAGTGCACTTGGCCAGTCAGCCTCTGGCCTACCATACCCCTGATGCTGGACCTCAGGGATTTATTGACCTGCCTGAATTCCCTTTTGGTGAGTTCAACAAATGTTCTATTTTACACCCAGGAACAATAATAATGTTTTCAAAAATTCATAAATTAAGTACCTGGCAATAATCCAGAAGTTGCATTTAAATAGCATGTCCAATTCCAGTAAGAGTTCATCATCAAAGATGAGACATATATGTTGCTTATATGCTGATGAGAAAAAAGCCATTACTGTTTATATCTTCCAAGTTCCCTTTGGTATTTGTGTAGTTCAGGAAATCACATTGCTTGCTGAAGTACTGCTGTATTTATTTAAGACTTGATAAAAATCAAAATGGGTGCCTAAAAGACAATGAACCTGGCAAATACACTAATTGAATATGCTTATATTTATATGCAGTTTCTAGTAGATGCTGTTTCTCCTCTTAAATAGTAAAATACTTCATGTATATGTAATATACTTTTGAGTTTGGGAGAATAATTGTGATCCTTTCTTTTTCTTGTGGAATTCTACAAGACTTCTGATGTGGAATATATGAGAAATGGATATGCTTTACATATGGACACTTATTATTGCAGCTCTGGAGCCAAGAATCCTTTCCAGGTATGACATGCACAAGTATGCCAGGGAGGCCTATGACTTGGGAGTCAGGTACATTGGAGGCTGTTGTGGCTTTGAGCCCTACCACACTAGGGCCATTGCTGAGGAACTGGCTGATGTCAGAGGCAGGGGACCACCAGGCAAAAAGCACCTGCCCTGGGGGGCTGGATTGGCCATGCACACCAAGCCCTGGGTCAGGGCAAGGTACAGTAAATCACAGTATTGTTCCTAAAATTCTAGTGCCTGAATTTGATCTTGAATTGATTTCAAATGCCCACTCCAATTATTGAATTCTGCAGTTTTATAAGCTGAATATCCAGTATATAATACTGTATGATGATTATGTCTTGGGAGTTTCTGAGTCAGAACCTTCATACCACTGTGAAATCAGTTCATAAAAAATAGAGCAATATAAAAAGCCTTTGATTTGCTTTATTTATGGACCTGGAACATATTTTTAAACTTGTTGCAAAACAATAAAGAGAATTCAAGGTAACTCACATTTTCAGTAGCACAAGTGTCAAAGATCAAAACACTTTCATCATCAGTATACTAATTACATATTCACCAATGAAGGTCATTTTTCAATTATTTACAGTATTTGACCAAATCTTTTGCACATGTTTAGGAAATGCTGTGAATCAATACAATATAAAAGAGTGAGAGGCATTTAAACCTTTTCTTCTTTGTTCTACATACTGTTCTTTCTTAATTTCAACCTGGTTGAAGAACATTTGAAGCAGCTGTGGTGATTACTAAATATTCAAATATAATTCCTCTGTCAAGAAATGTAATTGCATTATTTCATTCTATTCCAACAGGAAGCACAAAAATAAAAAAATAATTATACATCCTGTATTTTTGAAAGTATTTCCTTTATTTTGTGATTCAGAGCAAATAAGGAATACTGGGTGAACCTGCAGCCAGCTTCAGGGAGGCCATTTTCTGCAGCCTATGCCAAACCTGACAGTTGGGGTGTGACTGCAGGCAATGAATTACTCATGCAACATGCCCATGAGACCACCAAGGAAGAACAAGCACAGGTCTGGCATTTATCTGCACCAAAAACACTCTTATTAAGAAAATTGCAATGTTTGTGGTGTCTTATATTCAAAAGGTGGAACAAATCAGGACTTCTTTGTGCAAGAAACTCTAAAAATGGAACAAAAACACAGGAAACACTCTGTTGGCAAAAGAATATCTTCAAGGATCAGGAGAAAAGAAGAGAAGAAAAACTTGAATGACACCTGTTTTCTGTGCTTGCCTAACAATCAAAATGTACCCTGAAGACTGATTAAATTGCTTCCAATCTATGAAAAAAAACACATTGTGGTTGTAATATTATTCATTTCCAAACCCTGAAAGCAAAAAAAATAAGAAATCCACATGGACTCTCTCCTTGAAGAAAACATGAAGTTGGCACACAGGTATTTTCTTGTATGAAGCATTCCTCAGGAGTTATTTCCTCTCCCCATCACATAACTTCATTTCCTTCCACCTTCTTTTTCTCATTCTTCCTTGTGTCTGTTCATGTGTGTGTGTGTGTGTGTGTGTGTTGGTACAGGAGTTGGGTTTAAAAATAGAACCCAGGAACCTGGGAGAGAGTGAATGAGGCTCCAGCAGGTTATTTTGTGCCTCTGAGTGTGGGCTTCACTCTCAAACTGAGTCTTGCTTTGAAAACCTGTTCCTCTTATGAGAATCAATTTTTTTTTTCTAACATGTGGGTGAATCATTCAAATTTCCAGGTGGTACATATATATGAAAAGGTGGAAGTCTTTGTTGAAGTTTACATTTTAGAATATATAGTTGCATTCAATTTTGTTTTAGATGTTCCAAAGTAGTTTAATTTTTGTGTGAATATATATGCTGAATTGATTAGAGCTTCCTGTTCTGTGGTTGAGAATAAAGTGAGTGGAAGTGGGGGGGAAAAGCCTGAGAATCCATCCTGGGTAACTTGAAACCCTTCACCTTGCTGTGAGAAAATCCCTAATATAGTGGCTCCAGCACAGGGACCCAAAGCCTATATTTGAATACATTTCCTCCTTTGCCCCATGAGTGCAAAAGGCAGGAAGAAATTCGAGGAACCATCAGGAGAGTTATTTTGTTGAAAAAGCAACAAGAAGAGGCAGGAAGGATCAGGAATTCTGCGCTGTGCCAAACTGGAGCTGGTGGTGGGGGGAAAAATAATCCAGATGTGTGTCAGTTCCCTTTTGGCACAGGCCCAGCAAGAAAACCACCTTGTGCTTCTTTTTTTCTTCTTCTTCTTCTTCTTTTTCAGCAAATGCGTATAATTCTTCCTGCTTCTGGAAAAATTGTTCCTCTTTTCTCCAGAAGCATGTGTGAGCTGCACAGGGTGCACACTGACAAGTGTTTTCCACACCCCTTATATTCTGCCTTGAGAAAAAGTATCTGGAACAAGGCCTGCATTTATATATGACAGGGACCCCTTTTACTCATTGTTTTGACACCTTATTCTGAATGCTTCTCATCTCAAGGACAAAAGGTGCTGGTTTAGTCATAAATTCAAGTGAACATGGCTCCTGCTGTTTTAGTACTCTGTCACATCCTGCCACTTGAACATTCCCACACAGCAGACTGTATATATATTTGATGGATCAGTGGAAAGGTGCTGTGCATGTGTTTGTCATGTGAGGTGCTTGGATATGTTTTTTCAGTGCATTGTCAAACAAATTAATCTGTGCTGCAATATTAATGAGTTGTATAGTCAAAATAATATTTTATTATTGAAATTGAGCAATATATATATGGACCTACACCAAAAGGTCATAATGTGAATATTTTCCTTGTGGTCAAAGATCTCATCCCACTTATACACATCATGCTGGATTCAGAGAATTCCTTTCCCTTGTTGTAGAATATTTTATATTTATTGCATATATTTTATGCCAGACTGCAAATGAATTCTGCTCCAAAATTTATAGACAATTTTTGAAGCAACCTTAATATTTATGCAATATGCTGCCAAGGCTTGATGAAAATTTTCAGTTTCTCAACTTTGCAAGTACAGTCAACCCCCGTCTAATGGACTTGATTTGTGCAAGGGACGAGTCTGTTAGACAAAAAGTCCTTTACACAAATTCAATTACATAAAAAATTAAAAATTTCAATTTTCAACACTAATTTTAAGCCAAAAGAAGTCTGTTCCGCGGATTTTGTCTGTTGGGCGGGAGGAAAAACTGCTTGCAGAGCTGGTCTGTTTGGCAAGAATCCCTTACACGGGAGGTCTGTTAGGCAGGGGGGCACTGTATATATATGCATATAGATAAACCAGCAAAGTTGTCCATAAATCAATTCATCAATCAAATGCTGCATTGAAAGAATTAAGCATCAGTTTAAGAAACCGTTATTAAACAATATTTCCATTTTTTAAAGAGTTGAATTCCAAGAAAAATTATTCAAGAAGATTCATGTCTGATTTCAAGTACAGTATTCACTATATACCAAACAAATGAAATAAAACTTTGAAAATTTAAATTATTCATCATCTCGAAAGAATATTCAATATGTATACTGCATATATTGTATTTTTATGGTCCCCTGAATGAACTCAAAGTGCTCACCTATCAGTGCCTATATGTTCATATATGTATACCCCTTTATTGTGAATCATACTCTGATTTTAGTTGAATGATTCACATCTTTCCAGGGTTTCCAAGAAGATCACTTTTAGGTGCAGGTGGTGTTGCTTTGTTTTGTTTGTTTTTTTCTCCATCCCTTTTCCCATACTGAATAATATTTCAAAGATATATAAATTTAGCTGTGTTCAAAATGTCGTCCACCAAGCGCGACTGGAGAGCAGAGTCAAAAGTGTCCAGCATGACCAGCAGCAGCAGCACTTCTTCTTCTTCTTCAACCACCACCAGCAGCAGCTTCAAAAGCAGCAAGCAGGTGAAACAAGAGCAGCAAGTCATCAGCAGCAGCAGTCAGCAGGTGACATCTTCCTCCTCATCATCGCAACAGCAACAGCAACAAAGAAAGTGGTGTCAAATGGCACTGCTGCCAGCATCACCAGCAGCAGCAGCAAGAAGGAATCTGAGCAGAAAACCCTGCTGCAGATCCCATCATCATCATCATCAGCAGCAGTAGTGAATGGCACCAAAGAAGCTCTGATTGAAAAGGCCCGTTCTGAGAGTCCTCCACCATTGGAGTGTGCAGAAGAGGCCAAGAACAAGAATAAGACTAGCAGCAAAAAAAGCAGCAGCAACAGGAGCAAAAAACACAAGCGTCGCTCTGACAACAAGGATACCATAGAGGTGGTGTGAATAAGTTATATACAGACACAGCAGTACAGTACCTCTGCTGTGCATCATGTGTTTTCCCACTCATATGTACTAATTGATTGGTAATGTGAGAAGAATATATATAATGCATGCTCTTCCCATCACACACACCTGTATGGCAAACACTATACATTGCTGCTTTTCCCCCTGGTAACATATATGGTCTTGGTGTGAACCAGTGTCTCATCAGCCTTCTACCTGTCACCATCAACTGCTTTTGATCTTGCTACATCATGGAAAAATTCTAGTATAGAAGCTATACCTATAATAAACTGTTTCAATGCTTGAGCAAAAGATCCCATTTAGCAGTGTCTCATCTCACAATTTTGTGATGATGAACTTTGGCCCCTTTTGAAAATGAATCACTATAAAGTCCTGACTTGATCCAATCAGCCAAAAATCATAATTAATTGTATTGCCAGCTGACAGCTAGTTTCCAGAATACATTTAATCTTCATCAATGCAGGAAATAAGAGCATAAATTACAATCAAGGTTCAAGTAATGCATGTGTTTCCCTTTTCAGTTCTCTTTATTATTGGCAATGAATTAAAATATACTGTAATGCATGTGTGATGCTGGGAAAAGTGAGAGTGCTGGTGGAGTGATATGGTATTGAAAGAATTCCTCTTATACAAAGCAGGGTGCTGGAGAGAGTGTGAGAACAGCTGGGGCCAGGAGGATAATCAAGTCCCACATTGACAGGGACAAGGTGGCCAAGAAATTCAACAAAGTGAGCCCAGAGGACATGGGCACCAGCATGTGCCACATGTGTGGCAAACAAGTTTTCCAGATGGAACAGGTCAAGGCTGAAAGAGCAGTCTGGCACAGGAGTTGCTTCAGATGCAAGGAATGCCAAAAACAGCTCAAGTGAGTCACCCTTTTTTTTAAATATGGATATTTATCAATTTGAAATCAAATAAGCCTGATGATGATGATGATTCAAAGTGGAGCATTTAATGTTCATTTATCCCATAATCAAGTGCTGAAGGAAAATGGATTTCATTATTACAGTGTTGACACCTACCAGAGTCATGAAGGTGAACTTTACTGCAAGCCACACTTCAAGCAACTCTTCCAGCCAAAAGTTGTGTTGGATGAACCTGGTAACTTCATTATTGATTCCATATACCAAAACATTGAGCTATATATACTCTCATCATCTCTTTTTGTTTCATTGCCATTTTGCTAAATATAGAACCAACACCCCAGAGGAGACTTCACAGGAAAAATGAGATGATCATTTGTGAAAGTCAGCCAGTGGCTTTGCCTGATGATGTTGTGAGGTGCAGTGACAAGCCTGACTATGGACTTGAAGAACTGACACAAACTGCTGATGTCAGGTCCAAGTTCAAAGCCTTTGAAAGCATGTCAATTAGTCAGGATCATGAGAAAACAGAGGTCTCATCAGTGTCTGTGAAAAGGTCTGCCAGCATTCTCAAGCAAATTGCAAGGTTAGTATACAGTATATTTATTCAGAAAACATTTTCCAAAACAAACATAAAAATAATGAATAATAAAGCATTCTAAATACTTTACCACATTTCTTTTTCAGGTTCCAGGATGGGGAAGAAGATTTAGAAGGAAGTGAAGAAGAGTCAGGATTGGAAGAAGAGGATGAAGAAGGAGAAGAAGAGGGAGACCCAGAGCAGAATGGTGTCAACAAGAGAGAAACCAGAAAGAAAAAGGAAATCATGCTGGAAGACCAACAACAACAAAAGTCTGACCAAGTGAATGACATGAAGAGCAAGTGGGAAGGGACCAAAATGGGAAGGAAGGAAATATGTGCAGAAAAGAGAAGAGAGGAACAAATTAGAGTCAGGCAACTCATGCTGAGGGTAAGAACATATATTCTCCATAATAAATCACCAAATGCATGTCTTCTCTTTTTATAATATGCATATATGTACAATACATGTATATGAAGGGAAAGAATGAAAGCACCAAAGCCATGTACCAGTCCCTGATTGAGCAGCAAACAGAGACTCAGAACAAGAGGAGCAGTGTTGTCATTGATCTGGAAACTAGTGCCAAGTTGTTGAAGGACAGATTTGAAAAGGGTGAAGCCCTTGAAAACCTTGAGGACAAAGACAAAGCAGTACTTGACCTGGAAATCTTCACTGCTGGTTTGTTTAAAAAAACCAAATTATACATATTTTTATTGTCCTGAAATATGAATCTCTGGATTTTCCAGCTGACACTGCAAAAGGAGCAAGAAATTTGTTCAGAAAAATTGATGAGACTGTTGGCAAATCCTCAGACCAAATGACAAGTCTCAGCAGGTCCAAATCCAATGCTGAAAAACGTTGGAGTGTCTCTATAAATGTAAGTTCAACATTATTACATATTACATGACACAATTTTATGTGCTAAGAAATAATTTGGTCTTCATCTACACAGGGAAATGTTCCCAAGCCGGATGCTGAAATTGTGAGATCATCAGACATTCCTGCAGAATCTGGTCAAATTGCTGTTGACACTCATGACATTGCCTCAAGGTTCAAGTTCTTTGAAACTTACAAAGAGCCTGAGAAACAACGTCGTGAATTCCGCTTCACACCACCCAGAGAAGGACAACTTCTTGTAAGCATCCCATTTATCCATGAAAAAATGTCAATATACTCCATATACAATAAAAAAAAAACATTACATTTTGCAATCAGACAAGAATAAGGGATTCACAATAATAATAAAGAAAATCTATAATTCAAAACTAAGATCAATCAAGTCCCAAATAATTTGAGCCATTTCAAAATGATTCTAAAACTGTTTCTACCAAATTTGGTGTTATTCAATTTAAGCGTGATGATTACAATAATCCAATTATTGACTCCCTGACATTATTGACTCATACATACATGTGAGTAAACTGATCTAATTTTCTTCTGTGGTGATGATATTTTACAGGAGGATGAGAATGAGCAACCTGAGCCAGAGCAGCCAGTCAATGAACAACCTGTAAATATTGCCAGATCAGACACTGCCAGGAAAATGCTGTCCAAGTTCAGGGAACTGGAAGAAAAGTCCATCAAGGAGCAAGAATATGGTAATCATCACTCTACACTATACTTGAACTATATAGTATTGACCTCTTCAGTAAAGGGCCAACCCAGCAAGTATAGTCAACCCCAGCACAATAATGGACCTCCCACACAATTCGAGTTTTGTGTGGGACTTTGCCTGACAGACTTTTCACAAAACAGACTAGTCTGTTGCACAAATAAAGTCTATTGTGCAAGGTTTGAGTGTAATTCACCTGTAACAGGCCAGGTGTAACAATAAGCAGGCATTTGAGCACCCATAGCACACCCATGATACTGGTGGTACCTTTTTTATTACAATTCAATTGTCCTTCAATTTCACAGTAAAATCTTCTGGAAGGTCTATATACTTGCAATTTGACCTCTGCTGCTGCCCCACAATTCAACCTGCTGAGAGATGCAAAAAATCAAATGTGACTTACAAAACATTGCATTTGACATTGTCTTGCAATTTTGATCAATCCACAATTCAATCCTAACCCAGTAACAGATACAAAGGTTAGATTGCTGGGTACCACCATCTGTATACGGCTGGTTTGATATTGAATAATTTAATGCGTTTTTTCTTCTTTTGAGGCATATTTTATCAAGTGTAAAGATATGCCACCAAAAGCATGTGTGTGAGTTCATTTGATGAATTTCAGAAAGTGGATCAAAGCCAGCTCTGAAAAGATTCACACCTCCACCAGAGGGATTCATTGATGAAGAGGAGTACTCAGACTATTCAGGCAGTGAATATGATGATGAGGAAGGATCATCTGGAGAAGACTATGAGGATGAGGAGGAATGTGAGGATGAAGCCCTGAGGGAGGCCATGGTGAGTATATACTAAAAACTGTCCTGGTATATATATTTGTAAAATGGGGTTGTCTTTTGACTCATGTTATTGTTACAGAGAGCAAGAAGAGCCCAAAGTCTGCGTGAAAAGTTTGAACAATGGGATGATGTGGCCAGAAAGAATCAGATGAACACAGTCTTGTTGCAAGAGTCTGAGACCCTTCCATCTCTGGACACCACCAAGAACCTGAGAGCCAAGTTTGAGTCCCTACATGTCAGTGATCAAAAGCCAAGAGACAGACCAAAAACCAAAGTCAACCGCTTTGTGGTCAGTTCAAATCATCATTTCAAATTAATATAAAGCACATTTTTCTAAAATAAATGCTTTTCTTTACAGTGAAACCACAAAATGAAGGGTTAAAGAGCTTGGACCAAACCCATCACAAGGTTTAGCAACATTCACTTTCAAGTCCACTGATGATGGAAGAAAAAGACTTCATGCAGCAGTCATGCACAGAATTTCATTCAAAGGCAGAAACTCACTGACAAAGCTTTTTTATTTTCTTTTTGTTTTCCTTCCGCTTTGTTCTGTTGCTCAATCATTGTTCAAAGCTATCTTTTGTACAGCTGACACTGCAGGAGGTTCTGGCTTAACCCATTGAGTGTTGCTAGTGTTTAATATTAATTTTTGAGTCACTTTGGTGCTGTTCATATGCATTTATGAATAAGAAACACTTGATTGGAGACAAGGGATGATATATGCAAACATGCATACAACAGTATCAAGACTGTTGAGGGGTGGAAGGAGTACCAATGAAATTGCAATAAAATGACTTACCTATGTTGAAAAAACAAAAGTTAAAACCCCTCAGTTATGACTTTGGCCTTTTGTTTATGTTATTGAGAATAAAGAACAAGGTGCACAAGGAATAAATGACAACAGAGCTTTTACAAGAAAGAGAAAAAGTGGCTCATGGAGCCAGTGGCCCTCCAGCCACCAAATGTCAACAGGTCCTCCTGGATCCTCACATCTCTGTACTTCTTTTTGGCTGATGCAAACAATTGCCAAATGTGGTCCCCACCATCCAGCATGGAATCAATGGTGCCAGGTTTGATCTTCCTTCTAGGTGGTGGACCAAACATGGACCCCCAATCTGGAAACATGGATTTTGGTTTTTCTTTTGGTGGAGGAGGTGGGGGAGGAGGTGGAATGGTTGGACACAATGGTGGAGGATGTTCTTCAGGATAGAACAGTTTAGGCAGTTCTTCTGCGCCAAGTTCAGTCATTCTTCTATATGCAGTCTCAGTTCTTTTCTTGCGCCTGAGACATGGTTCCATCCTAATGGGCAATTTCATGGGTAGTTCCAGACCATGTAATTTTCTTAGTGCCAAGTGCATTGCTGTGTAAAATTCCTCCCTTGCCAACTTGCCATCCTGCAAAAAATAATTCAGAAAGCCAAGAATATAGGAATACATATACTGTGTATATAACAGCTATTATTAAATGACAATCATTTTGAATCATGATGATGGATTTCAGGAGAAGTAGGACACCTTACACTTGAGAAATTCAGAGTTTTACTTGATATCTCATCTCAGAAAAGGTTGAGTACTTTCTTGAGTTTATTTTATTCATCCAAGCTTGTGGAAATGAGAATTTAAAATTTTCAGTAAAATGCATTTTGAAGATATGTCATGGAAAATTATGTTTCAAGTCATAATTTTATAATTTTTTATCATGGAAGGAAAGTGATGGTATACCCTGTCCACATCAGCAAGGTAGGCAATCCTGCAAACAGCCCCTGGAGGCAAATTCAATGGCATAAGTGCCTCAATCACAGTCTCAGAGTCAATCATGTCCTCCAGCATTGCAGAAAGGTGCACAGGAATGACAGGTTTCCTGGTGGTGACCTTGTAGTTGACCTTCTGTCTTGGCCCAGATTGCACAGGGCCAGTGTCCACTGGGGCCTCTTCAGCCTGCTCAACTTCCTTGGCAGCCTGATCAGCTGCATCCTGCAACCCAGCCTTTTTCTGATACAGCAGAAAGTCAAAGCCTCCACCATAGCGATTGGGCCTGTATGGTGTCCCCCCAAGGGCATCAAATGCAGTGTCAAATGATGTCTGGTCCCTCTTGGAGACCACATAACCAAAGTCTTCTTTGCCACACATGATGGAGCACTCAGGGTCAAAGTCAAGCACATGTGAAGGGTAGGATTCTCTCAAGCGCGCTAAAATTGAAAATATTTCAAAATGCACTTTATTTTGATTAGATAAATAGATTGATAAACAAGCTTCATTTTCCACTTCACATCAGCATTCACATGGTTCAAATAATGTTACCCTCCAATTTTGATAAACAAAAGCAAAAGTTACTTACACAAGATGCGCACACAGTCCTCCTCAGCAATCCCCCTGGCATTGTGGATCCACTCCTTGCTGATCCAGTCAAGTTTGTCCAAGTCCTTGTACACCAGCACATCAGCCAAATGATCAGGATTGGGAAAGTAGTTCAATGGCAACCTTTCAGTCTCTTGTAAACTGTAAAACCTGTAATCCAAGCTGTACAATGCTTCTCTCTTGGCCCTCTCAGTCCTGTTGATGATGGGAATGGTCAGACATTCCTTCATCCCTGGAATGTTCAGCCTGATGGATTTTGGGACTTTGAAGGGCAGTCTGAGCTTGGGCATGGATGCCTTGAGGTCATTTTGCAGAGTGCCCAAAATGGCAGCCAACATTGACCTGCGCTGAATCTCATAGGCCAAGCGGAGATTGGAAAACTTGTCAATATAGTACAGTTCATGGTACATCTCTTGGTCTGCATGGTAGAGACATCTGTCTAGACCTGCTGCATCTCTGTGGCATAAATAAACATAATATTCTACCAATAAGGTTCCATTCATGCAGTGTGTGTAAGGTTTTTTTTTTAATGGATCACCTGAAGATGTTTCCATAGAACCTTGGAGGGTCAGGCCTGTCTTTGAGAATCTTGGCAAGGTTCCATGTGCAAAAGCTGTATCTGTCTATGAGGTATGGTAAGCCCACATCTTCAGGGTACATGTAAATGACAGATATTTTTCCATGGAAAGACCTGACAGCTTCCAAGGTGGAAGCAAACTTGTTGGTCATATCCCTCCTCATGTCAGCCACCACAAAAATTCTGTCTGCTTTCATCCCAAAGAACCTATATACATGTTGTTTTTACATAGATGTTGCACTGTTGAATATTTAAATATCTAGACTGTACCTAATGGCTGCTTCATAACAGTAGCCACCAGGCTCAGGTGTGTCTATGGTGTCTGGGACATCAGGGCACATGAGGCAATTGAATTTTGTCAAGGTGTAGCTGTCAGTTTGGTATCCCCTGAGGTGGTCATGCACAAAGCTGGCCCCAAGTTTGGAAATGATGCCTCCAAAGTTCATTATCCTGGGAACAGTCTTGAGGACATCTCTGCCAGGAAGGAACTCATCCACCTCAATAAAGTCTTCTGATCCGTCATCATCCAAATATTCCATGGTGGTTGCCTGCTGTTGATCAGCTCCTGCATCCTTATTGGCCTCCTTCTCTGCTTCTTGAGCAGCTTCCTATATTAGAAATAGGATATTGTATCAAGTTAACTTCAGTATATACAGTATTTATTACTAACCTGTAACCCAGCTTTCTTCTGGAAGAGAAGAAAGTCAAAACCACCCTTTTTTCTGGCCCCCTTCTTTCCAGCAGCATCTGCTTTGCCACCAGGTGCATCATCTGGCTTTTTCCAGCCAAGGCCAAAAGGGTCATACAAAGCTGCTTCAGCCTTCTTCTTGGCTTCCTCTGCTTTTTGCTTCTTCTCCTTCATTTCCTTTTTCTTCTTTTTCCTTTCTTCCTCTTTCTTTTTCTCCTCAGCCTCTTCCTTGAGTCTGATTTCTCTCTCAGCATCTTCAGCTCTGTGATTATAAAGTGAATTGAGTGTATTATTGCAATTGTTGTTCAAAAATAGGGTTTTGGGGGGAAATGTACCTGTAATCCCTGCAGCTGCCAGGAGCTCCAAAGCATTGATCCAGGGTAACTACAAAGACAAACTTGTCTTTCCACACCACCAGTCTTGACCTGACTTCTTTGGGACCAGATATTTTGACAGGACCTGTGTCAACAGGTCCTGCAGCAGCTTCTTCTGACTTTTCAACTTCTTTGGCTGCTTGATCAGCAGCATCTTGGAGACCAGCCTTTTTCTGGTACAGAAGAAAGTCAAACCCTCCTCCCAACCTGTCACCTGTGTTCAAATAAGATGCTGTAACAGAACTGGTCAGTTTCCTATATGGAATTTGAATCCTCATTACTCGTTTCTTGGTCAAATCCTCCAGTAGTTCTGTCTCCAACTTCTTCAAACCGCCTTTTGGGATCTCTGATGACATAGGCGTCATCAAGGAATTTCTCAAGAAACTTTTCCTTGTACAGACCAGGTTGTACAATGACCATAATGAATGGCATGGCTGTAAAGTCACCATCATCAAGGGGATCATCATACAAATCTTTGAAAGGAGTAGCAACTTCCAGGGGATACAAGTGGTTCTTGTACAGTTCCATCAGCCTGTGCCTCATGCGCAAATAGAACTACGGACAGGATTTGGATTTCCATTATTATGAAGATTGTATATATGCAGCTTCAGAAAATTTTAAAGAAAGAAAAAGTATGCTGTACATCATCTTTGCATGGGTTGTCCCCAATGCCAGCTTTCTTCAGCCTGTCAAATTCTTCATCCTCCATTTGTTTCCATGAGAGGTACATTGGGCCAGGAGGCCTGCGCTTGTCAAGGTTGATTTCTCTCTGCATCTTGACTTGTTCCACTGGGCCAGAGTCTGCAGCCTTTTCCTCTTCTTTGGCCACATCTTTGGCTGCTTGGTCCGCAGCATCCTGCAGACCAGCCTTTTTCTGGTAGAGCAAGAAATCAAACCCACCTCCCAAACGGCTGCCATCTTCTGAGGGAGGCCTGGACCCTAAGCCCCCTTCCTCCAAGGTGCTTGCCATTTTAGAAAATCAAGATCACTTATGTGTGGTTAGCATAATGGCACTCAGAATTTTGGTAAATCCTATTGAAGAGCTAAAGCAAGATTAATTGAATTTAACACACCTGCAGTGCTTTCATCATATCAATTTGCAGGACAACTGGCTGAGCCAGATTTAGAGTATTATCATTGAAGCCGGGAGAAAGAGAGTGATCCGTCCAAATGAAGAAAGCTTCACCAGGTTTATCATCTGTGGCATTTATCCAGCACCATCATCATCAGCAGCAATTCCCTGTGATTTTTGATTCATCCCTTCCTGTATATGGGTTGGACTTCTATACTGTATACCAGAGAAAACTACGAGTTACCTAAAGGTTGGTCCTACATGTATCATTAAGAGCTGCTCTTCTTCATGGGTAGATTATAATTGAAAATCCATGTGTAATACATGAAGACTGATATTTTTAAAGAATATGATACATTGTATACAGAGGAGGTTTCACTGTACTGCTGGAATTACTGGGAATGAAGGTCTGTGCTGATTGTGTTTGTGCATGTCTTGCCTTTTCGCCATTGCAGATTATAAGCAAACAATTCTGAGACATATATTTGTCTAAAACAGAGTTTTGAAAAAGTTGGATGTATGGCAAAATTTTATTGCTCTTGATATATGATAGCTGATAACCTTCATTCATCCGGTGGAAAGGGCACTTCTAGCAAATCGGACACAGTTGTAACAGCGTTTGCAAGTCAAGATGGCTGCCATCTTCATGATCTCTGGGAATGCTGGATTTGAACTAGAGTTCACGCATTTTTTGAAGTTGAACAGTGTGAGTCTCGCTCCGTAAATGTATTGAATTTTAATGCCCCTGGCAATACAGTGCTTGGGATGGGTGGCTCTTCTGTTGGAGCACGGGTTGAAGAAACAATTTGATGACGTCGGATGAGTGGTAATAATATCTCCTGTGTGGTCTTGTCATCTGAACGTAGGAATAATCTGTGACTGAAACGCCGTTCTGAGAAAGCTGCCTCAGCTTTCGCGAGGTAGTCGCGCTCAACGATGACAGTAGACTTCCCGGCGACTTTGAACGGATTTCGTCGTAACATGCCTCGTAACGGTCTCAAACGCGGACGTTCGTCTTCTGACGACGAACCGACGCGGTCCGGAAAGTACGACAGTGGTTACGCAGCTTCTGGACATGACCGAAGGTGAGTATTGAAGAATGTGAAAAGAATGCGTGAGTTTGGTACGTCCTTCGTCTCGGCAGTGATCGATCAAGCAGACGAAAACGAAGAGATCTCCGGAAAAACCGAGACTCAATCGGCAGCGACGAGGAAGAATCCGTGCACGGCGTCAGGGACCACGAATACGCCCGCCGCCGTCGTCCAGAAGCACCTCCGCCCCCTCAGTCGTCCAGCAGCAGTGCACGGCGCCACGACCGCCAACACCGTCACGAACACCGCTCGTCGAAACGGCGCCCGAAAGCTCGGTATCCATCGTATAGTACGTCCCGGTCTCCGAAGGTGAGTCGCCCACCTGTGGCCCACATTCCTATTGCCCGCCTTCCTCCGACCCTTCCCCAGATTATTCTTTTTTATACCCCGTTTGCCCTTTCGTCACCCGCTTTTCGGAGGCTTGAAAGAAATCTGTATGAATCCGATTGCGAGTTGGACGAGAGAGCAACGGGCCAAGTCCCCGTCCAGAATAAATCGTGTGTGAAGGCAGCCACCTCTGGCTTGTGTGAGGAAGCCGAGGGGGCGGCCGGAACCCCGTTAGGGCGCCACTGCAACTGTGTCGTGTCTCTTGGTTGTTCTCTTCTCGTTGGGCCCCGGATGTAAATGTGTCCGCGTGGGCAAATCGGTTGGTTAAATGCGTCGCGTGATCTTGGCGACCGACTACTGCAGCGGAGTAGGCGAGACGGGGAGCAGCGGCCGGACCGGGAGCCGACAATCATAAGGGACGATTCCGATGGCCACCTAATCTATCAGACCCACGATGTCATCCGCAAGAGATGTTCGTGATCACACCCTCTCTCTCTCTATCATGCCAGAAAACTTCTTGTCGATCTCTCGACGCTGGTCACTTGTTGGTTCGCAAAAAGCAAAAAAAAAAGACGCCGCGAATAATTATTTTATACAAAATTTCTGAAACGCTTCCTCTTCCCTGACTCTGACGCCGTTTTTTCTTTTTCTTCCTTCCCCCGTTTCGAAATCGATGCCTGGGAATCCGGAAAAACAACAGACGAGATCGTGTCTCATCTCGGCGAAGGCACCTTCGGCAAAGTTGTCAAGTCCAAAGACCTCAGGACGTGAGTACTTTTGTAAATTTTTTCAAGTTATGTGAAATTATTACTCGAGTTGAAGTTCAATTCATTCCATTTAAACTGCACTTCAACCTCCGGTGAATCGAATACCTCTGCATTGTACGTCGAATTTTTTTCTAGCCCCTTTCTGAATTTTCTAGGAAACAATGCTTCGCTAACTCGAAGGCTTTTCTATTCGAACTTCCTATTTTTTTAGCACGTATAGGGAAGAGAAACGTGTTCAAAATGTGAATTTTATGGGTTTTGCAAGGAAGCGTAAGGCTAATCGTGAAAATTAAACCTCGCCTCCGAGTCGAAGTTCAGCATCCTGTTGACTCATTTTAAAATCAATACATTTTTAAACTGTATAAACGTAGAATACCACTAATTATACTGTAATTTTGCTTTCTTTCCCCCAACTTGCAAGTGTTTTTTTCCTACCCCAATTTCGACCCAAAGAGGTTCGACTGTATTTCAAATTTCTGGATCAATTTGTAAAGGACCGCTGATACAATTTTCGTGTATTTCAGGAAAACTACGATCGCCTTGAAGATAATCAAAAATGTGGATAAATACCGGGAAGCTGCGAAGCTGGAGATAAACGTTTTGAAAACCATTTTGAAGAGTGGCTCTGACGGGGCAAGGTAATGCATGTAGTTTCCTAGGAAAAAGGAATCCTCTGTAAACTCTTATTCTTTTTCACAGGATGTGTGTAAGAATGCTGGACTGGTTTGATTATCATGGCCACATGTGTATTTGCTTTGAAATGCTGGGACTCTCTGTGTTCGACTTCTTGGTGAGTTATTCCAATGCTACGGAAACGACGTTTCTTCTGGAATTTATCCCTGCGTTCTTTTACATTTTCTGTCTATCGCTTTAGTCTATGGACCGTGTTTTAAATTTGATGTAGGTTAGGTTGAAAGTGTTCATGACGCGACTTCATCTTTCATGAACTGAAACATAAAATTATTGTATTTACTGTTTTTCCTGTTTGAGCAGAAAGAGAACAATTATCATCCGTACCCGTTGTACCAAGTGAGACACATGGCTTACCAGCTGTGCGAAGCAGTGAATTTCTTGCACGAGAGGAAGCTCACGCACACGGACTTAAAGCCGGAAAACATCCTCTTTCTCAATTCTGACTACGACATTGTGCGATCCGGCAGAAAAAGAGAGAGCAAAGTGGTGAAGCAGTCGTGGATCAAACTGATCGATTTCGGATCAGCGACGTTCGACGACGAGTACCACTCGACTATTGTTTCAACGAGGCATTACCGAGCTCCTGAAGTTATTCTGGGTTAGTGTCTTTCTTTAAGTTTTGTCCCCAACTTCTTATGTTTTTGTCTTATTGTTCTCCGAATTGTCGTGCTGCGTCAAGTCTGATTTAACGTACTTCAAGTACTGATTTTAGTACATTTATTTGAAGCGGGGGACGATGCGTTCTAGATTTTCCAGAAATCGTGGTGATGAAATAGGAAGTTTTTTGTCGCGGATTTTAAATCACGCGACATCTGCCGTACCTTGCATAAAAGAAGAAAGTTACGCGTTAAAAGCCGAAGACTTTTTCTTTTCTGATGGAAGATTGAAATGTAAAATCATCTAAACTGATGGGTTTTCTTGTTTTTCTGCAGAAGTGGGCTGGAGTCATCCGTGTGACATTTGGAGCATAGGCTGTATTATTTTTGAATTGTACACGGGGTTCACATTATTCCAAACCCACGATAACCGGGAGCATTTAGCCATGATGGAAAGAATCTTGGGAACTGTCCCTATTTGGTGAGTATCATTTGTTTCTTTTACTTTTCGTATCATGGGACTTTGTTTTTTCTAGTACAGTAACATGAATTTTCATATTTTCGCAGGATGGGGAGAAAAACTTCGACTTCCTATTTTCATAGAAACGGAACTCTGGACTGGGATTCTAGATCTTCTGCAGGCAGATTCGTTAAAGAACACTGCAAACCTCTAGGAGTGAGTAAAGATGCGAGAATTTAGACAGGAATGTGGCGGGGTTGAGTGATTTGACTGTTGGAGGATAAATTGGACTTATCCTCCACTTACTAGCCATAAATTTATTTTTTGAAAACATTATTCGACAGAGATACAAAATACACAACGATGAGGACACGAAGCACCTTTTTGAGCTGATCAGCTCGATGCTGGTCTATGATCCCAAGGATCGAACAAGCTTATTGAAAGCGAGGCAGCACATTTTCTTTGACAAACTGTCACCGAAAGAAAGGTTCGGTTGCACCTTTTCTGGCTCGTGCACAAGATCCCCGGACGGATCATTTCGACAACACGAGTCTTCTCTATCCAGGTTATTGTCGAAATACTTGAGCACATATTCGAACGAGAGGATGAGTAAAATATTCCTCGAGCTTCATGATCTCCGGACCCTCCGTCGTTGGAATTGTGCGGGAATAACTTACTCATCCGCTCGATTTTTCGAGAAATTGATTTCGAATTGAAGGAAAATGTGACTCTTTTTATAGGATCTATCGTTGGGTTGCAGGTGAATGACGCGAAGAGCTGTCCAGCGACCTTTGGATGATTTCTCCGCTACGTCAATATTGCCTGGTTTACAAATAATTCGATTGTTCCCTTGTCTTCTCCTTGGGTGTTTGAATGTACGAATGGAACATTGTTGGCCTTTTGTCAACGGAATGTTGCTTAAAAGATGGTTGATTGATTGATTTTCGCTGGTTTCGTTTTCTTCTTTTCACGCTGCGAATGTTTTGATGCGTCAAGATTTCCTTTCATTTTTCTCTATTTGTCAATCAGGCCTTTTAGTGATCTGTGGCCATGAAGAAGATGAAGAGACAAGATTTTCAGGTGAGACGGCATTCCTTGTCCGAAGTCGGATTCGAATCAGTTCTGAAAGGTTTTCTTGATTTCCGTTTTTCAGATAAGTGGCCTGTTCCTCTATGCCGCAGCCATGTTGAAGCGGTTAGGTGCGATGGCCAACGAGCTCGGAGACGAGGGCCTCGCAGAAATTGGGTGAGTTTTCAAATCCGTGTCACTTTGAACGTTCGAATCATCAAGAAAAGCCGCAAGCTTGTTGAGTTGATGCTTGACCTTTGAAGGAAATGGGGTCCGAAACAACTCGATGACCTGTTGGAAGCCCTGCAGAACTTCTCCCACTCCCTGGACGATATCATCAACGACCTCGGAGGCCGGCCCGGGGCAGGTGTGACGGAAAACGGTCAAATAACCGACCCCACGGCCCGGGCCTTGTTCGAGAGTCGCAGCGTGTTCGACATTGTGGACGCGTCGGAACCCGAGCGGGAATTGACAGTGCCCGCGGGTGCGAGGCCCGCCAAACGCCCGCGACCAGAGTCACCCAAGTCCAAGGCCAAGCGGCTGCCTCAGGGCAAGCCCAGGAGTAAAGAAGGTGCTTCTGCAGCGACGATTGCACATCTGCAACAGGACAATTTGGCCAGAGCCGAAGTGCGGGAGTTGATTAAGCGACAGGAGAAGCACGAGAAGCATCAGATGCGGAATGGAGGCGGGCCTGAGGAGATTAAGCCTTTCTTCATCATGCCCAAGAAAATTGGCAAGGTGGAGTGTGTCCAGCCTGGGAAAGGCGAAGTATTGATACCCAAAAGAAAAGCCCCGGCAGCCCCTGGAAATCACAAGTCAACTGGAGTGAGTATCCAAACAAGCTCTTATAAAAAAATTAAAAAAATGTTAGTACCTAAAATGAAATTTCAGTTCATATTTTTGTGAATTTTAAGCCAGTTATATGTTCTATTGTACATTTGTTGAAAAATTTGGAAGCAGTGATTTAAATTGTGATCGTTTTCGTCTAGGTACCTGGAATGAGAATATCAATGGCAGTCGACCAAGCCCAAATGGAACACGACGAAGGAACCGCTGAACTTCTCAAGTCCCTTCAGGATGATGTTGTTCAAGGTCTCCTTGGACTGGGGCAAACTCAGGGTATGACGTGAAATCCTCAGTTTCAGCCTCCGTATTTGTGAATTTTAATGCATTCTATTTTAACGTGGTTTAGGGATTATATCTGAGAGCATGTCGACGGTGTTGTCAGCTGGAACGAGTGCGGGAATTTCATCAGCCGGACATGTGTTCACGGATGTAACATTGAATGCCCTCAATGTTAATGAGGATGAAGAGGAAGGCCTCGGATTAGATTATCTTCAAACAGCATGAACCCGATTTTGCATTATTTTTTTACTGGTTTGTGTGTGAGAGCAATTTGTATACTTGGCTCAGTGAAGTACAAAGTCTTGTCAAATTTATCGAGTTTTCATTCCTCATGTGTGCGTTTTGGTTTGTCCGCCATGGATTATTGAGGTGCCATGGAGTGCGGACAGCCGGTTTCCGATTTATGACGGGGAGTTCTGGGTCACGGAAAATCGTGATTGTTTGCCAAATTATTCATTAGTTGAGCATGTAAAGCCCCATTTCTTGTTATTCTCGAAGAAATCGAGACGAACTGCAGTTCTATGATCGGAAGACCAGTGTGCAAAGCGCCTTTGGTGAGAGTATCCGACTAGTCCGTTCGTTGTATGTCACCGTGTTTTTTGGTGATTCAGCGGGTTTGCGTGTAGATGCCAATGGATTCCTTCATGCTGAAGTCTTGTGTGTATTACTTTTTGAAGAGCAGTTGATGTTTCGGGAGTACGTGCCGTGGATTTAAGCGTTTTTGTGACGGTCATGCATCGTGAATTTTGAGGTTTCCAACACCGGACCTCAGTGGGAAGGACATTTTGAATCCGCCGTTGCAGGATGAATCCCGTGGCTTTAGAGGAAACCCCAGTGGTTTCTCAAAACTCTGGGTCTACGTTCTTTCGCGGCATTGGCCAGGTGAGTTTCGCAGCCCTGAGGAATATGTGTCGAGAGATGACTGGGTATTGTATTTGCATTCGTCCCTCATTTTTTTTTATTCTTCAAGAATGTGTTGTAGAAGAAAATATCTGAGCGAATCACGAAAGGGCATCATCGCGGATATCAGAGACTTGGGTCCTTGTAAGCTGAACCATGCAATATGCCACTCTTTCTGTGCGGTTTACGTTCTCATGCTTGAATCTGCCAGTCATGTACTCTAAAACTTTCCCTGTCATGTTCCTACCAAGGACATTGGTAACTTTTCCTACGCTAAGATTTACCTACTGTTGAAATGCGCAGTTATGGAAATGGCGAGATCCGGAGTCTTGAAATTTGTGAAACACGAAGTGAAAACATTGAGACACCGCTTCTTGTTTTCTGCTAAGCCGATAATACCAGATCATGAAGCACGCTTTATCGGCGTTCGAAAGAGTCCCCGCACGATTGAAGCAGTGAGGAATGCGATGTGCGTAATTTGAAGGTGTTTATTTCTTTGTAATTATGTTTAGAAGTATCAAGTTTTGCTCGACGCGACTGTCCCGTTCACACTCGGGCGATGGTCTTCAGCGGTGATATTAAACTTGCTGTTCCTGTTGAGAATAGTCATCGGACAAGGATGGTACGTGGTTACCTACGGGCTCGGAATTTATCACCTGAACCTTCTCATTCTGTTTCTCTCGCCGAAGATCGACCCCGCATTAGCCGAGTTTGACGGTTAGCTTTCCAATTTCTTCCAACTATTGGGTTTTGTGATACAATGGTTAATATTTGGAAACGTTCGGTGTTAAGATGACGAAATTATGTTGCCGACAAGAAGTGATGAAGAGTTCAGGCCGTTTATTCGTCGTTTGCCGGAGTTCAAGTTCTGGCATTCGGTCATGAAAGCCACGACCGTGGCCTTCGTCCTTTCCGCGTTCGAGTTCACAAACATCCCTGTGTTCTGGCCCATCCTCGTCATGTACTTCATCATGCTTTTCGTCGTGACCATGAAGCGACAAATCAAGGTTTGTCACGTCATAGTTTTCGAAGTGAATCCGAATTTACTTAGATACCCGGAATAAATATATGCTTTTTTGCCTTCTAGCACATGATCAAGTATAAGTACTTGCCTTTCACGTGGGGTAAACCGAAGTACCGAGCACCGGAGACGAGTTGAAAGACGCCCGTTTTTGACTCCTTAGGAAGTCGTCCGTTTGTTGAAATTGTGCACGATCGATTGTCTAATGAATGTCGATATATTTTCTCCAGTTTTACGCCCGGAGCATGAAATTATAGCGTAACTTGTTGTCACCGGTTGTCATCAAGTACTGTTTTTCCATTTGTTCTCATGGATGCTCTTCTCCGAACAACAGTGTCATTTCTACGCGAGTTTTCTGTCAATTTTGCACCCTACGATGCAAAATAGTCGACGAATTTTTTTCTTGAACGTTCAAATGATGAGTATACAGTATTGCACGTTCATTGACCGGTTGAGAATAATTTTTAAGTGAAGTGCAAATGTGCTGAAGCAAATTAGCACCTTTGTCACTGGTGATATTGCTCGTAAGGTGAATCGGACAAAAATACGAATATATCGATTGCTGCGCGTTTTTGTGTTAAGATAGGCATCGTCATTTCACGCTGTAAATGAGTTTCCGTTGTATTTTCGATCAGAGTTTCTTCGTTTTCCTAGTGAAGTCTAGTTCAATCATGGCGGTTTCTTAGCAAAAATGTTTTGTTTTCTTTGAGGCGTGAATGTATAGGATTCGTTTGCTTCGAGAATTCTGACGTGATCAAGATGGCTTCGCAACTGATGAAAATTTGAATCTGGAAAATCGTAGTTTTCCATGAGAGCAAATGAGATAATATTTTCAATGATCCTTTTCCCAATCGTTGAAGATCTTTTTTATGTTTTATAACTCACCAGGAATGCAGCTTTTGGTCCGGTGCGAAAAGCGCGACGGAAAATTGCCCGAAATCGCGTTGATTGAACTGCAAGGTGACATCGCCACGGCAGATAATGCAGCCCTGGATTCACGATTGTTGGGCCAACTGTATTACACTCACGATGGCACACCGATGATGACGATTGGACATCACATTATACACGGAAAAGTGCAGGATTTGGGGAAGCCATTTGTACTGATGCGGCCCGTGAAAGAAAATGAAAAGACTGCTTCATTTGTGATAGATGCCGTTGTCAGGAAGAAGCTCATCTTCAAGAGTAGACCGAAACCGATTGTTCCATCGAACTCCGAACTCGTGGGGAAAAATAAGTGATGAATTCTTTTTGCGTGAAATAAGTCATTTTTGTACTTTTTCCATCGAAAAACTCATTGAATAAATTCGTTCCTAGCCTCCTGTGAATTTTCGCTATCATTTGGTAACTTTTTCAACTGATCGTTGGTGGAATTCTGCGCAGGATTCTGGTAGGACAAAAAAAAAACAGAGAATGTTTTACAGAGGTTCTGTGATCCTTCGTGCCGTTTTGCCGAAGCCTTGTTCTTTGGTTGGCAAGGAAAAGAGGAATTATGCGACCGAGGCCACTTTCGATATTGCGAGGGTGAGTGTTGAATGTTATTTTATTCTTGCTTATCATCAAATTAATGTATCCGTATTTTTTTTCAGCCCTTCAAGTTCCACCACTTTCCAGAAGGAGAAAAGCCCACCCAGGCGTCAGTGGGCAGAGACGAGGCATTGGCCATGTACAGACAAATGCAAATGATTCGTCGCCTGGAAACAGCTGCGGGCAATTTGTACAAAGAAAAGGTCATTCGTGGGTTTTGCCATTTGTATTCGGGTCAAGAAGCTGTTGCAGTCGGGATGCGGTCTGTGATGCAGCCACAAGACAGTATTGTGACTGCGTACAGAGACCATGGGTGGGCCTTGGTCATGGGTGTGGATGCTGTGGGTGTCCTTGCTGAGTTGACTGGCAGAGCCACTGGGTGTTCCAGGGGCAAAGGTGGCTCCATGCACATGTATGCTCCCAATTTCTATGGGGGAAATGGGATTGTTGGAGCTCAGGTTGGTTTATTTTTTATTTTTTTTAATTTCAACAAACCTAACCAAGGGTTTTTGAACATACCATGCTTGAAAATGTTTTGCAGTTGAACACAGAGGAAACCATGAAGAAAGTGGCGAACAGGTTTTGAATTGATGAAGCTTGGGAATAGAAAAAATTGAATCAGGGAGGTTTGAGTTATCAAGGTTCAACTGTGCTGTCAAACCTTGTTCAAGTTGAACTCAGAGGTACTTTCAAAAATAAATTCAAGTTGGGTTCAACATTTTTTTTGCTGAAGTAAAAATGACGAAACAGAAATGGAAAATCAATCATGTTTTCAGCATAAGAACTGCTGGGTAAACAAGTTGATGGGATTCTGAACCTGAAGGCAAGGGTACACTTGCCTGTTGGTCACTTTTTACCTTTTGAAATCATAACATTGGAATTTTATTGGTTTCTCCTTCATGTTTCACTTAAATAATAAACTAAAATGAATCTAGGAATTTGAGTGACTGTATTTAGTTTTACTTGACTACCATGTGCACCTTTTTTCTCAAATTCAAGAGCAAAATACAGGGGTGCTGGTATAACATTTTCAACAAGTTTTAGAAGCGTAGTTATACATTTTACTTGATTCCTATGGATAAATTTGGGCCAAGTACAACAGAAAAACTTGATTCAATAGGATCAATGGAAAATTAGTTGAGTTCATGTCTAAATCCAAATTTGGATGAACTTATCTTTGAAATGCTTCTGTTTTAGAGTCACTTGAAATGAGGTGCATGTCTTGGTTAGGGATCCAGTTTTAGCAAAATGTTTGACTGAAAGCCCTGGTGTGTGTCTTACTTGAGGGTGTATGTAACTTGTTTAAATGTGGTGTTTGGGATATTTCACAGATTCCTTGTATGATTCACTCGAAGTTGAGAAAAACAGTAGCAGGTTTTTGAGCCTCTCTCCATGAGAAAGATTTAAACTGAGCTTTGAAGGTATTTGCAATGTCATGCATTTGCAACATAAATAAACTTTTGTGCCAGGTAGCCAATGTTCACGAAGAACTATTCTGCCTTGGATATTGTATTTGGTTAATTCTGAGTTAGGCAAGGATTTCCTTTGTTTTGCATTTGGTCAGTATGTGTTCTGTTGAGTTAGGTTTGAATTTCCAGTGATTATAAGTAATACGAAAACATAAAAAAATCATGTCCAAGCAAGAACCCTGAATGCAATGTGCAAGTAATCCTGAATAATTTCAAAATTTGATGGTACTTCACTAATTTTTTTCTAAAAAAAATAGTGTCCTGTTGGAGCTGGGATCGCTTTTGGCCACAAATACCTGGGTGACAAAGGAGTCTGTTTGACCCTGTATGGAGACGGTGCAGCTAATCAAGGTCAACTATTTGAAGCCTTCAACATGGCAAAGCTCTGGAATCTCCCCTGCATTTTCATCTGCGAAAACAATGGCTATGGAATGGGCACCAGTGCAGACCGAGCTGCAGCCAGTACCAACTATTACACCAGAGGACAATTTGTCCCTGGAATTTGGGTTAGTTTTCTGAATTTACTTAAGATTACTCATTCTAGAAAATGACACGATTGTTCGCATGTTCTCTTGAAGATTGATGGAATGGACGTGTTGGCTGTGAGAGAAGGCACGAAGCTGGCCATGGACCTGTGCCGGGAAGGCAAGGGCCCAGTTGTCCTAGAGGCAGCCACTTATCGATACTCTGGCCACTCGATGTCTGATCCGGGAACCAGTTACCGAACTAGAGAAGAAGTGCAAGAAGTCAGGGCCACCAGAGACCCGATCACGTCTTTCAGGGAGAAGATGCTCACCACGGACCTCGCTTCTCATGACGAGTTGAAGGTGATTGAGGATTAATCAATTTATACTTGGTTCATTTATTGAAGTGTAATCGTTTTTTGTAGAAAATTGATCAAGAAGTGAGGAAAGCGATTGATGAAGCTGTTGCTAGAGCCAGAGCTGATCCGGAAACCACGGATCTTTACGGGGATGTCTACAGCAACTGTTTGGAAGAGGAAATTAGGGGCACTGTTCCCTTTGAGAAACACCCTCACCAAGTCATTGGCAAGCCTCTGAATCTGTGAACAACAACAAATCGGTGACCCCCCATTTTAACATGAATCCCCCCCACTGACACTCACTTGGTGCATGGTGAGTGCAATCCATCTCTTTTTTGTTTCGTTTCGAAGAGCCATGTACCTGTTGAGATGTTTTGTTGCTTTTTCGTGGGAGATTTTTAGTGGATTTAATTTTTGCTTACCTGTGGGAATCGAAAAAAAGAGTGGTTTCCAGGAAGAGAGAGAATGCCATCGAATTAGGAAACTACTAGTCAGTGATTTTCTGTTGCTTTTTTTTGGATGATGTGAAAATCTCGTGGCGCGGGGAATGAGAAATGAAGACCCTGGTGCATTTAATGTCTTGTTCTTTTTTTTTACTGCATGTTGTGACACCTGAAAGTTGAAAAAATTTATGTTCATGCATTTTCTGATCACCTCTCTGATTCCAGTCTAATCTTCAAGGAAGCGCTACAGGAAAGAATCCTTTCCGTCAAAGGAACTGTATTCTGTGATGGAAGAAGTGAAATGTGGGTTGCGCTTCAGTGTCCCAAATGTCAACTGGAGAATGTTTTAGTCTTCGTGTAGATGTCGCCTGTGTTCATGTCAGTAGAGGGAGCAAAAGTTCATTCAGTGATTTCAGTGGCGGTATCTCTCCTTGATAATTCCATGAAGCAGATTGTTGTGTGAATGTGAAGGATGGAGAGATGAATACTTATTTAGATGTGTTGGGAGTGATTCATCATGAACTTCAATTAAAAAGTGACTTTTCCTGTCTCATGTCGCGCAAGTGAAAAACGGATTAGTGCATCGTTGAAGTATGTTAAGCTTGGGGGGAAAGTTTCTCAGTAACTTTCGATGAATTACCCTTCTTTATCGTCGTTAAAGTGTCTGTGTCCCATTAGATCTTCTCAGTCTATAATAGGGTTTTTTCCCGTTCGGTTGTGGGAATAAGTGGACAGGTGTGCGAAACAACGATAGACATTGTTGGCATCATCTTCATTCATCGTGTGTCGTACATCGAAAGGCAAGAAGGGGCGTCAAGTCTCGTATAAATAAATTCGTCGGAAGAAAGTGTGAAGCTTATGTCCGTCTCTCTCTCTCTCTCGCTGTCGTCCACTGGCCCGCGGAATTATTGTGATTTTGATGTGAGGGGAAAATGGTCGACCGTTTCTTTTCCTTTCGGACCTCATTGTCGCCGTCGATCGACCATCGTCAGTAATCATCTCCCTATTCCTTGTAGCTGTTTTTTTGGTGTTTTTCATCGTCGACCGCCGCCGATGACGCCGCAAGCGAGTCGGTTGCCGGCGTTGCCCGAGGACAGGCTGTAGGGGTTGCCGCCGACGCCGAAGTCGTCACGGCCGTCGTGGACGACGACGGCGCGTCCGAGGATGGAGAAAGGTCCGTAGAGCGTGAGGCGGTGGTCGAGGATGCTCACGCGGGCGACGCCGTCGTTGTCGGCGATGATGTTGCCTAGGTCGCCGACGTGGCGCCGCAAGCTACTGGGCGCCGCGTGAACCGACTGCCGATCGAAAAAGCGTATTTTTTTAAGGATTTGAATCAAAATACATCACACATTTCATTATTTTTATTATGCTATGTTACGAAATTATAACAATCAAAATTATAACAATTTCGTATTTGTTTTCATAATTCATTATTATGCTTGATTAATTGTTTATTCCCTCAAAAAATAAATGCATGATTTTTTTTTATAACATGATGGAAATGCAAGTAAAAAATACTGTCCTTCAAAAACTGGAAAAGAGGAGGATTTTCAATTGGAGTTGACAATTTGAACAACTTCTTGATGTCAAATTAATCTATACTTATTCAGGAAAACTCTGAGAGTTCCCTCCAAAGGCAATGATTGAATATTCATCTATGATGTAATAAAATCACAGCTAGCTTTCAATTGAAGATGCAGAAAAAACTATGAATGAAAATTTTTGTATTTATAGTTCATTGATGTGCTTGTACATTGTATATGTGGGCCATATGGTGATCACTGTATTGAGATTTAGTAGTGACTCTTCTTAGGAGAAAATGAGCCATATGTACAGTACTGTAACAAAAGATATTTTTGTCAAATTTCACAAAGGGGGGATAAATATAAGTATTATCATTACAAATCAAAATACATCACACATTTCATTATTTTTATTATGCTATGTTACGAAATTATAACAATCAAAATTATAACAATTTCGTATTTGTTTTCATAATTCATTATTATGCTTGATTAATTGTTTATTCCTTCAAAAAATAAATGCATGATTTATTTTTTTATAACATGATGGAAATGCAAGTGAAAAATACTGTCCTTCAAAAACTGGAAAAGAGGAGGATTTTCAATTGGAGTTGACAATTTGAACAACTTCTTGATGTCAAATTAATCTATATTTATTCAGGAAAACTCTGAGAGTTCCCTCCAAAGGCAATGATTGAATATTCATCTATGATGTAATAAAATCACAGCTAGCTTTCAATTGAAGATGCAGAAAAACTATGAATGAAAATTTTTGTATTTATAGTTCATTGATGTGCTTGTACATTTTATATGTGGGCCATATGATGATCACTGTATTGAGATTTAGTAGTGACTCTTCTTAGGAGAAAATGAGCCATATGTACAGTACTGTAACAAAAGATATTTTTGTCAAATTTCACAAAGGGGGGATAAATATAAGTATTATCATTACATATTGAGAAAGTTGTGCATTTAAATTTTTTTTTTTAATTTTGTAACAATGAAACTGTTTATAATGAATCTTGTTATGAGAACTGATTTCTTCCAACGAATTTGTTTTCTGTGGTCCCATATGTCCTTGCATTATTTTTATCTTTTTTTTTTTTACAAATTTTTCTTTTTTTGAAGAAAGATTTTTCCTGGTGTCAATGGCTTTGCTGTAACAATATTTTACTTTACAGTATTCCAAAAATGAGCAAGTGTTGAGTATGAATTTATTTTTCCCCTCATGAACGGGTAGGTATGCAGGTATTTCTAGAAATACAGGTGGACTCTCTCTTTGCAACAATCTTGTCTTCAATAAATTTATTCAACATCAGGTTTTACGAGCCAACCCTCGTATATCTGATGCCAACCTGGTGTTTTATACTGCGTATATGTTTCTGCTTAATTTTTTTTTCAGGTGGAATTAAATGATAAAAATCAAAATGCCCCCGGGCCTCCTTGTGTTCTATTGTGATAATAGTGTCTCTTGTATGAAGAAGTGCAATTTCTTTTTTTTTTTGTCTCAATAAGAATAATGCTCACGTGGAAGGGATTGAAGTGGTCTCCAGCCCGGAGACATCCTTCCCTGAGATCCCCGAATTCGTGGATATGGAAAGCGTGTTCCCCGGGTGCCAGGCCCTTGACGCGTCCAGACACCATCACTGGAAAGGTGGGGAACAGCTGGGTGAACACGATCTCACCCTGCACGTCGCCCATCTGGATGGACGACACCGCCGACCGCCGGAATCCTGGTGTGAGTGGCAAAAAGAAGATATGTGTCTCAGTTTTATTTTTATTTATTTCTTTTGCATCACCTGCTGGTTTAAACCTTTTCCAATTGAAATTCGGATACCCGCTAAAAAAAAAAAAATTGAGAGGCAGATTTTTTGAGCTGGTATGAGACCAGCATTTTTGAGAGAGAAAAACATGAATACTGTCATATGAAG